TGATTTACCTGAATCGACGTGACCGATAACAACGAGATTGACGTGAGTCTTTTCTTTACCCATGATTGATTAATTTAACTTTTAGTTGTGAAGAAAAGAAGAAAAGAAGAAAAAGAAGAAGAGGAAGAGGAAAAGGAAGAGAAAATTTTTTCAAAAGGAGGTTTTTATGAATGAATTGAAAAAAAAATAAAAAAAAATTTTTCGAATTAAAATTTTGATGTCTTCGGACACGCAGTGAGAATTTCAGACATTATATCACATTTTACACAACAATAAATTCCGGTTCAGATATTAATTTATTCCTCAAGGGCTACCACAACGAGTACAGAATAGCCAAGCTGTATCACAGCAACAATCCCACCGCCTCATTTCTCTACCTAGATGAAGCATTTCCAGTCAGCCGGTAGCATACTTTTTATGATAAAGGATGTCTCTTTCAAGTTCACTTGTCGTGTGTGCTGTTCTCTTTGATGAAAAGTCACACAAAAGTGTTTTATCCTCCGACACAGAAATACTAAAAATCCGACATTTTAAAATTCTTGTAATAGCCTGGTGGCAAAAGGTGTTTACTTTTCTTTCAACAAAAAATGACTCATCTTTGACCAAACGTTATAATTGGTCTAAAGATAAGATGATCAATGAGTCATTATCTTCGATAGTGAAAAAAGGAAGCATGCGTTATTTGCATATTTGCCACCGCCGTTTGCCACCCCTTTTCTATTTTCCCAAAAGCAACACTAATCTCTCTCTCCTCCTCTTCATTTTTGTGTGTGCATAAGAAAAATTACGCATTTTGTAAATAACCACTACAAAATGAAAGTTAATGTCGGCGTTCTGTGGTAGTGTGTATGTAAAGAAAAGTATTTTCAGACATTTTTTCAAACACAACCTCACTACTGGACTCATTTGCCAACTTTTAGTCATTGAGACTTTGTCGTGTAGAGCATATCATGAAACCGTCCCAATTTAATCTGACTCATACTTGAAGCACTGTCCTTTCTTCCTCACTTGCCTCCTCTTACTCAATGAAAAAGAAATTCATAAGGAAGTGGGAGCAATTATATATAGTTAAACAATAGGATACTAGCACAAAGACCACAAACCTCATCGAAAAAATTTGTGTCTGATTAAATTTTTCTTTCCAACTCCGTCGAAGTCACCGCCCACCTACCGCCCACTGCCCAACTGGCCGCAAACCCCGCTCTACTAAATACAACGACGCAACTAAAAATCCACGTCGATCTTTTTCCTGTAATACGAAATTAACCACACTTTTCAATCTCTACGTTATCAATGACGTTCAAAAAAATGGATAATACTGTTTCTTTAAATACGGCGATAACCACCGCAATAATCGTATACGAAACTAGCTATAAATTATAAATATTTCCTCTCTGTGCATGTGCTAGGATGCGTGTAATTGTGTGTCGCGATGCTTGAGCAAAGTTATTCGTGTCGTATTGGTACTAGCGCCAGATTCATCTAGCAGTGTTTGAGCTTTTTGAAGCACCAGTACCAGCATTAGTAGGATTAGATGCCACACTACTTGAACTGGTATTCTTATTTGAACCATTCAAACCAGAAAGACCTGCCGTAGTTGAATTTGAATTGTTACCAGAGTGGGTATTATTATTTCCACTAGTGCCAGCACTGCCACTTCCACTAGTTGTGGCGTTCAAAACACCACTAATAGTATTGTCAAGACTCTCGATTGATGATCTGGTGGTTGAAGTGGAGCTTCTTCTTCTAAAGTTCCTAGCTGATTGGGGGTCAGTTCGACGACCCTTTGATGTGGCAAACACACCCAAAATATCAGTCAAGGTAACAACACCAATCAATTTTCCAGTTCCTCCGAGATAGCCTTGCTCTTGCTGTATTGAGCTTGCTGCCAAGGCTGTTCCAGGATTGGAATTGGAATACTCACCGGTAATGGCTTGACTCATTTCACGGCCTTCAACACTAGCAGCTTTGTTCAAAATGGAAGCATCAGCAGGCTGTGGGTATCCGAATGTGACACCACTATTGTTTGTTCCACTGTTTGGTGCACTTGAGCCTTGTGCCGACACACTGCTAGCTTTTCTCGAAGTATCCACAACCCACAATCTATGTGACTCGGTAGCAACTAACTTGGCAATGACTCTTCCTAATGAACTTTGGTTATTGACATGGAAAATTGGAAATTGATCTTTACCTTCTTCAATACCCTTTTGGGACAAATTGTAACTGATAAAACTCAATACTGATTTATACAACATATGGGAATTTTTCGAACTTGTCAAGTTTCGAACATCAACAATGGAAATATTACCAATTAAGGATTTAGTACGGTCAATAACAGCCAATGAAGAAACGTTTTCATGAAACATTTTGTACAAGGCATCCAAAACAGGTTGATCGTCATATATAGTGATTGGCTTACTAGAGCCAATTTTCAAATCTTGGATAGTCGAGGAAAGATAAAACTCCAACAGCGGGAACCTTCTCGCATTCTCCCACATGTATTTGATCAATCTTCTTTGCGAAAGAATACCAGTGATCTTTGATGCTTCTTCATTGGTGATGGCCACTCTGTGAACACCATTTCCCAAAGTCTCCATTACCGAAAATAAGGTGTCATTTTCAACAAACTTGATAAATGGGTTTTTAGGATGCAACTTGATGATAAATTCTACAGGAACTTCTTCTCCCTTCTTGGCTTTGTTGACAGCTTGGGTAATGATGTCATGCTTCTGTTGCAAAGTGTGGCTAGGTTCACCTATTTCCTCAACATTTAACTCAGAATAATCAACCTTATTCATGATCAATAACAAATAGGTGTTTAAATCACTATAATCAAATGTCAAGCAATTTCTCAAATCATTATGGTCATCTTTGGACACTGACACTGGAACACTAGTTAAATCATTCTTGACCAAAGTTTCAAATGCTGCTTGAACTGAATGAGAGCAATGGATACTAATCAATTTGTTTGATTGCACAACTTCAGTCAATGGTACATCACTCCAGTCTAAACCTCCAATTCCTGAGGAAGCTCCACCCGATACACTTCCATGTGGTGATGCTGAACTATGGGCGCCTCCACCATACAGAAATGGGTTTGCTGACCCAGTTGAAGTCCTAGAGCTAACAGAGGGGTTTCTTGATAAACTCAAGTGGTGGATTGCGTCATCCAGATCAACGGGTAATGGTGGCGGTGAGCTCAACAATTCAACAATGGATGGTTTACGAGATGGATGGTTGGATCCATGACCAACGCTATGACTATGTCCATGACTAATACTATGTCCATGTGACGAGTGGTGTTGGGGAAAGTTCGACGGAGCTGCAGAACCTGGACCTGATGCATTTGAGGATTGTGACGATTGCGAAGATGCAGTGTTTGTATGGTAAAGTTGCAGTTGGTGCAGCAGCTGTTGTTGATGATTAGGATGTTGCAGTTGTTGAAAATGCAATTGGGCGTGTGAAACACTTGGAGAGTGTTTTGCCGACATTTGCGAAGTGGGAACACGGGGTGAAGTGGGAGGCTGTTGCCTTGGCTGTGGTGGGTTAACCATTGTTTATTCACTAATAAAGTACTGTTTGGAAAACGTGGTTGTGGCGGTTGCGATTCTAAGGAGTGGGCGCAGTAGAAAGTGTTTATAAGGTTTTTTTTACCAGCTCAATTGTGTTCAAGTGTTGGGTGTATACTTTAAAGCAATAGATGTATTGACCAAGCCTCTGCTTCCTGGTATCTCTGTGCTGTTGTATGAGTGGGGAAAGTATAGGATATTTGAGGCTCTTTTTAAAGTTACGTGACTTTTTGCTATACTTTTGTGAAACAACCAAATTAGCGTAATACAATAGAAAGGAGTTGGAATATCAATTGAATTGAGTATGATAATGGAATGATGTGATAATATAAAATAGATCAATCTTAGTTCTTGTGATTTGATTGATTGATTAAGTATGTGATGATTGAAAGAAATTGAAAAAGTATAGGGAAATGAATTTTTTATTTTTCTGTTCTGTTGTGCTGTATTGTCTGTACTGTCTGTACTGTCTGTATTGTCTTGTACTGTATTTTAGCCTTCTTAAAGTTTTGGTTTTTTAAAAAGAAAGAGACAGAGAGAGAGAGAGGGGATATATAACCTTTTGTTTTTTTTTAATAAAATGTATTTATTACACAACGTTAAAATAAAACAGTGCTAATCAACATCAAAAGCAATATCAACATCATTTGAATTGAATTGAATTGAATTGGATTGAATTGAATCGAATTTTACATTAGAAAACACACAATCATTTACCTCAGTTTCCTCCGATTTTCTCCCCACTATTCACACACACTATCTCTCTCTCTCTCTCTCTCCCTCTCTCTCCATCTAACCGCCTAGTCTATATATACATATATATATATATATATATATATATGTATACATCTTCCATTTAATGTCTAGTTACACACACATCCTTTGGTCATTAGTACATTTATTATTACACAATTCAAGTAAGTCACTCAAACGTAGGCACAGCAAAAAAAAAATAGGAGAGTCAAAAAAAGTTCTAGAACTTATACTTTTACCAACATCATTGGATAGGCAAAGAGGGTATATAAACATACACTGCCAATCATCTTCTCAATAGAGCCGCATTTATATGTCTTGGTCAAAAGCTTCAAGTTGGTTTTATCCACTTTCCAGTTGTTGATGGACCCCAATTGACCTATTTCCTGTTTATTAAAGCTTTTCGGAGTTTTGTGCAACTTTTTGTGTTATTCCGTCTATTGTTCTTTGATATTCCACATCATACGAGTTCGTTGTTGTTGACTTTGTAGAACAACTAATTATTACATATGTTTATAATTCCCATTTCAGCATGACACATGATTCTTCTCTCTCTGAGTAAATGCAACCATAGTCATTTATATTTACTTGATAAGGCGTGGTTCGAAGTACTTGCCACAACTGGCATGATTTTGTCAAGCAAAAACAAAAAGGAAAAAGAAAAGTTTTCTTGTTGCTTTTGCATTAAAGCCAATGCAACTAAGAAAGAATTAAGCCTCGGTTGAATAAAAAGACATCCTCCCCCACTGCTATTATACTCTTGATTTTTGAATGATCTCCACTAGCCTATATGTTTTCAAGCTAAAGGTTTAGCTCCACAATAAAGACATATACAAAGACAAAGACAAAGACAAAGACAAGGGCGAAAATGGCACACAAAACAATAACTACAAATATAAAATCATCTGATTGGAAGAATATACCACAAAATACTGTTCAATGTTGCCACATGTGTTTCTTATTCTCTTTTTTCATCATAGCTCATGTAAAATGAAAGCACCCGGGTATTTCCTTTGTTAGATTATATTTCGATGTTAGTGATGCATATCCAAGAGTATTGTTACTCGCATTTTGAACAATTTTGCACCCAAATGAGAAGAAGTAAAACTATTTTAACTACTTTATGCTTTCTTCTCTCTCCGAGAATACAGATATACAAAAACATACTTCTGTCTATACATAGTACTCTTGTAAATACCTGAAACTGAGTTTCTAAGACGAAAGGAGACGATACAAACAGTTATTTCAATGACCCCAGTAGTTTAATGAAGAAATTGTTTGGATTCTAAGGTCGAAGAATGCCACTTCAGTACGGTCATAAAAGGGAAGTTATCGACATAAAAGAGTTTAAGCTTTGGTCGCTGCTAAGGTGGAGTCTGAAACATTTGTTTGTTATTCTTTGCAATTTGACATAGCACTTATACAAAACCCTATTAGTTTTTGTATTCATCCTCCTTGGGAGTTGTAGTAGCCTGTCCAGATCACTAGTACTCTTTTTCAGCATTGGTTAGAGCTCAATTCTTGCTGTGTAGTATGTAACACTATTCACCATTCAGGTAGCGCAACTATCGATGAGGCAAATTGATCGATAAAAGCTCGTACTACACGTAACTAACAAACAAGCACATCAAAACTTACACCACAAGATGGCCACACCGGCAGTAGCAAGCAAATCATCACTACCTGGTGAAACAGCATCGCACAAACCCTCAACTTCCTCATCGTCCTCGTCAACTCCGTCGCTACTGCTAGCCAATCAACTGTCCTCTACCTATACCAAGGATCGTAAAGTTGGTGAAGGTACATATGCCGTTGTTTATCTAGGCAAGCAAACATCAACTAAACGACAAATAGCAATCAAGGAGATCAAAACGGGGTTATTCAAAGATGGACTCGATATGTCGGCTATACGTGAAGTCAAGTATTTACAAGAGTTGAAACATCCCAATGTCATTGAATTAATCGATGTTTTTGCCACATCAAACAACAATTTAAATATAGTGCTAGAGTTCTTACCATGTGATTTAGAAGTATTGATCAAAGACAAGAGTATAGTTTTCAAATCGGCTGATATCAAATCATGGATGTTGATGACATTACGCGGTATACATCATTGTCACCGAAACTTCATTTTACATCGAGATTTGAAGCCCAACAACTTGTTGATTTCACCTAATGGGTTATTAAAAATTGCCGATTTTGGTCTTGCGAGAAGCTTGGGTAATCCTAATGAAGACCTAAGCTCGAATGTCGTTACGCGGTGGTATCGTGCTCCAGAACTTTTATTTGGCGCAAAGCATTATACAGAAGCCATCGACATCTGGTCAATTGGAATTATATTTGCCGAATTGATGTTGCGTATCCCTTATCTTGCAGGGAAGGACGATGTTGACCAATTGGATGTGACATTTAGAGCATATGGGACGCCAACTGAACAAATCTGGCCCAACGTATCAAGCTTACCGTTGTATAATGCCTTGCATGTTTATCCACCGCCTTCACGACAAGAGTTACGAACACGGTTCAGTGCTGCAACTGATAGGGCGTTGGATTTCTTGATTCTGTTGACACAATTGGATCCTAGTCGTAGATGCAATTCAACTCAGGCTTTATTACACGAGTATTTTACTGAAGCTCCTCGACCAACGTCGCCGGAATTGTTACCAATGAAGAAGGAGAAAAAGAGAGTACAGGATGATGGAAGTGATGTAAATAGTGGTAAAAACTCGGATGCATTGAAAAGAAGGCGAGTTTAGAGTAGATATTTTTATGGGGAAAAATAAAATGGCAAATAGTAATTGATTAAAGTTCTATTTATGATATATGTTCTTTACATAGTCGGCAATTGCCCAAGCAGCAGTCAAACCAGGACTTTCAATTCCTAATAGATTAACAAACCCAGGAAACCCCTCTTGTTCTTTGATTACAAAATCAGCAAATTTTTGCTTGCTCTCCTTGGCTGAAAGTAACTTGGGTCTCACTCCCGAATATGAGGGTGATAACGCGTTTGGGGTTATTGCCGGAAAATATAGTTTCACTGCTTCATAAGCTGGTTGTAAATTGCGTGGGTTTGGTGTGTAATCAATTTGACTAGCACTAGATACATCTAGCCATTCCAAATCAGGACCGAATCTCAATTGGCCACCTAAATCTAAAGTCAAATGAGTGCCCAATGACGATGCATTGGGGTTAGGACACGGATAGATCAATTTATCAGTGATTCGTTGGCCAATAGGAGTTTCAGGCGTATAACTAAAGTAGTTTCCCTTGGCATAGTAATAATTGTAATGATCTTGTTGAGGTAGAATCATATTGGCTATATCAGCAGCAAATAACCCGGCTGAGTTTACTATATTGTCGCTGGTAATTTCAATGGCTTCTCCATCAACGCCAAGGGTCACTGTATAATTAGAAGTGCCGGAGTTATGCACAATGTCCACCACTTTGCTATTCAACCCTACTGTACCATCATTGTTTTCAAAATTGGCTTCATGGAATGACACAAACTCATGAGCCGATATAATTCCTGAAGTGGGACTTTCAAGTATGGCTCTATTGGCTCGTATTAGTGGGTAGTCCTGCTTAGCTTTATCTAAGGGCACAAAATGTACGGGTACATCCAATTCTTTGGCATTCAGTCCCAACTTGTGCAAATATTCTTCTTCTACTTCATCTTGAGCTACGACCCATTTTCCACACTGTTGTAAATCAACAGGCAAATCACCCAGTTTCCAAGCTTGATAAATCTTGTTTTTACCAGCAATACACAATTGCGCCTTCAAACTCGATTTAGGGTAGTACAATCCGGCATGAATGACTTCACTATTACGCGATGTAGTTTCCTGACCTAGAGTGTCATGTTGTTCAACAAGGAGAACATTATTGCCGGTTTGTTGTTGAAGTTCAGAAGCAGTTGCAACGCCAACTACGCCTCCTCCAATGACAATGTGGGAGAATTCTGATAATTGAGTGACTGAGGTGTGGAATAGTCGTCTGAAAGGGAATTTGAGCATGGGGTGGCTTGTTGGTAAGTAGTCTCCTCTTTGAGGTGTTAGCGAGTGTGTCGGGAGGTAAAATGGTAAAACTTTGGTTGTCGCTTTTGGATAATTGGTTTAGTGTCATTTACATATTTGCGACAATTCTCCTAGCGTGAAACCGACTATTGCATCCTTCAGCCGTACCCACTAGGTGATAGAGTTCTCTTTGTAAATAGGTTGAATTGATAGCTCAACTGAGGTGTGAGTGAGTGAGTGAGTGAGTGAGTCTCCACATACGATGCTTTGCCAGAAATTGGAAATCAACGTTGAATATGGGTCAATCAAATTCCTGCATATGCTTAGCTATCTATAAAAACTACAACTGTAAAATATGAAATCTGGAAATCTCACTTGAGTTTGCAGAGAAAGAAGAATTTTGGACTATTTGGTCTTATGAAATCAACTGAGAACACATACAAAGAAAGACCCGTAATGAAATTTGCTGAGTGTGCTATTATTGTGGTTTGTAAATCCGCATCAATTTGAACTGAAATAGGGCAATTTAAAAGAATTGTGACACAACAAAAACAAAAAGAATAAAATTGTGACAGTTAGACATTGAAGACAAACAAATATACAAACGGAAATGTAAAAATAAAAAAAATAAAAAAAAACAAAATAAAATAAAATTCAACAGAGAAAAAAGAAAAAAAAAAATTCTATTATCAGACAAACACAGTCTTAACCAATTGATCAATCCTTTTACTAGAGACCTTGACTCAGAGTTGAAACTAAACGTATCAGACGACAAAAAAAATAGGATTTAGGCCCTCGAGTGAAGCAAGAACCAGTTATTATTGTGCATTTGATTACCCTCGTTTAGACTGCATTACAATATCTCGATAGATACAAAATTAATAATAATCACCAGATAATTATTCACTCACAAAAACTTACATCTAACCCTTCTTATCAAGCACATCAACAAGAACAAATGAGGAGCATCAAATCGGTAGTGGTAGGAGATGGAGGAGTAGGTAAAACTTGTCTATTGATATCGTACACCACCAACACATTCCCCGATGACTACATTCCAACGGTATTTGACAATTATTCAGCATCAGTGTTAATTGATGGTGAGCCCATCAAGTTGGGATTATGGGATACTGCAGGCCAATCAGAGTACGATAGGTTAAGACCATTATCTTACCCACAAACGGAGATTTTCTTATGTTGTTTTTCAGTAGTCAGCCCCGATTCTTTTCAAAATATCAAATTGAAATGGATACCAGAGATCCATCACCATTGTCCCAAGGATGTATTGGTATTGTTGATTGGAACCAAAACAGATTTGCGAGATGATCCTCATGCTTTGGATGATTTGGGTTCCAAGGGGGTAAAACCAATAACTGAAGAGCAGGGTAACAAATTGGCCAAAGATATTGGCGCCGTCAAATATTTGGAATGTTCAGCAGCTACGCAGAATGGTGTTAAAGAGATATTTGATTTTGCAATTAGAGCCGTATTAGACCCACCTGACTCGCATAGTAAAGATTATATCAGGTCAAGCAGTTTAAGCGGGTCAACCTTGAATAATAACGGGTCTGATAGAGAAGCCGCAGGTAAAGGAGGATTGCAACGTAGATTTGGAAGTTCTAGTGGAGGTAGCAGTGGCAGTGGTAGTGGTGGTGCCATCGGAGCTGGTAGTGGTGCACCAGGTAAAAGGAGGAAGGTTAAGAGGGCAAAGAAGTGTACAATATTGTAATTTTAATAGTTTTTGAAAATAGATGCACAAGGACATTTATTTGATTATAAACAACACACCAAATGTATCATGAAAGTAGAGGGGTAGCTGTGTCTTGTTGAACTCTCATTGCATCAATGCTGCTCTTGAAGGATGTACACCACTCAAGTCGCCAGTAGAAGCTTTATTACTTTTCTTCTTTTTATCCTCATCTATTCTCTTTTTCTGCCTTTCATCCTTCTTCTCATTCTTTTCTTTCAACTTCTGCTTCCTAGTTTCGGAATTCCCACCCCCACCAACCGTCAATTCAACATTAATTTTCCGATTCCTCAATTCCAGATGATGCATTCGCAAAGCTAATTCCATTTTACTTTGAATCTCTTGCGTATCATTATCAAATTCCAAAAATGCAATACCCTTATCTTGACGCACTCTTATCCTATCAGGGTTACTATTATGAAAATGAGCAATTAGTTCTGTTTGTTGGATATCATAGGGCAAGTTTCCCACAAAGAGGATAAACCGTGGTCCTTTTCCTTCGTTTACCCCTTTGCCCTTTTTGCCTCTTCTCGTTTTCCTCTTTTTCTTTGGCTGTTGATCTTCTGTTGAATCAGCATTATTAGCCGCGGATGGGTCTTTAGTGGTGGTGGTGGTGCTTGTGGTTTCTAGTTCTTCAAGTTTACGTTTTTTGGATTCCTCTTTGGACTGTTTATCAGCTTCTCTTTCCTCTTTCGATTTACGAAACTGAAGTGATTTCTTTTCCTTTTTGGATAACTTTTTGGCGTCAGACATCGTAGCTATAGTGTGTGTATGTAAATAGAGGTTTTGGTACGAGATCTCCATACTCATCTTGTGAGATGAGATTTTTTTTTAAAAAAAAATAGTTGCAATGGTTTGGCAGATCGACTAAACAACAGCACAATCTCTAGTGGGCACACTTTTCTCTATCGAGACCCGTTTTGCAGATTTGGTGGAATGGTTCAAGAGGAGGTCTAGAATTGCAATGGCATGCCATTTCAATGAAACAATCTAACCAGGTTCTGCTATAGTGGTTACTGTTTTATAAATTATAGCATAATAAGTATCTCCTACTTTGTGGCTTAGTACAATACATTGTCACAATAGACTAGATGAGATCCATCCATTAGTACCCTTGGGGTGATTCAATAACTGTGGTTGACCTAAAAAGACAAAATGAACTGATGATTCACAGTCAATCCACAGGAAGTTCTAAAAATTTAGCCACTGTGCATTTGGAAGCTCCGTGCTCCCACCTAATTTCCGGCGCAAAGTTACACATTACATGAAGGGATTGACTTGAATACACGACAATTGCTCTCAAGAGCCACTGTTTCTAAATTAAAAATAGGAGGATATGAAATATGGTTAACTGAACTCCGGGTGGATCCGTTAAAGCAACCTTACGGGAAACAACGGTGAAAGCTCAAACGAGGAATATATATAAACACACAATCCCTATCCATGCTTCGCTATATTGCAAAGTTGCCTCAATAGACAATAGCTTAATTCACAATTACAGTCATGTCCATCAATAAAATCCACTCCAGATACGTTTACGACTCTAGAGGTAACCCAACTGTTGAAGTTGACTTGTTCACCGAAAAGGGTTCATTTAGAGCAATTGTTCCATCTGGTGCTTCTACTGGTGTTCACGAAGCAGTTGAATTGAGAGACGGTGACAAATCTAAATGGTTAGGCAAAGGTGTTTTGAAAGCTGTTGCCAACGTCAATGATGTCATTACACCAGCTTTAATTAAAGCAAACATCAAGGTCACTGACCAAGCCAAGATCGACCAGTTCTTGATTGATTTGGATGGTACTCCAAACAAGTCAAAATTGGGTGCCAATGCCATTTTGGGTGTCTCCTTGGCTGCATCGAGAGCAGGAGCCGCGGAAAAGAATGTCCCATTGTATAAACACATTGCTGATCTTTCCAAAACCAAGCAAGATAAGTTTGTGTTGCCCGTACCATTTCAAAATGTTTTGAATGGAGGTGCTCATGCCGGTGGTGATTTGGCATTGCAAGAGTTCATGATTGCTCCAACTGGTGCCAAGACTTACAGTGAAGGATTGAGAATAAACACCGAGGTTTATCACCACTTGAAAACATTGGCACAGAAAAAGTATGGTAAATCCGCTGGTAATGTTGGTGATGAAGGTGGTGTTGCCCCTGATGTGCGTACTGCCAAAGAGGCATTAGATTTAATTGTGGCTGCTATTGAAATTGCTGGTCATAAAGACAAGGTGCACATTGCCGTTGATGCTGCTTCGTCAGAATTTTTCAGACATGGCAAGTATGATTTGGATTTCAAGAATCCAAACACAGACGAAACCAAGTGGTTGACAGTTCCTCAATTGTCCGAATTCTATCTCGACTTGTTGAAGAATTACCCCATAGTGTTGCTTGAAGATCCATTTGCTGAAGATGATTGGGAAGCATGGAGTCATTTCTTTCCCAAGGTTGGTGGCAAAGTAGAAATAGTAGCTGATGATTTAACCGTAACCAATCCAATTAGAATCAAACGAGCAATTGAAAACAAAGCTGCAGATGGATTATTATTAAAAGTGAATCAAATAGGTACATTAACCGAAGCTATTGAAGCTGCCAAAGATGCATTTGCTGCTGGTTGGGGTGTATTTGTGTCGCACAGATCAGGTGAGACTGAAGACACGTTTATTGCTGATTTGGTCGTTGGTCTTAGAACCGGCCATATCAAGTCTGGTGCACCAGCCAGATCTGAGAGATTGGCCAAGTACAATCAACTTTTGAGAATCGAAGAGGAATTAGGAGATAAGGCAATTTATGCTGGTGAGCACTTTCGTACTGCTCATAATTTGTAAAGTCTGTGATTAAGTAGGGAATAAATGTGGGAATCGGATAATAGTGGATCCAATTGAGAAACTATCCGCAAATTGAAAAACTGTAAAACGTGTGTAAACAAAAATAGAAAAGGAACTCTCTTTGCTTGATGTGGCTAGAAGGGATAAGCGATTAGGTAATGAAACCGAGTTATCTTTGTAAAATGCGGAGTTAAACAATGCTCCTTCTCTATTATTGTCATTGCTGCTTTGAAAATGAGGAGAAAGTTAGGACAACACAACACATGACAAGTACATTTTCTGGCAACCCTTTGACTTGAGAACGTTTGATAATGATGTATACCATAAAAGGAGTTATCTTCCATCATATGCAATTACTAAAGATTTGCAAACTGATAACTTTTATGAAACAACAATTGATTTAAAAAGAAGTAATATTGTCCCAATTCTTGCTATTATAGGCAATACTCGTTAACTTTTACAAAATATTCAAGCACACTAGCCATTTTATCAACTATGAATTACATTCTTTATTTGGTTTTGTTTACGGCTTTCATCATTTACAAAGTGATTGACCATGTACACTATACCAGAAGGGCCAAAAAATACGGATGCAAGCCAGCCAAACAAGTTCCTTATAGAATCCCATTTGGAGGATTTGGATTAGAGTTTTTGTTGTATCTCAAAAATAAACATGATCATGGGTTAGCCCACGAAGGCTTAGATGATATATTCCGCAAGTTGAACACAACAACAATTGCCACTACTGTTGGTATCGAATACAATGTTTTCACGGCTGAGCCAGAAAATATTCGACATATGGTTTCATCGGCTCATACATCGGAGTTTGGCCTTGGGGTGAGATTAGAAGTATTTTCTTTATTATTAGGCGATGGGGTATTTTCGAGTGAAGGTACAAGTTGGAAACATTCCCGGATGATGCTTAGACCATTCTTTGCCAGAGAAAATATCAAACAAATTCAATCAATGGAACCATTTGTTCAAAGTATAATCAAGGCAATTAAAAAGGCTCCTAATATGAAAATTGATATGCAAGACATTTTCCAACATTTCACCTTGGACTATTCTACATTTTTCTTGCTTGGTGAGAGTTGCGATTGTTTGAAATCGTATCTTGGTGAGCCAACAAATGGTTCAATTACAAGTGAATCTAAAGCCAAATTTGCTGAATCTTTTGACAAGGGGGCCGATTATTTATTGTGGAAACTAATGGCGGGGAAGTTCCATCCCTTTTATCAGCCAAGGCAATTGTACATTTATATCAAGTATCAACATGATTTGGTTGATTATTATGTACAAAAAGCATTGAATATGAGTGAACAGGATTTGAAAAATTCATCGAACGACGGTACTACATTCATATACGACCTTGCTCAACAAACAAAAGACCCCAAAGTGCTTCGTGATGAAATATTGAGTATCATTGTTGCTGGAAGAAGTACAACTAGTGCGTTGATGACTTTCTTGTTTCTTGAATTGGGCCGTCATTCAGATGTGTTTGTCAGATTGAGAGATATAGTCAGAACGCAATTCCCTGATGTTGAATCAATCACCTTTGAGTCCATACAGCAGTGTGAGTATTTACGGTGGTGTATAAATGAGACGTTGAGATTTCGTCCACCTGTACCATACAATTCTAGGACTGCAATACATGACACCGTTTTACCTAGAGGCGGAGGAGACGATAACGAGTCGCCCATGTTTGTTAGAAAGGGAACCAAGATTATCCATCCATTGTGGTCTGTCCATAGGTTGGAGAAATATTTTGGTAAAGATACCCATAGCTTTAATCCGGACAGATGGAGTAGCTTGCCTGTAAGTGGAGGCTTGGCATTTATGCCCTTTGGTACTGGACCTCGTAATTGTTTAGGGCAACAGTTGGCACTACTCGAGACTAGCTATGTTGCAATTCGGTTGTTACAGACTTTTGATTCGATCAAGCTGGATTTAGCTAATGTGCGGACGAAGTCAACCGTGACTATGGTGTCAATGGACGGATGCAAGGTGACTTTTGGCTGATGTAATAGCTGAACCGAGTTGCTTATTTATTGAGTGTAAGGTTTTTATTTTCTTTTTTATTGATTTAGAGATGTGTTAATGGGAATTTTTATTTATGATAGTACTTGTACATCTGTGGTCTCTTGTTGAGGGCTTCAAATACCCGGCTGAGTTATAGATGTCGTAGCATGGAATGATATCATGGGGAACCTTGCCTAGAAATAATAATAATAGTAAAAAATATCTCCGACTTTGTTACTCTGTACCCCTCCCTTATCGCCGAGGATGACTAAAAAGAAAATATAAACATCAGCGAGACCTAAAATTAGGGATTTATACAGACCATCTATTTTCAACAAATTCATGACATCGATATGTCAGCTACGACTACAACTATGCCTCAGATGCACCATAAACAGCAACATCAACAACAACAGCAACAAGAGCAAAAGCAGCAGCAGCAGGAGCGGCACCGCGCTCGCTCACCATGGCCTATAAGTACGAGTTCAAGATCCTCATCTCCATCTCCACATACACAAAACCATAATAACAACAATCATCATCATCATTACATGGCACAAATCGCCATCGATCACGCCTCAGATCACTCTGCTCAAAGCAGCAACGAAGGTGATGACAATATCATAGCAACTTCAAGTCCACGTGGTCGAGAACAGAGCGAAGGAGTAGAGGATGAGGTGGAGGTGGAGGAAGAAGTAAGAGGAAGGAGTAGACTGAGGGAAGACAAGATGGATTTAACCGATGATAGTATTGATGGTATAAGCTTAATGGGATTCAAAACGGGGTCCAAACATAATAGTCCGGTAAAAATGAAGAAAGTGAGATAGAGTTGAAATTTGTTCATTTTTACAACGTTTTGTTTAGAAATAAATGTATTTTTATTATTCTAATTTGTATTGAGGCTGAGATTTCACGAGCTTGTTTTATCGTCAAGAAGTTTTGCATGTTCTTTGAGGAGTTCCTCGTATTTAGTTCGCAAATCGGTATATGCTTCCGAAACCTTTTTTAATTTCAATTCTGAATTTGTATTAGTATCGGATGTTTTGTGGTGACTTGTGTCCATGTTGTTGTTGCTGCTGGTCTTGTTGCCAATTGTTTTCACGGTTGAGTCTATATCTGACAAGTTTTTGAATTGCAATTCTTCAATTCGTTTTCTTTCCAACCAAGAGCTGAAATCACCACAGCTGCTTTCGTCGTCATCGTTGTCATTATCCACTGGGGTTTGTTCAGGTATGTCCATAAACAAAGTGTGTTCGACTGGATCGCTGCTGGCCAATACACGCTTCAAAGTGGGGATCATTCGGTGCTTCTTATCTGACCTTGTGGTGTTATCACCTCTTATATCTAACGATTTAGACAGTATTGTTTGCAAATAGATATAAGCGATGGGAAAATTCAAACTAGGGAAACTTTTAATTGTTTGTTTGGTTACTATATCGGAAACATAGACTTGTCCCTGTGAATCACCCGAAACTAAACTAGTTCCATCCATTGATATGCATATTTGCAAAACTGATGACGATGAATCTTGATGCTGGACAAATGTAGTAGCCAAGTTGGGGTCTTGTGGATCAATAGTTATAATTTTATTCATTCCGCCAACACCTTCAAGTACTGAAGTGTGCGCATTATATTTGTACAAGGGAATCATTTTAATTTGTCCATTGGATAACCCAACGTAGAGTGCTCTGTTTGCTGGGTCCCGGGCCAAGCATTCAACCGAATGAGGCAAGATAAATGTAGTCAATTGCGTCTTGGTCATTAAATCGAATATCCTTACTGTGCCATCCTTAGAACTAGTGTATATTTTTAAATCATTAATGACGCCAGTAGGATTTAAATGAAGATCAGTAATTGGTAATGTGTTTTCCGATATAGCCCAATACGGTTTAATTGATCGTAAATGATCTTGGCCATTCTCGTCTCCTCTATTACTATTAGCACCACCATAAATGGATATCAACTCTGACAAGTTCCAAACAAGACATCTTGCATCTTCACCACCAGTAACTAAAAAGGTTTTACAACTGCTTGACTTAATAACTGAGATTCCTTGATAATGAGCCTCTTTCACACAAAGTAAATCACCCGATGATAATTCCCAGATGTACAATTTACCTGACTTCGATCCACCACAAAGCAACCACGGCACTCTAAAACCTGGTTTCTCATGAAGAGGAGTCATTTCATCGACATCATCCTTACTATTGAATCTAGGATGGTGAATAATATGTAAAGTAGTCAATGCTTCAGGTACGGGTATTCGTTGATCTATACTCTCTTTACCGTACGAGTAAACATTAATCAATGCCCTTTTTGCGTCACAGGTAAAGATTCGCTCTCCCGGACCTATTCCAGTGACGCATGTACCATAAAGAGGTGACGATGCATGCCTGTATGATTGATATTGTTTGGAAGAATGAATTGACGACGTATAGGCAAATGACTCAGCTGCTGTCTTTTTCGAATCAGTCTGGTCTCCTTGTGAGATGTAGAATAGTACTTCATCCATGGTTGATACTGTGTGTAGACGTGAATGTTGTTGTGATAATGAGACGCTGTTTAGTGTGAAAAAAGTAAATTTTCTGTCGCGATGCCTTTTTCCCTGCGACTGATGCGTCTCGTTTGTCTTCTCTCTCTGCCTATTTTTTTTTTCGAACTTCACCCCCAAAGGTTTTTTATTGCAACTTATTCAACAACAGTATATAGTCCAACGCACACACACACACACACATCATGCCCGTTGACTTTTTAACAAGTGTTGCATTCGATGGTCCAGAAGTAATACCATACTGGGAACAGATAAAACAATATGGCCCCACAGTAATACCCATTCTTGCTAGTATCGCCCTAGGCAAATACTACTTTCGCGGTGCCACCAATACTTGGGAACGTGATATGCACGGGAAAGTGTTTATGATAACTGGTGGTACTTCAGGAATTGGTGCAGCATTGGCATACGAACTTGCCAATAAAGGTGCCCAACTAATACTTTTAACAAGAAGGACAAATGATTTATGGGTGGCGGAGTATATTGAAGATTTACGTGATCGTACCAATAATCCATTAATTTATGCTGAACAGTGTGATTTGAATTCACTTTATTCAGTGCGTAAATTTGTCACGAGTTGGTTGGATAATGCTACTCCAAGACGATTGGACGGTGTTATTTGTTGTGCTGCTGAATCGACCCCAAGGAATATCCCTCGTCAAATTACCGTGGATGGAGTTGAAAAACAAATGGGGATCAATTATTTGAGCCATTTCCATTTATTGACTTTATTAGAACCAAGTTTGAAACTGCAGCCTCCTGACAGAGATGTACGAGTGTTGATTGCCACTTGTTCATCACAAAATTTAGGTGAAGTTGATTTACAAGATTTGTTATGGGAAAATAAACAATATCCTACTAGTCAACCTTGGAAAGTTTATGGAACGTCAAAATTGTTGCTTGGTATATTTGCTAAACATTATCAAAAGCAGTTGATGCAATATGAACGTAAAGATAAAGCACCGTGTAACATTCGTATTAATTTGGTCAATCCGGGGTTAGTGAGAACTCCCTCAACGAGAAGATTCATTTCAATGGGGACATTATGGGGGTTGATTCTTTATTTAATTACATTTCCTGTATGGTGGTTAGTATTGAAGAGTGTTTTTCAAGGAGCACAAACATTTTATTTTGGATTGTATGCTCCTTTGTTGATGCAAACGGAAGGTGGTTGTTTGTTACAAGAGTGTAAGATTATGACTAAAGTAAGAAAAGAAATGGATGATGAAGAATTACAGGAAAAAGTGTTTCACAATACTACTGAATTAATTAAGAAATTGGAGATACAATCAGCAATTGAACGTAAAAAGAATAAAACAAAGGAAGAAATTGAACAAGAACGGGAAGCAGAATTGAAAAGAAAAAGAGATATCAATGTTCAGCCAAAGACTGCTGATGAATTAAACCACAAGTTGAATACGTTGCGAAGTCAAATTGGAATGGGTGGCGGATCATCATCATCCATGACCAATAGTGGGAATGAGTTGCCTTTGTTTCCTGATGAATCTGATTTAAAAAATTTAAATAATGGTAACAACAATCTGAAACAAGTGACGAATAAAAAGTCACTGAAAAAGAAGGGCAAGGGTCAAGGCAAGAAGTAGGTAGGTATAGTAAAGGAGTATTTTATTGAATAGATTTACCTCTATTATTGCTACGCATAATGATTGACTGATGTGTAGAGGGTGAATTCTTTAGCAAAACAATTACCTGCGAAAGCATTTCCTAGCAGCTGACAAGGCAACTGATGTTGTCTCCCCTCACACATTAACATTCAACAATTTACAAGCTTTTCTTTATAATAAATTCGGAACTGTCTAACCGATTTTTCTTTTTTCTTCTTTCTTTTTTTCTTTTTCCTCGTCATGAAATGCAGTTTCCCCTGTTGGGCCCATTTCATGAACCTATTCCATTAAGTAGAGGATGGGATTTTTCTTTGTTGAAGTAGTGGGTGGTGGGTAGTGTGCCCTGGTTCAATGTGTTATAGTGTCTGTTACATGGTGTGTATTCATATCTCCGGTAAAGGTCCAGTCTCTTATTGTATTGTTTGTGTAACTTCTCTCTTTTTCTGTTTCTATTATTATCATCAACAAATCAAATGATGAATCATTATCTTTTCTTTGTCTTCTCTTCATATTAATCCATTATTAGTATACTACTATTAAATTAGTCCACCATACCTGATATTGTCTGTATGTTTGTGTGTACTATTTGTTTTACACTTCCGAATTTTGCTTTCTTTTTCTTTCTTTGGGTATGTAGCTTAGCAAATCGTACATAGTTTATTTTTATAACCGATATGTCTACGACTTGGTCTTTCGTTCTTTGAGAAACCAACCCATCCAATTAGGTTGTCAGTAAATATAGGAAGGAGAACTGTCTGTCTATATATGTACAGTAGTAGCCGGTATAATCAGTATAAATACTGCTGCCTAGAAGTAAACCTCGAAGATGCCGTTTGCCGCTTTATGTTGGTACTTTGCCTCTATTAATGATCTCCTATCCTATTCTCCCCTCTCTCTAGCGCCAAATTATTTTGTGGCGCTAAAAAAGAAAGTGCCTTTTCCACCCTAGTTTTCAGACAATATTTATTCGTAGTGGAGGGGGGACAACGTAACGTATACTTAAGAAGCCAATTGTAGTTGGTGCAGTATCTCTGAGAAAGGGAACTCATTCATTGAAAGCAGAGGCATATTGAAAAGGAAGATAGATTTTTATCAATCAATCAATTAAATCAATCAACAGTCAATTAATCAATTTAAACAATCAATTTAAAATTTATTCTCTCAACAAAAATTAACTCGAAAAAAAAGCACCGACACTGCTACTACATCTTACTACAAACTATTATATCAAGACAAGCATACTCATTTGATACTATTCAGTAGACTACCGCTATGGCCCAACCACAAACAGAGCAACTGGATACTCCACTCCAGAAGCCAATGTCTTCGTTGACTAAACTTTTAAATGAATCATCTACTTCCATACCACAGCAACAACAGCAGCCAACTGATACACCAGCAAAAACTACCAACAATAATGGACACCAGCTGAGCAGTAATGGGAATGGCACCTCTTCGGAGCTTAACTTCAACAAGAAACCCATACCTCAGCCAATTACAACTTCCGGGTTGACCGTTGAGCCACAAGTTATTAATGGCTTTGATCCTTCACCAGGAACAAAATTTCCCAACCAACTGTCCTCGTCATCATTTACACCTACATCCCCGTTTACAAGACAGCTGGCAAACTCATTTTCCAATAATTTAGTTCCAAATCCGCCTAGAAATACATCTAGTCCAAGGTACTTAAGAAACAACTCCATTAGCCATTCATCGTTCAGCACAGGTGGTGGCGGTGGGTCTGGTGTTGCCGGATTAGGCGGAGCCGAAAGTTTATCATCGTCAATACCCTACTGTGCCCCAGGAGGTAGATCAAATAATGCATCGACATTAGCATCAGCAAATGGAGCCAATCCTTCGTCATCTTTACATCGCGAGACATTCTTGGGCGATGACGCAAGTTCAACTTCATCAAGTACATCAAATTCACATATACCTAACTTGCCCAATGGTCAATTTATTAATTCTATACATATTCAATCACCTCAAGTGAACTCATCCAGTATTGATTCTCGATTCGTTATTTCAAAGCAAAGGGTTGCCCAAGCACAAGCGGCTCAGCAACAAGCTCAAGGGGGCAGTGTTTCGCAACGTTCTGGATCACAGTCTGGGTTGTCGTCTTTTTTCTCATCAAAGAGCAAACCAACAAAAAGGGATTCTTCTACTGATTTAGGATCTTTTTACAATAATGCGTCATCGTCATTTCAGGATAACAATGAGATAGCTGGATCTCCTTCAAGTTTTTCATCTTCAGAATCAGTGTTGTCAACGCCAAACTTCAATGGTAATCCGCCAACAAGACATAATTCCATGTCAAACTTGAAGAGATTTTTCAAAAAATCAACGCCGACTTCACAACCATCACCAGCAACATCGAATTTATCGTCATCCTTGCGGTCAGGTGGTGGTATAAATATACCGTCAGCAAATGCTGTCAATATACCATCATCGACGGCAAATAATTCATCTTACCCAAACAATTCTTCATTTACGACCACTCCTTCCAACGCATCATTCACAAACTCACCAGGAGCGTCGTCACTTTCCATCAGTCGGTCATCGACTTTGCAAAATAAAATCAGGTATCAAGAACGCCGCCAATCAGTACTGCAGGTTATCAACCCCGTACAGCAATTGCCATTTTCTAAACGATACGGTAAATGGGTCGAAAGCTTGGGTGCAGGTGCTGGTGGATCTGTGAAATTGGTCAAGCGATTAAGTGATAATAAAACATTTGCCGTCAAGGAGTTCAGAGCCAAATACCAAAGCGAAAGTAAACGAGATTATGCCAAGAAAATCACTGGCGAATATTGTATTGGGTCGACTTTGAAGCATCCAAATATCATAGAAACTATTGAGATTTGTTATGAAAATGAACGGATTTTACAAGTTATGGAGTATTGTGATTATGATTTATTTGCTATTGTTATGTCAAACAAAATGTCACGTGAAGAAATCAATTGTTGTTTTAAACAAGTATTATCTGGTGTTCATTACTTGCATTCAATCGGGTTAGCCCATCGTGATTTGAAACTTGATAATTGTGTAATCGATGCAAGAGGTATTGTCAAAATTATTGATTTCGGATCAGCAGTGGTGTTTTCATATCCGTTCTCCAAAACTTTAATTGAGGCGCAAGGGATCGTTGGTTCAGATCCATACTTGGCTCCAGAAGTTTGTGTATTTAACAAATATGATCCTCGACCAGTAGATGTGTGGTCGGTGGCTATGATTTTTTGTTGTATGATGTTGAAGAAGTTTCCTTGGAAGGTGCCCAAGTTGTCCGATTCAAGTTTTAAATTATTTGCCACTCGTGGTGAATACGTGCCCATCTCCGAGACGTTGAAGCGGACTCCACAAGATGTACAAAACATCACTAGTGGTGGGTCTTCTGGAGCGCTTAGCAATTTGGGAGATATTAGTGAAGCTTTGGAGGAAGACATATCCAATATGCAAGTGCCGAAGCAAGGAAGTGGACAGCAGCAAACACAACAAAAGCAGCAACAGCAGCAACAGCAAAACGTAAAGGGTGCTGCGCCCTCTTCTTCCAATAGCAATGCAAAAGATCATACATCTAGTGAAACTGGTGCTGATAGGTTACTTCTAGCCCTACCGGAAGATTGTCGCCGGTTGATTGGCCGTATGGTTGAATTAGCACCAGCATGTAGAATAACCATGGACGAGGTATTTGAAGATGAATGGTTGAAATCAGTGAATATGTGTTCAGTGGAAGAAACTGAACCTGGAAGTAATGTTTATGAAGTTATCAAATGTGATGATCATGAGCATACACAAGTTGATCAATCAAAAGCACATATTGCTGCATTTGAAAAGAACAAGAAGAAGTGATTATTGGTAGAATATAGAAACAATGATGTCAGTTTGTGTAGATTTGTGAAACCGTGTAATAATGAGATTGGATTGTTTAAAGGTGTGGTTGTAGAATTGTAAAAATTTGAGGGAAGCAGTATTCGTGCTTTACATTTCTGTGGGTGACGATTGGTTGAGACTAATTCCCACTCCCGTACTCCACGCATCAAATGCCTACAACAATACTCTAATAAACCAAAACATCTCTTATTTACAAGATATACACACCCATATAAACTCAAAACTCCTCTTTCCAGCTCCAGTTACATCATGGTACCACTTTAATACCAACTACATTCGCCGTACTTATTATACTCCCCACAATAGCCTTCAAATCCAAACCCTTATGTCGATCATCGGTCTGTTTAATCTTGGCAATCTCCCAAACATGTTTCAAACTTATCGTCCCTACAACTTCACTACCAGCTTTACCACTGCCCTTTTCAACTTGAGCAGCTTTCATTAATAACCACGATGTAGGTGGTGACTTGATCTCAAACAGGAATGTTCGATCTGGTTTGACCTTGACTAAGCAGGGAACTGGGGTTCCCGGTTCATAATGGGCGGTACGGGCATTGAACTCTTTACAGAAGTCGATGGCTTTGACCCCCTTTGACCCTAATGCGGGACCTACAGGTGGAGCAGGAGCTGCCTTTCCAGCATCAACTACTAGCCTTACCATTGCTGCTTTTGTCGCCATGATTTGTTGTGATGTGTTGTTGGCAGTTGTAATGAACCTTTCATCGAAGTATTTTTTTTTCTTTATTTTTTTCTTTCAGTCTTTTGTGGTTGTAGCACAGTAACCTCAGACTACAATAAATCAAATACCTTTGATTTAAATGATATTTGAGCTGTGCGCTACTTTATGTAGTCAGACTCATAAAAGTTGATGCTATATTTACAATGAGTTTGGAGATACTATAAATATGGGTCGATTCTTCTCTTCTTCTATTTTAGCTGTATATAAGAAGAACTAAGAAATAAGGATTATATACTAGAATAACTATCTTTGCAATAAGTTGTGAGTATTTGGTAGGGATTCGTTCTGTCTCCGAATAACTTAAGTTAGGACACTTTAGGGGATCTATTATTTATTATCTCTTGGTAAATGTGAGATATGACTCTTTAATTAGATGTTTTACACTTATAACTCTTTCAGCCAATTAGTTCCTTCTTATGTTTGGCGCGTTTTCTCATAGGACTAATAGAGTGCTCACAGTCTACATTTTAACTCACGAAGTTTTGGGTTGCTGTACGACAAATTGGTGGTCCATTATAGGAACTTTATGTTTCTTCGTTACTTCAGACTTATTGCTGGACAGCTAGGTACTTGAAATATTAGGGTTGATAAAGCGATAGAGATCACTGATCGATTTATAATTAATTTCCAAAATCGGTGAAAGCATTACTAGAGGCATAACCTGGTAAGTTACTAGTGGTATCAGGTATGCCCACTAAGCTGCCTAAAACTTAAATAGAATATCATTGAATTGTTTATGCTATTCCCAGACTAAATTTGGGAACGGTTGTTGTCCTGGAGATTTTAATCAATAGGAAATTTGTTATCTCTACTTTTGAGAATGAAACAAAAATTCCCAATGTTACATTTTGAAATATAAGGTTGTTGGGCATGGAGTGGCCACAGGTATTACTAATGTGATTATACCATAAAATTCATGATCCAAGCACCGAATTTTGCAGACTTAATATGGAATGAGCCGATTTAGAGGTTTTGGATATTGGGTGCAAATGTTACAACAGATTGCGAAAAAACGTGGAAAAGAAAATTCTGGTTAAGGTTACATTTCGAAGTAGGAAATCCGGATGTTACATGGATTGACACAATAGAGAATTAAGGTTGTATGTTAACTCACTGTTCCCGGCACTAATGCGAGGTGAAGTTTCATTGCATATATATTAATGGTGTATTAAATGTGATTTAAAAAAGGAGAATAAAAAGCGAATACTCAAACAAAACAATATAAACATACACAACTTTCCATCTTCACCGGAAGTATTAACGCCTAACTCAACATTAGAATTGGCCTATGGATTATAGACTCTTCCTTTATATTCTGGTCCGGGCATAAATTCTTGATTGAGATTGACTAAGTTCCTTGGGTTGATTGTAGCTTCAGATTGAGTCTTGAACACAGTATCATCATTTAATAGCCTAGTACAGTAAGGCGTAGATGCACCTGAATCAAAATTAAAGGATTAACTTTAATTCGCATTTTATGGATGTCTGGGTATAATGTAAGCCTTCTCTTTGATTCCAATTTTGAACCGAATCAACTATTTATATATTACTTAAAAACCCGCAATCACACTTTATGAACATAATGTTTCTTCATCATTTCTCTTGTAAAGTTCCTAGTTAACAGAATTTTATCTAATGATCCGAGAGAATAAACGTTATCGAATTTGTTTACCACTTCGGTAAGGGCCTGCCCATCTTCGTGCAATCTTTTCAAAACCTTCAATTTTAACATTTAATGGATGATCCCAAATCACAACATAGTCTCCTATTTCTATTGCTTCTGTAATATTATATGCTACATCAAATATTCTTTTTGTAAGTTCTTTACTCTGCTTCTGGGAAACGTAAGCAGGTTTGAGTTGTAAATCTTTGAAAAAGAGATATTCAGTGGTTGTGATGGCTACTGGTGCCTTCTTTTTTTTTTGCTTTTCAATTCCTGCTATGTATTATTTTTTTTTAATATGACGTCAAATTCAATCAAACTCTCACTCTATCTCTAATGAGCGCTATCTCTCTCTTTCTCTCTATCTCACTGTATCTCTCTTTATATCCACTTGCAGGTCAATTTAACAAAACGCACTAGCATCAACAATATCAAACAGCAGAATTGTAAATTACAAAGCAAGATCTTCTCCAACTGATTGGCCGAACAGTCAACATAAGCAAACCCATAAAGTGGTGTGTCCAACCAAAGCCCATTTGAGCAATAGCATCCCGGTTAAAGCTGAACTAGTTATAATTTTCTTGTATTCATAAAGAAGATATTGCCTATTCAAGTCATCATTGGTCAAATGAATATGCAGAGAACTATGTTGTCTATTACCAGCACAAGGTTCCCATACTTTACCCACGGTAGGCGTGCTTGGTACCGGTTCCAACAGAGAAGCTTTATGAATCATGATCTTCCCAGTCTTGGTCTCATTACGAAGGATGACCACCCTCAGAGACTAATCCTAAATCTAACTTCTTAGCTAAACTCTTGGCATGATACAAATCATGGTTAAACTTCATAAACTGATTCAACCTCAACACGATGGTTGATTACAGCTTCGATGTATTCGGGCAACGCATCCGATTTGACTCCTGCATTGCTTGTATTAACTGCTTGACTTGGCGTAATCAAGTAACGACTAAGCAGCGACTTCTTATAAAGTCAGTAAGTAGTTTGTTTATTTGCAAACGTATCGTACCAGGATTGTGGATCTCTTTCTATTGGGATCTTCACATACATCAATTGGACTTGGGACAGCTGCTTTGGCTGATGGCGTATGGAAAGCTTTATTGAATAAAATGTTTAACACAGTTGAGTTATTTCTGATTTGTGATCGAGGGTACTAGTAATCATATTGGCAACATTATTTCTTAGTCTGGCTTTACTGGGGTAGCTCAATGGGTGGATTTTTGTTGGTGTCCAAAATTCCAATTATCAATGTGTGTCTTAGAATGGTTTTCGACGACACTAATTATTTGCGACTAATTTGCTTTACAAAATTAAGAAGATGAGATGTATTTCCATGTTGAAGTTTTCCTATTTTACATCAGAAGCTACTACAATATGAGCAAGAGTTTACCATTGACTTCAAGAGCCAAGACCACTGCTCTAAAGCAGCCAAAAGAGTTGTTTACATACACAAGAGATATTGATGGAGAATACCATTACAATGCCAATCAATCGCATGAACATCTCCCGTATTACTATTTGCCCGATAGCAAAGTTGATACTCGAATAGATTTGCAGCTGGGCTTTAAAAGCTTCAAGAAAATACCTGAAGAGGCCAACATGTCTGATTTTGAACCACTACTTGATGCAATAACGCAATATGAACGTGATGAAGTGCTGGGGGGTAAAATTGAAGGAGATGTGATTACATTTAGAGGAATCATGACGAGATTAATGTCTATACCGTATAATTTACAAGATGCGTTGGATTTGGTGATTGTACCATTTGATGGTCAATTATTTATAAATTTCAACAATGAAGTTGAATTGAAACGACGCAAAGAACAAGATGATAGATTGAGGCAAACTTCCACCAAGGAGAAATATGAGTATGTCAAGAAGTGTGAATACAGTGGATACAAATTTGAGACCGTTGCCACCATACCTGAGCCTTGGAAGGATGTACTGAGGAAGTATGTCGAGAGTCGCCACAAGAAACCAGTCAATAATTATGAACAATTTTTATCAGTCATTAAAACAGGAATCGGTCCAGTTAAATTAATTCTAGCTGGTGAAGTAGATTGCTGTTGGGATTTCATACCGGAAAAAGCATCCGCTTCATTGCTGCATTATGTCGAATTGAAAACGAGCAAAGTAATTGATTCAAACTCCCAAATTGTCAATTTTGAAAAGAAATTATTCAAAACGTGGTGTCAATGTTTCCTTATGGGGGTTTCCAAAGTCATTTATGGATTCAGAGATGATTCATTTATTTTACGCAATGTCGAAATTTATCAAACAGAAGAGATCCCATTGTTGATTAAAGATAATCCATTGAACAATTTGAAGCAAAACCAAGCGCAGAAAATCAACTGTACTAGTGCTTTGAAATGGTATGGAGCTGTTGTTGAATGGTTGAATGAGGTGATTGATAAAAATGATGAACTGGTTAGTTATAATTTGAAATATGATTTACTGAAGCGGAGTCTAAGTTTGAGTAAAACTAGTAAAGAAATTGATGAGAAATTACGGAATGGAGGCTTGTTGACTCAGGAGTTCAAGAATTGGAGACAAGAGTTGAAGAATCAATGAGTAAAGAGGGGATATTTTTGGTAGATCAAATAGCTTCATAATCTCAGCCTAGAGATGGTGTTAGACTTCGAACAAAATGTAAAACAATTTTGACTTTATATTCTATACGCATGCTCAAATGTGTTCATCTTTTCTAATTTACCGTCCATTTCAGATTTTCACAACTGTGGGTCCTTCTTCAGTACTCGGTACTGCTTCTTTCTCCTTGCACCCTGCACCCTGCGCTATCTCTCCTTAATATACCATTTGTTTAGGATCCCATTTTTCATTTTGAATAAATTCAATCAACGATTTACTCCCCGTTTGCAACAAAGGATGGCCACTTACAATAATCAAAAACCGTTCCAACCCTTGTCTTCTTTTTTCTATATTTAATTCGTTAAATTTATTACTATTCAACAAAATCTTGCCTGGTAATGGAGGTATTACAACACGCGTAGTTTCTTGTTCCAAGATTTTCCTGAATGCCTGAAAATCACTATACCGTCTTCTAATCCTGCTTGATCGTTTTTTAAAAGCGGGGATATTGGTTCGACAGATTATTTCGTAGTCGGTATATTGATTATTACCATATCCATGAGTTATCGGATTACGCACTTCAATTTCGAGAAAATCCTCTGGTTCACCGTATAGTTCATTGAATGATTGGGCCTTGTTTTTGGGAGAAGTGTTTATGACGTCACTTATGGGCTGGAATTGCTTGGACATGGGGTTGTGAAAAAAGAAGGGTATAGGTGGAATGGATGTGGCGGGAGATGTATGTGTATGTGTCTGTGTATGTGTAAAATGTTTGTAAAGATGTAGTTGGTTGACTAAAAGATTGGCTTGTTATACGAAGCTGGTCTGCTCTCTCTCTCGTTGGTGTTGCACTTTTATGGGTGTATCTGCCCTTGGTTGAGTAGAATTTCGAATGTAAAGATTATGTTGACAACAATTGAAATCATGCGCCTTATTTTTTGTATGAATTGATAACGAGCGCTACCAAAAGATCAGGAGCTCCAGAGCTCGTAAACATATCGTTCTGATCAAGGCTACTGATGGTTTTACTTCAGAATAGTGGTGTCTAAGTTGATTTTTGAAAATTTTTTTTGTTGTTTTATTCAAGGAATTGTGGATTGTTTTACAACCGAGCTATTTTTTTACGTTACATGGATCGGACTCTCAAGTAGTATCGATCCGTAACAAGAGTGGCTCTTGTGGCTCCTCCTTTGAGCTTATTAGTGTCTTTTTAAAGAGATTAATACTGACTGCAAGAGTAGATATCAAGATAAAGAGATGCAATTCACTTTAAAGCCGCTCAGTAGTTCTTTATGCAAATATTTAATAAATAACATTAGATTATACCATTAGCTATTCAAACACCTGTATTGCAACACATCAATCATAGAATATATTGTAAAGCACTGCAAGTTAACTCACATTAATCATTTTAGAACATAAGAACTCCTTTCGCAAACTACTAGTGCTTGTATTTGTTTAATAAAACATTCCTCTGTTACCGGGAGCATCTTCAATCTTGTTGCTAACCCAGACCCAAACGTGTGGCCAGCCAAAAAAGCAAGCCATTCCTCCAAACCACATACCAATATCGGGTATTCTTCTAATAAAGTACTTGTATTGAGGAGTTATTTTAATTGCTCTTTGTGATGCTAATCTAGTGATTGTTGGGTGCATTGCTGATTTCGTATACAGAAAGTGGTTTATTTGGTTTAAGAAAAGGTAGGTGGAAAGGAAAAAAGTGAGGACGAAGGTATAAAGGACTATATATATTTACATATATATGTATATGTGGTGGAAAGCTGCATAAGGTTATAAATGAAAGATATAATTGGTCAAAAGTTTATACAATGTTACATTATACATAAAAGAGAGAGTTGTAAGTAATAATGGTTTTCTATAATAAAGTTAAAATCAGCAGATTTATGTTTATGCATATATTTAGTATATTATGATATATTATAGTATGGTTATGCACTGTTATTGTAATAATATATATTTTGTTGTTGTATAACGATGCAATTTGATGGGTGCAAAATTTAAAATACAAAAACACACAGATACATACACATATCAATTTAAAACCATTTACAATATAGTTGATGGCTTTGGTTACCTATGGGAGACACATACAGAGTAAGCCATCTACAAGGTATTCTTTTCACAGGATGTTCTCACTCCCTATGACTCTGTTCAAGAAAAGGCAAAGGACTGAAATTTGTGGTGTGATTTTATTTTTTTTTCTCTATTTTGTCTTCTTTTTTTTTTCTGTGTCCCACTTTGGCAAACGCAAGAGATTTTCAAAGACTCATAACCCAATTCCAATTTGTTAAAATGGACCACGTCTTTTTAAGTTTTGGGCTGTGGTATCCTGTTAAGGAGTAATATGTTCTCTACACCAATGAAATACTATCTTGCAATCTTGAAGACTGGAAAGAAGATTGTTTATCAATGCTCTAACCAAAAAGACTCTCACCTATGCCAAACCCCAGAAATCATGCCAAATTGTTCATTTTGTGTGTCAAATAAACGAAACGCTAAACAATACAATAAGGTGATTGTATTGTTTAGCGAGTTCCTAAATTACCCGACCTTTATTGCCTAAACACATTGGCGAACATTCTCCAGATTGTATCCACCTTGAAGGCAAGAGAATCTCCTTCACAGTTTGATGTCTCTACATCTGATTCGAACAATGAATAACAAATTCACATTCAATACATATACTATATATATAAATAAACAAAACAAGATGTCAACATTTAAAACAAAACAAACTAGTGTGGGCAAATATGCTGAAAGCACTGTTTAACCTCCAACACTCCACACAAACCATAAATAAAGAATCCTTCACCATAACAATCGTAAAATAAAAAAGTAACCAACAAAAGAAATGGGCATTTTACCCATTCCTCAATTTAAAACTCCTCTAAAAGAAGGGTATCTAACTTTGCTTCTCCTTTTCGTTCTCCATCTCCATGTATTGTTCTTGAGCATCAAAAGTGTTGGCATTAGCATTAACATCTTTAATAACAGCAACCCTCATTGTGGCCAAGATATTATGTGCTGCATTTGAATGACGATAAACAGCACCACTAAAAGCATCAGTAGCATCCTTACCCAAAGTAGCTCTAATCAAAGCTTGTCCACCTGGATGTTCTTTAATAAAAGACTTGACATTGTGAATGATACCACTTATTATAATCAAACCTTCTTTCTTGGCACGTTGGTTAAATTCTTCTCTTGTCCAAACGGGTAACTCATCAACGCTTGATCCCCACTTCAATTTTTGTCTTTGTCTATCCAACTTCTTTTGTTGTTGTTGTAAAAGACCTTGTTCAATGGCATTCTGAGAAAACATCTTCAAGTTCCAAGCCAAGCCAAATTGAGACAATGTATAGATAACCATCTTGGTTGGGTCGTATTGGTACCACTTCAAGGCATTTCTATAGTCACTTGGGAACTCGTGATGGAAGTTGTGGTAACCTTCACCAAAAGTGACAAATGCCGTTAAGACATGATCTCTTGGTGTTCTTCTATCGTCAAATGGTTGAGTACCAATCCAATGAGCCAATGAGTTGACACAGAAAGTAGCTTGTTGGATGAAAAACGACTTGAAGATACCAGCATAGATGAATCCTCCCCAATAATCACCCCAAAAGTATCCTGCAATCAAGGTTGGCAAAATGAAAGCCGAGAAAACCATCAAGAGCAAGTAATGTTTGTGTTGGAAAACAACAACTTTATCAGCAATCAAATCGGAAATGTCAGCTCTAGCTCTGTTTTTGGGGTTGGCCTTTTGCAACATCCATCCTAAGTGGGAATACCAAAATCCATTTCTGGCATCATATGGGTCCCTTGAAGTATCGGTATACCTATGATGAACTCTATGAGAGTGGCCCCACCACTTGATTGATCCTTCAATGGCACCAGCACCAAAAAAGGCGAAAAACATACGTACTGGCAATGCAGCATCATATGACTTGTGAGCATACAAACGATGGTAACCAGCAGTGATTGACACTCCACTAAACACGTAAAGAATAAATGCCAACACCATAGTTTTCAATTGTGGTGGAACGGAAAATGCCGTCATCATACCTATGGTAGGAACACCAAGAACCAATATAAGATTTAGCCAATTAATCTTTTGTGCAAAATTGTTCATTGTCCATGGTTCTTCCGATATGTGTTTCTTATGAGCGTATTTGGCCTTCTCTCTAGCATCTTTTTCAGCCAACGATTCCATAGAATCTTGGGTGATTTCTTCAGCAGTGACTTTAACCAAGTCTGCAGTACCCATCAACTTACCACCTAAACCAGCAGCCACAATTCTGGGTACTTTTTTGTTGGTACCAGCGGCAATGGCATTTAGTTTGGTGATTTCAACGGTCTCCAATTGTTCTGTAGAAGTGGTAGAAGCCATTGTGAGACGTGATATCCTTCTATGTTTGTGTGTAAAAATGTAAAGCTATAAGAAGAAAAAGGGATAGTGATAATCTTGTTTCTGTTTTATATGAAAAAAAAAGTTGTGTGATGAGGGTATGGTTTTGATTGATAATTTTTGTTGGGTAGCTAGTAAGAACAAGACAGTGTATGATTCTGTCTGTCTGTAGATGTTTATAATGTAATTGAGATTTGATATAAAGAAGAATATACTAAAAGTGTACAATTGAAATAAAAGAAGAGAAATTATATATCTAATATATATATATATATATATTCATATGACAGGGGTGTTAAAGAAAATGGTCTGTTATCTGATGTTATAAAAATAACTGCAAAAAAAAAAAGAGTAAAAAGAAATTATGCACCTCCTTAAACATCAAATAATTACACAAAAGACTACAGGTTTACCCAAAAAAAAAATTTTAAACGAGAAGGGGCGTTATAAACCGATGAGAAGACAGTTCTACCATTCCAATTTTGTTGCTGTTGTTGGGAATCAAAGGTCAATTGAATATAACAGCAATCAACTACGAGCTTATGTCATTGACTACAGCCTTCTTCGTAAAAGAGAGAATAGAAAATGAGCAGTTGGAAGATTATAAAGCATCCCGCGGTTAAATTGAAAGCTTGGGCGTTTTTTACTCAACAAAAACTTTAATTAAATAATATTATATGCAGGACTCGCAGATGAAATGAATCTTTCGTAATTCATTCATATAACAAATAGTAACAATAGTAATAGTACTATTTGAACAATACACACTACCCCTTTGCCAAAGTAAGACATTTTTTTGCATTTAAAAATGTTGGGGAGAATCTAGTTGAAAAAAAAAAAAGAAGCGCAAATAGTTGACAAATCAATCGACTGATTCTGTCCTGTTGTGATTCTATACGATGAAATGACCCTATTTTTTCTCTTCTCTGCTTCTGCTTTCCACTATTCATTCTTTCTTATTAGTAACCCCTTCCCACGGGCTACCATAAACTGCTTATTTTATAAAATAGGAGACATATCATAGTGACAGTGTGTGTACTCAAAAGAAACGTTTGATGTGTATACTTTTTTTGGTGATTTGTACACTACCTTCACTTGCAGATGTTTTTCCTTAACTCCATTTTATCTCCTTAATGAGTTAGTTAGTTAGTTAGTTAGGCGGACTTTAGAACGCAAAATACTTTCATTCAAAAACTGTTTCCCTTCTAGTTACTCTTTTTTGGGACTTACGCTATGAGGCTATAGTATTTATCGCTTTCAAGTTTATACTTCCTGTCATCCGAACCACACCCATTTGTAGTTAACTGTTCAGCAACCCAACATCAATACTTAACTTCCCTTTGGCATTCGTATGGTCCCCATTGACCCTTTAGTTATCTACCTTGCTTTATCAACTTTACACAATTTTTTTTTTTGACTTTTATTTTGCAATACTCTCAGCCAAAAAAGTCTGGTGATTTCACTCCAACTTTACTCCAGCTCAATGCAACCGTTGATGGAACAAGTAGTTAGCCATCAGATCCCAAGTGCGAAGAGCCGTATATTGTACCGCAACGGTTTAACGGCTATACCTAACTACCAGTACGTCGGTCGCCCCACCCAACACTCAACAAAAAGAATTTCTTTTTTATTCGCAACCGCCCTTGTCAAAAATCATATGCACTGAGACCAAATCTTTTTTTGCTTCATCTAAATCTATCTATACGAGAGAGAGAGAGAGAGAGAGAGAGAGAGGGCGGAAAGAAGAAATGGATGTGGTTGCAATAAGAAAACAGGGCCTCGTAAGCTCAATCCTTTTGTAATCTCTCTTTACCATTTCACTTTACTTACAGAATGATTACTCATTGATCCAATGCAGAAATTTCTTTGTGTTTTTGTTTATTAGTAATTATTTCTAGTAAAAATAGATTCAATGGACTTTTTGTTTACATAAACCATAAGTCTGAAGCCTAAACCTTTTGAACGCATTCCCATTGAGCAAACACATACCAGCTATTACCATTATCACCAATGACTAATCCCCGATAAACACCTAGTTCCAGGCACTTGATATTTGACGAATACAATCCAAATGGTTTGGCAATTGAGTTAGTGGCTCTAACACAACCATACTCCTCTTCTTTCTCTCGCTCTTCATCTTCATCACGTGTCAATTTGAAATATTTTCCCAGCGGCGACTCAATCACAACCTTAAAGTCGGCTGGCAGTGATGTAGTCGACTTCATAGCCAAAGCAGCAGCAGCATGACGTAGCCCATGGCTGGGATACTGTTCAATTTGAAACAGATAGGTGTTTTTAACCATCAATTTATTGGCTTGTGGTTTAACAATATACAAATCATTCAATTGACTTTGGACTGTGGGGAAGCGTTGGACAAATTTGGTTTGTCTAGTTGCACCTTGATGTGTTAAGGGAACAACGATGGATAACTGGTGAATATTATCAAAATGCTTTTGTAATCCCTTGGGTCCAGCAAAGATTTGTAATACACCAATTGATTCATTCTTGGGTAGGATGGCCTTAATTTTAGCCATACGTTTATGATTAACCCATCTAATTTGGCATAAACTTAAATCATTAGTAGTGACTCTTGATGTTTTAACTAATGTAAACAATTCAACATCAGCAGGAACATACAATTCCAATTCGAAAATCTCCAAATCTTTCAATCTAGTTAACGCATTGTTGAAATTGTAAAACGACAACTCATTGGCATAAAACCCCGAGTAAGTTCTGGGTAAATAGAAGGCAATGCTAGGATCGATCGGAGGTGTCACATGCTGTAAGTCAATTATTGATGGGATATGCGTCGACACTAAACTTAATGGCTGAGCAAGAAAATAAAATTCATTATAGGAACACTCGTGTAAGTTGCAAACTGTGGGGTTTTTAAAATTGAACAAGTCAATTAATCGGAATTTGTCTTCAACTAATACCGATAACCAACAATGATTGATGACATATTGCTCATTGTGATAAAATTCATTGGGTTTTTTCCAAAATCCTAAAACAATCTCACATGGGATTCTCAATGCATCAAGGATTTTTTTAAAGATGTAGTTGATTTGGAAAATTGATGCTTCTCCCTTCAGTTGTACTTCTTTCAATTTGGGTTTCACTTGAGAAATAACCGATGATGATGGCAAACGTTCTCCTCCTACTGATTGTTCCTCCTCTTCTTCGATTATGTGGAATTTGCACAAGTGTAATAACACACCCCTTATCTTTGCCAATTCTGAACTATGAAACTTGACTGATATATCAGATATAAATTCATTCAAATCGTACCGAATGTCGTAATTACCAATAAACGCATCAATTTTGGAATATGGAACCGATGATAAATCAATAAAACCATCATTATCATCAGTCACAAAGTCTCCATTTTCTTGACTAACCGCAGTCGTTGTTTCATTCGTATTGATTTCGGTAATGTAGTCCAATGGTTTAACAATCAAGTTGGCCTCACTTTTAACTACTCGTTTAGTCCGGCCTTGTTTCTCTTTCGAGGTTAACGAATTCATTCTATTGATGTCCATCTTGTAACTAACCAAATCAATCTCATCTTGTCGTTGTAATCTTTGTTCAATTGGATTTAATTGTTCTTGAGTTGATCGTTTCAATAACTTTTTGAAAATGTTTCCATTTCCTTTCCTTTTGTCCTCAAATACGGCATTCATCACATCTGATTTAGACTCTGTATAATGTAAATCGTCCAAATCTTCTTCTTCTTCTTCTTCTTCTTCCTCAACCATGGTGGCATCATAAATATCCTCATTGATATTCATGCCCTTCATACGCGATTGGCTTTGTTGTAAATCTTTTTCGTATTTATGTCTCATAAATGAGCCGGCACTTGTTGCACTCAACTCAGACAAGTTCATCACATCACTTTGTAATGATTTGATAGAGTTTTTCAACTCTTCTTGTTGCATGTATAAGCGGTAATAGTCATCGTCATTAGTGATATTCGCCACTGCCATTCCCAGGTCTTGGTGGCCTGATGAACGAAAATCATCAGTATCAAACGGAATTCTCATTTGTGAGTTAGAGCCCATCTCATTGTTTAATGCCCCACTTGGTGATGATGCGACTTGTGACTTCATTGGGGTCAAGTGCTTTGGTGGAGGTGGAGGTGGCGGAGATTCATCACCAGCGACCCGTCTTTGCACATTGCTTTTAGTGTTGACATAATTAAGCATCATTGGGTTACTAGGCTTGCCACGTTGCATGTCCTCTTCTTCATCAGTGATATAACTTGACATTTTTTTACTCAAATCATCACGGGAGTACCGTTGTCTGTCATCGACAGAGTCATATGAGTCAATGGAATATTCCTCCTTAGTTCTTGGTGAAGAAGTATTGTATTTTGGGGTTGGCATTGGATATCTTTGATCTTGTGACCTAACCAGAAAATCATTACGCTTTAACTTTTGCAACTCGTACTCCAATTCAGCTCGTTTCCGAGCAATTTCTTCGTATTCGTTGATGAACTCCTGCTCCCGTGGCGCTTTGCTCTTATTCTGTCTTGGAGATGTAACATTAGGCGACAATGGCAATGATGAATGACTTCCATAATGCACTTGCTGTTGCTGTTGCTGATGCTGCTGCGCTAGCTTCTCTTTATATTGTTGTCTCTGAGCCAAGTTGGCAGACTTGACATCAGCATATGAGCTTGACTTGTGCGATGCACCTTGAGGATATGGTTGTGAATGAACCATGTCTCGCTGTGCCGACATCATGCTATTTCGATTCAAGTCCAGAGTTGACTTATAGAGTTTGTAATTGTCAAGTTGTTGCTGCTGCTGCTTCAATTGTTGTTGCATACGTTTAAAATTTTCAATTTCGAAATCACGATCGCGTTGAAGTTGCAATTGTTGTTGATATTGACTTAATTTACCAGTGGAGAAGCTTCCTTGCGAAGCTGATGCATGAATAAAATTGTTTTTTTTTCCCATTGATGGTGAAATTCCATCAGAACTTTGGTTCATTCTATCATACGAGCCTCGTGATGTTGGTGAGTTCACATCACCCATTTTGTAATTCATCATGGTGTTTGATGAGAGTTGCTTTTGAAACCGATCAACTGACATAGTACTGCCACCCATCATCTTTCCCTTTTTAGTAGGAGTGCCCAATCCCGACGTAGGAGGAGGAGTGGTTCTCGAACTATCTTCCTCCATTATAGAGACATATTCTCGGGGAAATATCCCCTCAGCTCCATTTCGACGTAGCTTCCCACTCCACCAACTCTCATCAACTATGGAAAATACCTGGATCAATTCATTTTCAAGAAACCCCAAGTCACCAGACTCTTCACCAGGCCATGAGACAGTTGTTTTTACTTTGAATGGTAGGGGAGGTATTGTCATGAATGAAAACGAAAGAAGGGGGGCTTTGAAATGCAAAGGTGAAGATAATCAAAATGGTAATTGAAAAACAAAAAAAAAAAACAAAATGCAATGAATTATAGATTCAAATAAAAGGAATGGATTGTGAAAATGCTAAATGATGACGATGGTGCAATGTAAATGAATGAACGATGAGTGTATGGTTGTTGTTGAAAAAGAAGTTGAGATCAACCATATAAAAAGAAAAAAAAGTAAGGCAGAAGTGGTTATATTTTTTGTAGAAGTATGAAAGGGCTTTAGTCAAAAATGAAGACAAGACAAGAGATTTGGGAAAACAATGATAATCTGTTTAACTCTGTTTGCTAATTGCTATAATTAAGTTTCTGTTTTTGTACTTCTCGTTTTATTGAGAAGTAGTTGGGACCATCATCATCTTTAAGTGTATCTCCAAAGCAAGAGATTTCCCAATGGGCAGAAAGATTGAAACTTTGATTTTGTGTTGCACTTCTTAATTAGGTCAATTGGTAAACAAAAAGACATTATTGAGTGTTTGTATCACAATGCAAAGCAAAAGAGACAATTACTGTCGTGTCGCAAAAAATGCTTTGGTCCGTTGTATTTTCGAATGCAACATGCAGAAGAACAACCAAATATGTATCATTTGAAGGATTACAAATGATAGTTAGAAGTAATCGGTGTGTCATGCAAAACGACCTGTTTGTTAGACGCTTTTTGACTGTTCAATAGCTGGACATTGAACCAAAGTACTAATGATCTTTTTAGTGGGTTTTGCTTTTTTACTCTTTTGGTTGTATATTCTCTACTTATCCAGTTCTTTGCTTCTAAAAAGTACAACACAGTTGATGATATGTGTAATCACATTCCCCTTAAAAATTGACTAATTTGATTTCTCCTTTCTCAATAATATATATATATATAGCATACACACACAGCGTTTCTTATATACCGGAAGGAGGGGTATTGTTTATTTTGCAACACTATAAATATAAATAGGACAACCTCTCCACATACCCCTTCAAGAAAAGAAAAGGAGTTTCTTCTTCAAACTTTGACAAAAGCAGTAAATTTCCTAGGGTTTTTAGTATGACCTTTGACGGCCTCTTTGCTCTAATGGAACCAAATAATAAGTGTACCAGCTCCCACCCAAAACTTTACTAACACTCTGACATCACTGTGTTGGCTTCTAGACAAAATTATGTCAATAAAATAACTACACTACCAATGACCAATGAGATTTGGGTAATAGTGCTTTCAATATAGTGTTGTCCATAACCCACCTTGATTCTGGATAACATACTTGGAAGAATTATATGTGTATGTGTATGTGTATGTGTATGTGTGTATGCGTGTGCTTTTTTTTATATGGATTGATTTAATAACGTGTCTGTGTCTTTGTCTTTCACTCACAACTAATCAATCTAATGTGAAACAGAGTCCCCTCTGCCCCACCCTCATGGGGTCTCTTTCATATAAATACCTATCAGTGATTGCGTTTCGGCTTGTTTTGCGAATTCGTGAATAAGGCATTCTTTATGTTATCAAATTCCAGACAATGAAAATTATATTCTGTTTTAAGGGCGTTTGTTGGTAATATTCTGCCACATTCAGGTACGTATAACTATATCAGCTACTACTATGTAATACCACTAGTTACGTACCGATAAAGAAGAGGTATATCCTTTGGGTATTGCCTTAAATACTTGTTAAAATGTACGAGTAAAGGACTTTGGGTAAAAAAAGACGATACTCTGTTTGTAGTTTTTTGATATACTCTTCTCTATGCAAATCAGAGATTGGTGAGGTGCTACAGTCGTAATATTGAAGAATGACTTTCTTCTAAACGGATGCCATCAAAAAATAACCTATGTTTCAGATGAATAACTCAACAGGCTTGCTGACAAATATCCTGATAAATACATAGTTTATAGAGCGGTACTATAGTAATCTTTTCTTGCAGATGTTCATCTAAAACCGTAGCCAAGAAGAAGTACAATCATGTATCATACCATAAGAAAAGAGCAAATGAGATCCGTACTCCACTGCACACAATCCCCCCACCATTTCCACAATCATCATGCTCGCCAATACTGCGCCAAACTATGTAACCGGTCAATAACAACCGGCAAAAATGCATTGACGCTATCATTAATCAAATCCTGGAAATGCAAAATGGCCTCTTCTTCACTCATTTGTAAACAAAACTTTTCTTGCACTTTTTCAACCACCCGTGACGGATCAGCTGTGATATCAGGAATATTGGCATCCAACATCAACTGAAATAAGTTGAGAATCAAATTACTATTCTTTCTCAATGTAGTATACGTAATAAAACAATAATTCTTGAACACATGGAAATTCTCATGCTCCATTCCACCCATGCCATCAATTACTTGTATGGGCAACTTCATCAATGGTGGGAACGGTTTGGGATCACGTCCTAATATATAGCCGAAATCAGCGTGCCAGAATTTACCATTGGGCGATAGTAATAGATTATCCAAATGACGATCACCAACTCCGAGAATGTAGGTAATGACGCAATATCCGGCACATGACTTGACATAATTGTCCATAAGTTTCGGTGACACGCCCAAATCGGAGGCAATAGCGGCTTTGGGTTGTGGTGGTAGTTCGGGTGGGCTACTATCATCATTATTGGTTGAACTTGATGAATGCAACACGCTTTTGGAAATGGGTTCGATTGTTTTTTGATCTTGGTCTTGGTCTTGACTATGAATTCTCAAGTAATTTAGTATTCCATTGCTGGTTACATGAGGAGGAGGTGGTGGTGGTAGAACATCTCCTTCAGATGCAGCGATAGTTGTAGTTGCAACAGTACCAGTACCAGCAGCACTACCTGCTCCTGCTGGTGGTGGCGGCACTTGAGTATACTTTGACAAGACGACATCCAATGTCTCATTCGGCACAAATTGAATAAGCCCCGCTATGGGACTAGTAGCAAGGATCTTGTACGGAGTCAACTTCAAATCCAAATTCTCATTCTTCAACAACTGGTCCATCAAATTAATAATTTGAATAACCAATTGGTCTTGTCGCAAATCATCACCAACCTTAAACATCAATGGGTACTTGCCATACTTGTTTGTTGTCCTTTTACCAAATATTTGTGAAGTCTGTCGATTCTTACGCTTATGGTCAATCGTCTTCAACGTGATTTTCAAGGGAGCTAGCGATGATTTAAACACGGAGGATTCTTGAGGATAGCACCCACAAACCATAACAGTTGGGTCTAATGGCAAGGGAAACGGTTCAGGAAACTTGAGTAACTCATTAGTTGATGAAGATAAATAATCGCGTAGAAAATCCACTTTTTTAGCAGTGGCTTCACCCTTTTTGAAACTAGTTCGTAATAGCTCGACCAAATGAGTAAGCTTTTTAATAAACCAAATTTGGCGTTTAAGATGCTTATAATTGGGTAATTTATGTTCGTGGCAATATGTTTGCAAACATTCAATATACTTGTTCAATATGATTCCATAAATGTTGCTGGTCGCACCATGTTGACTCAATGTATCTTCATTTTCCACCTTGACATACCAGTAAAAGAAATTGCCCAAGTTTTCATTTTCAACCGCTAGTTCAATAAGAAATTTGGCAAGGGGTAGGTCCATACAATTTAGAACCGTGGTGGATCCTTCATCTTCAATATCGTCCTTATTCCTCTTGTCCTTTGCCACCTGTGCAATATCTTGATAAATCAACGCCTCATATTTCAAAGCTTGAACCAACTGTAAAAGATAAAGCAACAACTCTTCACTCCTAGCCAATTTCAATCGTTCAACCGCCAACTTCCTCAAATAACAAACATTATCAAACACTTTTTGAAATTTCACTTCATCTTCTTTCAATTTAGTATCGCCCTTGGAAGCAAAGTTATCTTCAGGGTACCGTGGCCTTCCCAACACATGAGGATTGAAAAAACTACCCAACAATTCCAATGCATCGCCAATTTGTAAATTTTCGACATTCCAATACAAAGGTAGGATCTCCTTGAAGGTATGGTCCAACTCATAATCGTTTTCCCAATTGATTGATTTAAGAAATTTGGGCAAGAAGGATTTAGTCGATGCCTTATTGGTTGAATCGTTGGAATTGTTTTTGCTGAAGTAGTATCTGAATCTCCACATTAAATTCTTTTCATTGTCGGTCAACTCAGCATTGGATGGTTTCAACAATATTTTCAATAATTCATCACGTAATTGCGGCGACGGTTTCAAGTCCTTATCAATGATGGAGTTATTGTTGATATTTCTCTCCAATTTATGAAACTTCAACTCGATTGGGTCCAACATTAGATTCGTTGCATTAGCAGTGCCGTTTGTATTTGCATTGGGCGTTGTTGTTGCACCAGCAGCAGTGCCATTAGGAGCATTATTTGTACCAGCATAATTTGCCGTTAATTGGAAATCAGGGTCATAGATTTTAGCAGCTTTGGGATCGGATGAAGTCGACATGGGGATATCAATTGAATTAATCACCTTGCTTGTAGTTGCATTGTTTAATAGCGGATTGACACTCGTTCTCGGTTCTAATCCCGGTACGTTGTAAGTGATGTCTGAATACACAATAGGAAACTCATATTGCGGAAGCTCAACGTACAAGTAATAATCGTGATCGCGGGTACAATCTGAAGTCACATCAATCATGGGTAATGCAATCTTATCAAGCCAATTTATTCGAGGATACTGTCCATTTTCGTAGTTGATCAAATCTTGCTCTAAAGTAGTCAATCCAGTCAATGTACCATAATTCAACTTCCCTGCTTCAGAATCAACATCTGCTTCAGTATATATAGGAACTTTATGCGACCCACTTCGCAACGTAGATGATTTGTGATTGAATAGACTAAGGAACCCCACCCCAAATACAACTGGCTTTGTATCGACAATCTCTATCACGGAAAACTTGACATACGAATCATACCACACTTGATCACCATCTATAGCCAACTTTAAGACTTGGTTCCATATTCGCTTCTTGTTATTGAATGCCTTGTACGACGTTTGAATCGGTATACTGATCAAATTGTTATCTTTACCATCATAAACCTCAATCGTCACGTATAGGTCCAGATATCGATATATATTGGATAATTTTTGGAATACCTGGGGGTTTGCAAACTTTTCCGAAACGGTCGCTAGTTCAAGGTTGGGGTTTGTACATTGCATATAATTGATCTTGATATTGATTGGTTGTGATAGGTCTTTGGATAAGCCGAATGTAGCCAACACTCGATTGCTAGGAGTTGGTGACTCCTGGTGTGATGTGGAAATAGTATTCATTGATACTAGAGGGGGCTGACTTTGTTATTTGAAAATTTATGGACTCAGATAAAAGAAAGCATTGCACCTCTTGGAAAGTAATTTTGATGTGCTCTACCTTACTCAGTGCGGCTCATGATTCCAAAAAAAAAAACAAAAATATACAATGATTGATATTCTATACGGGGATTTGTATTTCTCTATATATAGTTTAAACAAAATGCAAATTTAGTTGTTCTTACCAAACCAGAACCCATCATTATTATTGGAGTTATTTCCTCTTGTATTAGCATTTGGTGATTTCATAGGGTAATCATCTTCAGAATCATCACTGCCATCTCCATCAGTTTCAAAATTGTAAAAGAAAGGTCTAGCCTTTTTAACTTCACCACCTTGTCCCTGCTGCGGTTGTTGTTGAGGCTGTTGAGGTTGAGGTTGAGGTTGCAGTTGCAGTTGTTGGTGCCCATTTGAAAAGGACGAGTAATACTTAACCGAGTTCTTTCTTGGCCCTGATTTCCTTCTGGGAGGTGATTGAGGTACAGAGGGCTTCCCTTGTTTATTCTTGAACGATAATGAAAGTGGCCTCACTTCATTTGAATTAAGCGACCCCTCACTACGAGAATTGCTCGTTCTTTCACCGTTGTCGTTGTCCTCATCATCCTCATCACGATCTGAGCCTGAATCTGAGCCTGAACCTGATCCTTCATATTCATCATCACCACTGTTTTCATTACTATTATTAGCAGAGTCAGAATTCATGGTGAAACTTTGAGGCAATTGATTTTGCGACTTCTTTTGTTGATAAGACAAAAATAATGGGTTGTTAATTCTCTTTTTATTCAATGATCGAGCCCGGTTCAAAGTTTCAATAGGTGATGATCGGTTAGCTGCTGCCGCAGCAGCAGCGGCGGCGGCGGCAGTGGGAGGTTCATGATGTTCTTTAATAATATCCAATTCATCAACGCTTTGGTCACTAATGGAGTCAACTGACATATCAGATTCATTAGACCTCACTCGGTTAATCACTTGTGGGAAATACGAATCCTTGGTATGGTGGGCAACAAATACTGATGAGTTTGGATTGGAACTGGATCTATTTCTATTTTGAAGCTGGGAAGACACGTATTTTGGAAGATCAGTGGAAGAATTTTCCGCCGAAGATGACGACATTGTGGGTCGAGTGTTGCTATATTGTTGTAGATTGACCTGTGAATTGACTCGGGAGTTGAGTTTATGGATGGGTATTTCTGAAGTGTTTGAATACTTCAATTTAATTGGTTGTACAGACTCATTACTCAAAATCTTTGATAAATCAATTACCGAGTTCGATTTTGACGGTGCCGAATTGGGTGACACATCTGGACTTACTCTTTTTGAAGGCGGATTAGTTATGGCAAACCCCTTTTTAAAAGCTTCACAATTCATCATTTTTTCTTTAAATTCTGCTCTGATCATAAAATGCTTTTTATCAGGAATCCAGTCCTTTGCTGCAGGACAAAGGTAATTATGTCTTGCTGGTGGTAATCCATTGACACTTTTTGAAGCTGACGTAGACTCAATCTTGAATGAAGCTCTTGGCTTATATTCATCCTTTATATCTGCTTCCTTGGGTTTATCAATAAGATCATCCTTTTTAATGAAGTTTGTTTTATAATATACAATGTCTGTTTCCAAGTTTAAGCCTGTGTCAATCCCTTCTCTCCCAGAAATGCCAAGTGCATCCTTGACGAGTTTCCAGTAGTAATTTCGAGGATCGAATTCTTCAGCTTCGTCCACCACTTCGTCGCGTTTCAATCTCCTAGCCAAATTAATCTTTGCCTCGGGAATCTCTTCAAATATAGGGTGGTTGATAAAATAAGACATTAGATTGTTGATCAAATATCCATGAGACACAATAATAATAACATCCTTGTTCTTGATATATGATTGTTTGTCGTATGTTGCCAACAATTTCTGGAAATACTCTTTGCATCTTGCTTGGTATTCTTTGTAAGTTAAATTAGGTCCATTATATTGACCCAAAGTGACTGTTGGCCTAAAATTGGAACAAGCATTTTTATTTTTCAAAGTTTTTAGATTGGGAGTGTACATATTGTAAGCGTCATTGGAATCAACAAAGGGAGGTTTATTGGTCATTTTATCATGGACCCATTCACTTAACGCAAAGTCACCAAGTAATTGGAAACGCACCTTGTAATTTGGAAATTGTTGGGCAAATTTTGCCTTTAACTCAGTGATCAATATGTCTGCAGTTTGACAGCACCTTAGATAAGGACTGAAATGGATATATACATTCTTCCGTAGTGATGACTCCTTATCCTGAAATGCTTCTGTGTTGGAACAAATGTCTTCAACAACCTGTTGCAACTGCGGAATAGCAGAGGTTGCCAATGAAGGATCATATGCGTGGTAATCTTCTGTAATTGGTTTAGCCTCTGGGTCTGTCTTTAAAGCATGGTCTATTCGGTCTCCGTGACGTAGAAAATACAACTCTGTCATTTGTGGCGGGGCGGAGAAAAAGGCAAGGGGGTTATACGGTGGTTAAGTTGATAAAATTATTGATATAAAAACCGTACTGTTAAAGGCGATGTTGCATTATTTTTTGGGGAGGGTTTTTGCCTTGAGAAGGTGGGATTAGTAATGTGGTTTGGATCACAGTCTCAGGGGGGAAGGGGGTAATAAGTAAGTAGCTAACTGTGAAGATATTATAGGTGGCCTTGAGTGAAAACTGCGATAAAAAATGAAATGTGCTATTGCTGTGGGAGTCAGTGGTGAAGGAATATAATAGTGTTGCTTCTGGTTGTAAAAAAGTTGATGATTTATCGCGTATTATAATTATCCCAAGATCTAAACGGAAAAAAAAAGTTTTCTAAAACGATGGCTAATAGCTTATTCCTTAATGTCTTTTGTAGCAATGATGATGTTGTAGATGTTTTTGCCGTTGCTGTTTTTGTTTGGAGTCAGTCTTTTAACAAAATAAAAGTATGGTGTTGATGTCTTCAATATTAGTTGTAATGTTGTGTTATGTTATGTTGAAAATGAGGAATAATTTTTTGTATTATTGTATATTTCTCTGTCTGTTGTGTCTTTGTCTGCTTCTGTTTCTGTGTCCGGGTGTCTGATGTTTTCCCTCGTGAGTTTATTTTATTTATTGCTTTCTAATAGTATACACAGGAGACAAAAACAATACAAATACAAATACAAATACAAATACAAATACAAATACAAATACAATACAATACAATACTACATACAATACTACATACAATACTACATACAATACTATATACAATTGAAGATTAGAGAGTAACCGAAACATACACATATTGAGAGGAAAGGATTAATAAGTATATCTTATATAGTACTACAATATCTTTGTTTATAGCTACTACTATCACTATTACAACTTAAACAACCTAAAGCTAATTTAATTGATCATCAAAAGACAATTTCTTCTGACTGGTGACTGAAAAATAAATAAGTTTAATTAAATATAATTTAATCTTTTTTGTTGTTTCTATTTTGTGTCTCCTTTGTTTGGGTAATTTTGAAAGGGTTATGCATATATTTATCTACATATATATATATATAGAGATAAATATATATAGTTAGTAAGAGACATATACCACCCGACACCCACTTACTTCTATCCATAAAGTTATATAGACTTATATCAAAGTATGTTCTAAAGTACAAATGTGCACATAAAACAGAAAGCATACTAACTCCATCTCATCTCTTTCTCATTCTTAATATTGCATGTGGTTTATACATACATGTGTCTAAATTTTTATCCAACGGATAATTGGCATACCGTTGAATTGATGCTATGATGTCATAGGTGTTTTTTTGAGTATATTATTGATCTGTTTTGCACGACTCTTCATAGAATACAAGCAAAATTTACCTTCTTGTGTTTCACTGTCAGTTCATTGTGCACGTGATTACTCTCTCAATTCATTTATTAAAGCAAAGAGTATTACAGAATAAATATAACGACCAAATTTTGATTAATTCACCTACGTATTCAAATTTAACCCTTCCAATTGATCATCAATCTTGGCCATCCTTTCCTTCTTTCTTCGTTCATTTCTCAGCTTCTCATCACTTGAATGTTTCTGATCAATGTATTCATGTAATACGTCATTATCATCAATATCATCAATATTAATACCATTAGCAGCAGCACTTCCATAAGAATATTCATTTTCTGGTTCTTTCAACACATCTCTGATTGATTCATTAGCCACCAACTGACTATGCAATCCAAAACTAAAGCACCACTTCAAATGTCTTAATCTAGTGGCAAGGAACCATGTATTCACCTTCACTTGCTTATATTTCGACAATTTAATACTCACTGTGTCAACACAACTATTGAGTAGCTCAGCACCTTCCTCGGTGCGTTTATAAACTTGTAGTCTTTTGTCACTGGCAGTATAAGTTTCAATAGTATTGATGATATTTCTAAACACTGAACTGATCTCGCGTTTATCCTTCTTTGATACTTTTTTTGATGACAAGTTGAGTAATCGAGTCAATATCGATATCAATGACTCTTGCTCATAATAGGGAGAATTCAAATTGTAATCTTCATCGGCATCAGCATCATCTTCGTCTTGGCTACCATTTCTGTAATCGTATAATTCATAAATAACAGCAATGCTCCTTCCTGCAGCTTTAGCAATATCCCTATTCTCATCATTATCCAAAAGTGGTACCAACTTCACCATTAAATCTTCAACAACTTCATTCATAAATTCACCTCGACGCAATAAGGTTAATAAGCAACCCACGCCGTGTATAGCAGCAACCGCAACTGACGCTTCCGCCACTACTTTGGCATTGGCTTCATTTACCAATCTTTTATCCAAATTCTTGTCAGTTATAAATGTAGAATGTTCACGATCACCTTGCTCCACCTCCTTTTGCAAAGCTAATGCACTAGCACTATACCCCTCAGCTATCTCCATCAACATATTGACCTTGTCATCGACTCCAAAACTTGAAGATCCATTATGTAGCACCACAGTTAATGCAGTGTATCCCAATATTACATTTGCCTTGTTCTCAGCCGTCACTAAACTATTTGTTGGCTCAGTGATCAAATGGTTAATCTTGGTTAACAAGTCATTGCTAATCAACCCGCCAAATTCATCGATATCACTGCAAATTAAAGCAACTAATGACCGATACAAGTATAAAAACTCCAATTCGCTTCGATAATTGCCACTAGTAAACTGATTGATCAAGGTATTGACTGTATCTTCATCAACATAATTCAATCGGTTGCCCAAATTCTCTTCATTGTAAACAACCAATGGTTTAGAAACAACAATCTTATAAAGTTGCGCCAACAAGAGTTCCCTTGACCTCGAACTGATATCAGTACGTGAAAAAGTAAGTGATTTAACAATCTCATTAATATTGGAATTTTCTTGAATCCGTTTATTATTCAACTGGTGAGCTTCATATTGACGTCTATCTCCGGAACTTATTCGGTCCTCTTTAGCCATTTCTCCCATATCTTGTTGGTTCAAGTTGCTAAGTTTCTCTCGCAAGATTTCTTCAATTTTAAGTAACTCGCCTTCTTCATAATCGCTTTCATAATCAGAGTCATCAGACCGTATTGGCGTTCCAATGGCTGATTGAGCCCGCGAAGACGAAGCCGACGATGTACCTTCTTTATCAAACCTTTTGCCCTTGTATAATGATCTATGTGACATACTCAGTGTAGCTTTGGATTCTTTTTCAGAAAAGAAGAATTGATTATGATGACGACATGTCCCTTTTATACTTGCTGAATAATAATTTTCTGGTTTAACACATTGCGCATAAAGTTGTGTCATACAAAAAAAAAATAAACAAAATAGTTCGGTAGCGCAATATCTGCATCCGAAAGTAGAAGTGCTAAACTCCAGTCTATCGTGCATCATCCACCATATTACACTATTTATTAGTTATACACTTTTCAAATATTCAGCTTCCTCTAATAGCTCTGGTATTGCTAATGTTTGCAATTAAAAACAACAAAAGAGAAAAGGCCATTCTCATTTAAAATACAACTTCATTCGGTAGTACGTAAACCTTCTCTCCCATTTCTCTAACCGTTTGCGAGTCTCTATCCAACGGTAACGATTTCCTCATATCAAAAGCATCAATGTCATCATCAATAGCAGTCCTATCGTCTGGCATGCTTCTTCCTCCTCCATAATACCCCACAACTCGTCGATAAACACTATACCCCAACTTTTCATAAAGCATCTTCCCCAATAGATTAGTCACTTTAACAAATAAATCAATGAACAATGTCTGCTGTACCTCACTAATCTTTTCCAACTGTAAACACAATTTCGACGCTAGTGAAATACGGCGGTACTGGTCTTGGACAGTAACAGCAGTGATATGGGTATGGTATTCCATCTTGCTTAGTTGTCCTTCAGTCTTTGCCATCATGTATCCGCTTGTTGCACCAAGAGGTTGTTCAACTGATTTGTAGAATAGATTGGGCCATGATATCAAGTACTGCGAGTAGAATGAAATGTTGAAATTTTCAGTTAATGGGTCAAGATTTACTGGATTGATTGTGAATAGATCTTCTAACTGGAACGGTTTGATTGATGTCATTTCTTTTCGGAAGAGGGGGATGGGCAGTAGTAGGAGCTATATGTTTAGGTTGCTCGACTGTCTTGTTGTAATTCTTTGATTTCTTTTTTGTTAATTAAAGTTGACAAAAGTTCCTTCCCTGAAGTGGATGCCTCACTGAAATTCTTTTTAATGTCACGTTTTTAGTCTTCCACTATGTGGATTTGCGACAATGGCAGATATTGCAATAAATTATTAGTGGCTGCAAGCACCACTACCACTACCACCACTCTTGTTCTATCTACTACTGCCACTACCTCCCCCGGTCCACCTACTAAAGAAAGAAAAGCCTTGTTATTGGCTAATTCAACAACTGTGGAAACTTCGAATTCCTGCAAGCAGAGCTTCTACTATAAGGAGTATTCTGTTGAGTTAGGATGCATCTTGCTTAGAAATGAATTTAAGATGGCAGTGGACAGATTTGTTGGTGAGGGTTTTAAAGCATGTGTCATTCGGAACCACATTTTTGATATTAATTATCGGTATAGTGAACCGAGCAGGAAAGGACCGAAGATGGTTGCCAAAGTTAGAAAGAATTGAGTTGCGATAAAGACTATCATTGCGGCAACAAAGGTACTTGCTGATAATAATCCAACCACACTCGATGAACATAATTCAGAATCTGTCACTGAACCATCAGAAATAGGCGACAAAATTCATACCATCACGGCCTCCATAAATGCTTTGAAAACCAACCATAGACGCAAGTTGTCAGCATTCAAAGCCGAAGTGGGTCATTTGAGAGAATGGCTGGTGCTGCTTAAAAAAGAAGAAAGTAAATTAGAATCTGAGAATGTTGACTTGTACCACAAATATGTGGCATATCATCCCCACAGATCGAAATTGAATTTTGATTTGGACAAAGACATTGTTGATGTGCTCTTGGAAGTATTTTTAACAAGTAGAGGTATTAGGGATACGTTAATATTTCGCACAAAAAACTGCGAAATGCTCCATGAAAGTTTGTTGAATGACCTCATCATGACTATGGAGGTTTATCCGGGAAAAGAGGAAAGAGAAGAACTAGAAGATGGTGGAGAGATCGCTGCTTCTATTGAAAATAAGCTCCAATGCTTGTCGGCCACAAAAAGAGGATGGCAACAGAAATTTACCCTTTTGGAACTTCGGCTGCAAATGATACATAGCCGACTTAAATGCGATGCTTCAGATTGTCAAATGAGGCTTACTGCCCGTCAAGTGGAAAACAAAACCTAAAAAAACATACAAACTTGCTTTGCTTGCTACCAGATTTTGCAATTGGGCTTTATTAAGTATTGCTTCACTAAATAAGGCTTCTCAATAATTAAAAAGAGCTTGATTCTTTGATCCTTGCATTGAAAGATGATCTCTCATTTGTGAAAACCTCTCGAGCGCTCGAAGGCATTGGAGAAGCACTTACATCCTATTGCCATCACCCCTGCTNAATTCCTGCAAGCAGAGCTTCTGTAACAAGGAGAATTCTGTTGAGTTACGCTTTGTCTGGCATCGAAATGTATTCAAGATGCACACTTACGATTCCAATAAATTATTAATGACTCCTTCCACTGCCACTACCACCCCCCGTCCAGCTACTTCAGCCACCACTGTCACCCCCGATCCAGCTACTAAAAAAAGAAACGCATTGATGTTGACTAATTCGACCCCTATTGGAATTATTCATTCATGCAAGCAGAGCTCCGATGGCATGGAGCGTCTTGTTGAAGGTCAACGCATCAGGCTACTTAGAAGATTCCAAGAAGTAGTGGATATCTTTGTTAGAAATTTTGAACGAACTGCGGATAAGTTTAAACAGCTTTTGGATGAATTAGAGAACTTGCGTAGAAAAGAATATGAAGGGATGAGAACCGTTGGACAGCTTGACTGTTCAATTCCTAAGCATCCTGGAATGGTCATCTTTAAGAAAAATTTTGGTGCATTAAGGCCCGAGTACAAGCGTTTTCAAGGTCAAGAACGCTGTAAGTGGGAAAAAAAGGTTGAGAAGCTATTGAACGAGATTATGTCTGTAAAACTGAGTACAGAATGGTCTTTTGCTAAAGGCAAGGAAGGTGAACAGCCATGTTGGAAAAACTACGATGTCTGGATCAATATTGTCGATTTTGAATATCGGGACAACATCTTAAGTACCAAAGGACCAAAAATGCATGCCAAAATCGAGGAAAAGCAATATGAAGTGAAGACTAGAATTGCAGCATTACATGTACTTGTTGATGATTATTCAACCACGCTCAATTCACATAATGCCGAACCCGTCACTAGACCATCAGAAATAAGCGGAAAGATTTATCCCAGTACAGCAGAAATCAAGGAGATAAAAACCAAATACATTGGTCAATATGTTGCCTTCAAGACAGAAGTTACTGCTTTGCAGCACCAGACGAGTATGAAAATCGATGACTTCCATACAATCAACGCCGAAGCATTGAAAGTCTACAAGTCTTTTCTGGAGTACGTAATAAAGAAGACAAAGTTGCGTCTGGATTTAGATCACCAGCTCACCAGAGCATTCAATGACGTCTTGCATACTTGTGGCGGTATTACTGAAGTACTTGAACTAAGCACCAAGAATGACTACACTTTATCAGATACCTTTGTCGAGGACGTACTCCTCACAATTCAACCCACTAATGAGGCAGAAAGCAGAAACGAATTGGAAGATGCTAACGCTCTGTGTGCTCAAGATTTGATTTCATGGGAAGCCAAATACGAAATTTTTAAAACGAGATCCAGGAATTTGCACAACAGACTCAAATCTGACTTCCTTGATAAACAAAAATGGCTCACCTCGGTGCAAATTAAAAGGACAACATGCGAGAAGTTAATGGGATTTTACCAGAGGAGAAAGAAAATGTACTCTCGGTTGAACCTAAAAAGCAAGAGAATATTGAACGAAGAGAAGAAGTGTATGATAGGTGAATTAGAAGAAATGAAACGAGGGCTTGAAAAGATGGCTGCAGATTTTGACACCGATTCAAGAAGGGGATGAAAATATAAAGACATGAAGACATAAAGACATAAAGATATCAAAAATGAGATATCAAAAACGATACAAAAAAATTACAAAATTAAAAATAAAAAATACAAAAAAAACATACAAACTTGCTTTGCTTGCTACCAGATTTTGCAATTGGGCTTTATTAAGTATTGCTTCACTAAATAAGGCTTCTCAATAATCAAAAAGAGCTTGATTCTTTGATCCTTGCATTGTAAGATGATCTCTCATTTGCGAAAACCTCTCGAGCGCTCGAAGGCATTGGAGAAGCACTTACATCCTATTGCCATCACCCCTGCTGAATCGTCATTGCTTCACGTGTAATGATAGGTTTACTGATCAACGCATGTACTTTGCTAATTGAGCCAATTCATGGATAGCTACAATCAAGTTGGGTCTAACAACCCTTCCATGGTTTTTATCGCAGTGATTTGTCAAATTTTGCAAGCCAATCATTGGTCAAGACGGGAACATTGATATTCTTTGTTCGCCACTCCACTTTCCTCATCTGGCAATTATACACATTCATATAGCGATAATGCACCAGCCAATTGCTATTTCCCATTATGAAGCTGCAGCCACATTNGACAACCCTTCCATGGTTTTTATCGCAGTGATTTGTCAAATTTTGCAAGCCAATCATTGGTCAAGACGGGAACATTGATATTCTTTGTTCGCCACATTCATATAGCGATAATGCACCAGCCAATTGCTATTTCCCATTATGAAGCTGCAGCCACATTTCAACGCTGATTTAAGCAGTACCCATCATCAGTTGTTCTCCAAAACCCAACTTGCCAATATCCCCTGAGTGACGCACCCAAGAATAGTACCTGCAAGAAATCTGTGAATGTGTCTACCTTTGTAACTCCTCCACATCACAGTTTGTTAATCGATTTCTGCTCATCTCCTGTCAATATGTCCATAGACATCAGTATCGAATACAGTGGACGTAAATTGTAATAGATTGGGATAGATGCCACCAAATGCAGGTAATTGCGTTGTTAAGCATGATGAGTTTCATTTCCTGTGCTTTTCATTCCCCTCATACCACAAGTGATCTCCCGTCTACTGAATTTGGATGTGTTACTGAACACACCCCGTAGCTCATTCAACTCCTGTAATCTTCTTCCCTCTCTCCATAAATTGCCTACTTAATGCCTCAATCACTTCCCCTACATGATGCGTGATGTGGAGAAACACTTCATTGCCAATTGATCTGTCCAATTGTTTAGATGTAGAAGCCCCTTGAAGTCTCTACTCACCCAGGTAATCTGGTCTTCAACATTGAAATTAGTCATCACTCCCTTTGAGGGCCCCATTTAAACCTCCACGGGAACTTGTAACTTTTAGGTATGTTCACTGAATCCCATCAATGAGTCGATTTAGATCCTCTTCTTCCTCTTCTTCTATACCCTGAAATGATGAGGCTCTTCGCAAGAGAAAAAAAAATTGGGAAAATAATTCTTCCACTACAAAAGGCCATCATAACCAACCTAGAAAATATAATCAAAATGGGTCCTTCAAACTACAAATCTAATGAATATGTCGATGACTCTGACCTAGAAGAGTCACCCGAGCAAATTTTTGAGCCCCCAAAGCATTATCATAAAATCACTCACCCGTCAAAGAGCTTGCCCAAAGCCAAAGATAAAGAGATATGGTTGATCAAGACACCAAAAAACTTTCCCCTTGAAAAGTTGAGAACTTTGCCTATTGCATTTACTAAAAATAGAGTAGCTGAGCCTTTTGACATAAGCGGGACTTCATATCAAGTTGAGGAAGAATTAACTTCGGTATCATCGTCATCATCATCAGCCATCATTCCATCTACCGAAATAAACAATAAACACACCATCTTCAAAGCCAAACACAATTCATACAGGCCAGCAGATCTCAAAATCAGCCGTTTTTATGACATCAAGGAGGTTGTCAATATTCCACAAATTGATTTTGACAAGGCCAGGGTTGCAAGAGAAGATGTGCCACGGTTGAAGAGATTGAGAATGAGACATTACCCTACAGGATACGGCGAAAAAGATTTTGACATAACTTATGATGATGACGAATCTGATGGGGAAGAGGGAAACCCAGTCAAGAAAACAAAAGTGGACGAGACCCCACTGAAGAGTGAAGGGGTGTTTGGGGAAACACACAAGCATAAACTGGGCAACAAGGATAAGAAGGAAAAGAAAGAGAAGAAAGAGAAGAAGGATAAGAAGGATAAGAAGGATAAGAAGGATAAGAAGGATAAGAAAGATAAAAAGTCAAAAAAAGAACATTGAGTAGAGTTAAGTGAGTAGAGTCTAATAGATTGGAGCAATGAGTTTTAATGTAGCAAGAGAGTGAACACTCACGTGGATAATGTCACCTTTTATATGTATATATGTAAGGATTCCAATTGATTCAATGTATTATGGATTTGCTAAAAGAGCCAATACAGCTGTGGCTAGTTCAACTGGCCATGATTTGCTTGTCCAAGTCTTTACAAACTAAAGGGTTACAGGTGTCAATAAAGACCTTACGTAACTTTTTACATAATCATCAATTATTTTGTGCTTTTCGATGGAGTGGGAAAACACTCTTCTCCTGCGTCATTACTTCTTCATCTCTATCGGCAATGGGAAGTTCAGCATCCAAACAAGGAGGCAGACAGTTGTCGAAAACAATCACCGACTCCATGTCAAAACCAATAAAGCGAAGTGAGATTGATCTTTTAAAATCTCAGAAACAAGCATTGCAGAGCACTGTTAGCCCTGATCATCTACATCATCCCAGCACAACAACAACAACATCTCCAACACCCCTCAGTGGAAATGGGCAGACTAGTCCTACACCCGATGAAAGCCTAGATCAGAAAGAGACTGCTTTTAGAGCAAATACATCAACTTCATTTGACCCAACGTTTTTGCACAAAAAAATTCAACGTCATTCGAGTGCAACTCCAGAAGGTAAAGACGGAGGCGATCCGCACGAACAAGGAACTTCAACTTATGACAAGGGATTTATTGACTCCTTGAACCAACTAGGAAAACAAATCAAGACGGTGGAGTTCAACCCTGCCAAAGATAACAATGCTGCTGCCATTAAACAGCTTCAAAAGAGGAAGAAGCTTTACGAACTTGGCGAGCAAGAGATCAAAGACCAAATGTCACAGAGTGTTGGTGATGGGAAAGAAGTTGCAAAGTCAATGGTTCACCCCCAGACATTGACTGCCATATTGAGAGATCTCAAAGACCCGCGTGTCGATAACCAAACAATCGTCAAAGATTATCAATTGAAACCAGAGTTTTTGGACAATATTGGTGATGTGTTTCAAGTACCAACTACTGTCAAACAGTTTGAAGAGAATGCAAAGGAGGACGAAGTGGGACATAAGACTGTGCCACAACAACGTCGCTCAATTCACGAAACTCACGATGAAAATGCTAACGAAACAGTAGATGGTGAAACTTATAAGAAATTGCAAAAGCGTTTAAGCTTGGACGACTAATTAAGCTAAATAATATCAGTGCATCAATCTGTAAATAGCTACCAAACTGGTTTATTAAGTCAATTTGATTAGAGGTCGTGAACCGTGTGAGAAAAATTAGAAAATGTAGAAGCAAAACCTGGGGGGAGAGAGGCCTAATCGGGCGCGGAGGGGAGGAGCCACAAAAGGGATCTCTCCACTAATTGACAAGACATATATCCCCAACTCTTTTTTCCTCTTCACGTTCTTTAAACAAACAAAACCATGCCACCACCAGCCAAGCAATCGGTTAAGGAAGTTATCAAATACCTTTCAAAGTACTCTGCGTGTGACATTTCAGATGCATTAAATCAACAGGGCATAGCCAATGGGGGATTTATCCCCAATTTAATTAACCGATCACCGGTCTTGGCGACTGCGTCTGCCGTTGGAAAAGCTTACACTGTTTTGTACGCACCCAAATCTGATCCAAGACCAGCAGTGAAACAATCCTATATTGACGAAGTGCCCGAGGATGCAATTATTGTTATTGGATTGCCTTTGGAATTGCAGTTGACCACTGCCCCCTACCACAAAGTGACCAATGCCTTGTATGGAGGTTTGATGTCAACCCGGGCACAATACAGGAAAGCTAACGGGTCAGTCATCTTGGGAAGAATTAGAGACTTGGATGAACATAATGAACTCAAATACCCTGTTTGGTCGTATGCGACCGGAACAAGTGCCTCCGGCCCCGCCGTGAAAGTTGTGGGCATTAATGTGCCTTTAGAAATCAAAGTTACCAGCATTGACCCTTCAACGGAAGAGGGTATTTTACACATCAACCCTGGTGACTATATCATTGCTGATAAAAATGGAGTTGTCAGGTTGGAAGATAATCAACAATTGGGTGAAGTTTTGGATTACATACCAAAAAGAGTTGAAGCTGATACCAATGTCAGTAATGATATTAAAAAGGGGAAACCAGCAGGTGAGTCACAAAAATTTTGGAGAGGTAAAATTTGAAGAGAGAGAAGTAGTAATGGAACAGCAATAGAACAGTAGTATGGACTCACACCAGTCAATTAGAATCAGCAACATACGCTTTATCAGGTTTTTCTAATTTATTGTAGCTATTTTGCTCTCACCAGTTGCTAATGTCAAGTTCGTAAATTTGTGCGCCTTTTTTTTAAAATTACCGCGAGTTAAAAACCACACATCAAAAAGGAAGCAACATCCACCACTGTACGTTACACTCTACACCACACTGCACTGCACCGCACCACTATGCCGTTGAACTTACTAGAAGAAAATGGAAATAGCACAACCTACAACTTCACTGAACTACGCTTGGAAATAATAGGAAACAAGGACCTCAAATTTAAATTATTGAATGACGTTGCATTCATGAACCATTTGATGTCCAGCTTTGCTGCCTACATTTCAAAGCTTATTGAACTGAAACATGAAGCAGTATACCACTTGGATAACTTGGAGGAGCAAGTGGTCATACTTCACATTCTAAGCTCGTTTGCATCGGAAATTGACGGCCTAAATAATGAGGGAGTCTTAGCATCAATCAGAATCATGGAGTTGGCACTAGATCCGATTGGGCAACTTTTAGGCCATTTTGTGGAAAATGTGCTCCCACTGGTAGGTACTACAAATGATGACAAGTATATATTTCAAGTCGAAGCTTTGATGGGCCATTGTTTAGACATTATGATTATATTGTCCAATCTTCGACAAAATCAGGTGGAACCAAATAAAATTTGGAGATTCATTACATTATTATTAATTGCCACTGATAACACTCATGGTAATATAATCAAGTTGCATCCAAGTATAATTGTTAAACTGTTGAGGTTGATACCGTTGTTGCTTACTGAGGCAGTGTCTTTAACTGGCAACGCAATATTGACTCTATCTGTGACGTTGCTAAGTCGCTTGGCATCCGATTGCAATTTGATTATCCATACACATTTACACGATCTATATCCTTCACAGGGCGATCTTTACTGGATTGCGTTTGAGGACGACCATCTTCCGAATGTTGACTTGAACGCCTCGCTAACCGATAAGGTCATAAATATTGAAATTTTGTTAGAGTTGATTACAGCATCTGCTCAAGTAATGAGTTTTTCACAAAACCAAGATTCTCCTTTCCTCTTGGTAATGAGGCGAGATTCGCAGTCAGGTATTTTCTTGAGTACACCGTTGGCAAAACCAGCGATACCTCTCACGGAAATGTACATCACATTGCTTTTACTCATGAAATTCAATTCAAAGGAGCTTAATCTTGCGGCTCTTAACTTGTTGGTCCTATTTTTAGAAAATCTTCATGTTCTGGAAGTGTTCCTGGATGGCATTATTTTTCGCAACTATGACAAGTTGTTTGCTGATATTGTTCATTTACTAGACACTGGTAACAACTACGATGGCACAGAAGATAGCAAAGGAAGTAAAGGTTCTAAAAGCAATGGCCCTTTACCAATAAACGCGCTATTTAACCAAGCATCATCGTCTAATGCGCCACTACTTTTGACGTCTGCTACAAAAATCTTGACTAACTTATGCACGCAGTACTCGGCCTTGAATAGTAGGATATGGGATACGAATATTGACTATAAGTTAGTATGCAAAATGAGATACTGCTACGAACAGGCTGGATTGTTTAAAGTGTTTGAGACTTTGAAAGCCAGATCGAAGTTTGGAACAGTGTTGGTTGATTTTACTTCGATACCTACGAAAGATGCCTACTTTGCCGAATTGGCAGATCTCCTTTTGCTTCTCAGTGTATACACAAGTGAGCGAGAAGAGTATCGAAATAGGTTGGTTTCGTTTTATCAGACCACAGGACTCAATATCCCACAAGTGATTTTCGACATTGTTGAAAATTACCATTTCCTTCTCAACCAAATACAATTGCTGCAAAAAGTTTTAAGGCTTACATTTAAAGCCAAAGATGGAGGGAATGGAGAAAATGAGGCGATTCAACGTCGCATTTCCTGGCTTGGCAGGAATTTAGGTGTGATTTTTGAATTGGAGAACTCGCCACTTTTCACACATTGTTTTTACTTTATTCGCTCGCAATCGAGATCAGTGGCTACTTTGAGGACATTTTTTGTCGAGACTAACTCATTCAAGAGCTTTGTGTCTCGAGACAATCAAGGCGCCTTACTGTCTGGGTCAGGTGGCAATATATCATCTCCATCCAATCATCTGACAATAAGGCCGCGCGTAGAACTGGAACCAGCTTCCATTGTCGCTTCTGAGCATTCCCTGACTCTGTCAGCTGGGGGCTTTGTTACCAATATTTTGGAGGTTATTCGCCTTTATGAAACTTTGGATTTGGCATTGGATTACATCTTCAAGGTGAACAGAAATAGGATTTTACGAGAAGCATCTTTTCGAAAGAAATTTGCAACTGATAAAGCAATCTGTGTCAGTCTATTAGCCAACTTTATTCTCGATTTCAGCTCCTTCAGGTACAAGATTATCGGATACGAAAACTTTTTGTCGAGTTTGTCCATAATTTATCAAAACTCGGCCACCGATTTTGATGATATTTCAGAACTCAGTGAGGATGACGTCTTTGAAAGAAACGTTATGCAATTAAGGATATTGCAAGTTATAAAAAACTTTATGTATAACGAGGCTTCTGAAAATAAGCAAGAAGTGTTGAATTTTTTCCCCTTGAGTCACATACTTCAAAAGGCAAACTATGGGATTATAAGCTCGGTTGCTTCTCTGGCACTACCAAAAGAAACAATGGAAACCAAGATACATCAAAAGGTTGTGGCGTTTGAAATTTTGCGAAATTTCACCGCGGGATCCCCGTCTTTCTCTCAAATCTTGAGAGAGTCTTATATCAATGAGTATTTGAACAATGAGCAACCAGAGGTGCAACCATTACTTCCACAGAATTGGTCCGAATTTGTGACTCGAAACTTGACTGAAACATCTGTGTTCTTGCCCCAAAAGTCCCAAAGTTTCAACTTCTACAATGATGAAGCTCTTGTAGAGTTAATTGGCAATGAGGACTATGTAAAGATGGTTAGATCAATAAATTTCACTGAGGACCATACCTACACTGTGATTGATAAGATAAGACAAGAACTTTTCCCCAATGACTCATTATTGCGAATTTGGATGAGGTTACTTTTGTTCCAATTACCTGAGCTGGTCTCCACAAATGTCCATTATAACCCAGAGTACTTGAACAAGAATTTGAATATGATCAAAATTTCGATCGCCTGGATTCTAGTCAACTTGACTTGGAAGTCGACAGTGTTTGGCTATGACATCCAAAATTATACTGACTATGAGGTGTACCAAACGGTAGATACTCTGAGAATTAAAAGAGCTATTTCTCAACAAGAGAAGAATGAGCAACCACTTATTGAGCCACAGCCTAGCGAACAAGAATTGGAAAGTGATGAACTATCAGTGTATGACCGTGCTAGATACTTGGACAAATTCGGATTTACAAAAGCCATCTACGATGTACTTACTACTTATTCCAGAATAGCGTCCAACCATTCTCAAAAATCTGCTGGCGCAATAGAACCTGAAGTATTTGAGAAATTAAGAAGTGCATTGCATCAAATTAACTACCTATGTCGGGGTGTTCGTGCGGGTAGTTTTGCGACAGATTTGAGAGCCAATCATGCAAGGGGAGGTGGTGGTGGTGGTGGTGGTGGTGGTGGTGAATTGAGGCTCCATCGAAATCAAGACAATTCAGTCGACGTGGTTGATGAACGTGGCGACCTCCTCGACGCTGAGATTAGGTACGAAAGATCAAGAAGGAGAGACGCAATTGATTCAGAAGATGATGGAAATAATGATGAGGAAATGCATGAGGATAACTCTTCCGAAAGCGATCCAGAAGTCAGGCAAGCCGGGGGGAATGAGAGCGATGAGTCAAATGAGGATATGCCTCATGAATACTGGGTAATGTAATCTATCGTATCTAAGTTTTTTATATATAAGCATGCATGTGAGAACTAGATTCTATAAGGATAGTATAGAGAGTAGTGGCTTTCCTTTGGGAGGGAGTTTCCTGCATAGTGATTATTTTGTTATTCTGAGAAGATTTGGTTGCAAATACAAAGTACTCAACGACTGATGAAATCTTGCAATCCCCTCCTCTGGAGAAAGAACAGCTCTCCTTACCTTAAGACGATCTTCGTAGTAGTTACTCTTTACTTTCTTTTAAGTGAATTTTTATTTTTGCTTTTTATTAGTAGTAAGTAATATTTAAGAAGACTATGAAAGCACTCTATCTCATTTTCCTAATTGTGCCAACGACTTGTATCAAGGTAGGACACTACTTTGACGAAGAAAGCAACTTAAGGCAGGTACACCAATTGTCAAAATTAAATCTAGTGCATCATACTATCAGCTCATATAACGACATACAATCTTTAATCTTACATCCACTATCCATCATCCACTTACCTTTTTCTAAGTCAATTATATTTAATGAACATGTTCTTGATACATCAAAGAAGCCACACTTTATAGAGCTATCGTACCAGAAAAGCAATGTATCTAAGAGAATGGATGATACTTTAGCAACCGATGCAGCTGATCCTTCTATAGTTCACTGGACTCCACTAAGTAATTGTGTGACCAATTTTGCTGGTGATAAAGCTACTTATCGACAGACGTGGTCAGTCGAACTAGACTTTGGTTTGGACTTTAGAGTGAGTTACGGCGGATATTTTATTAACTTTGGACCAAGTTTTAAAAGCGAATTTATTTTGGGTAAAGGTATTGGTGGGAGTTATTCGTGTGACGTAGATCCTGGAAACACTTTACAGTTTGCAATTCTTTTCACGACATATACAGTTGAAGGCGTCAGATATAGGCAGCTCAAGAGGAAAAGGATTGGAAAGGGTATCAGATTTGGTCATTGGATCCCCATCAAAAAATATGAACAAATTGGCAGAAGCGACATTCACGTTGCATGCTTTACACAACCGCAATACTTACGATGTAAAAATTCAAACTTATAATTGATACGTTTATGATTAATCTACATAAAATGAAAAGGCAACTACTAGTCATCTTCTAAATCTTCCTCACTCAATGTAAATGGCTCGGGTAATGGTGCTGTAGTTATGTTCAATTGTCTAACAGTTTTGATAAATTCAACAGGCTCCTCTGGCTTGGTATCTTGCAAAACAATTATACTTCCGGTTCCTCTAAACTTTCTAACAGGTACAAACCGATCATCTTTGATGAATGAAATATAACTGGATTGTTGTGGTAATACTCTGGATAGATTTCCAATCTTGTAGGGTGTTTTTGTGTAGCGTATTACTGCCGGTTGGGCACTTGTCTCTTTGCTCTCATCCTTTTTATCATCATCTTTCGAATCCAGTACCTTGTCTTCTTTCATTTCGGTCTTTACTATACTTTCTGGCTTCTTTTCTGACTTTTTATCTTCCTTTTTGTCACCATCAACATCCATTTTATCATCTTCCTCCTTTTGATCCTGCTTCTTTTTGGCTCTTGTCTTAGCTTTAGCCGTAGTAGACAAAACAGCAGTGGCCAACTTATCTGGCTGCTTCTCCTTTGACTCCTCTACTTTTGGGGGATATTGGAAATATTCTTGGCTTACGTGACAGTTTAACTCGAATTTTGGTATCTTCAAATCACTACCTCTAACTCCAATTACTGATGTTGGTACAAATGATAACGACAAAAAGTGAGCCAACGGGAACCAATACCATGATTGTGAGAATATCGCTAATCCAACAATCGCTTTCGTATTCAATGTGTTTGTTTGCACATTTTCAAAATTGATCGTCACGTTTCTTCCTCCTGCATCGATAATACCTTGAGACAATGCAGCTCCAAACTTGGCCAAAGCGTCCTCGTGTTTGTTTTTGACGGTATCAGCAAATTGTTTAGTGAAATCTTTCACCTTTGGGAATAAAAATTCATTCTGTTGAATTAAAATCATTGCCGTTGCCATCATGGCACCTTGTCTGACAAAGTCCACTGCATCCTTGGTTAATGGCTCCAATACCTCGATTGCAGGAGCGTAAGCTCTGCCCGCACAAGAGATACCAAGTGCCAAAGCAGTACCGTATCTCACATGTGGATTGTGTGATTGCGATAACAACTTCACCAACTGAGGGGCAGCAGTGTAATCACGTATCAAGACAAAACCCAAGTTCAAAACTGCAGCTCGTCTCACATCGTCGCTGGGATCTGAAACTGCATAATGCAACAACGTCTTTATGGCACCATTGTCACCAGTTCCTGCAAATGCCAAACCAACAGTAAATGCACCTCCATATCTCAAAATAGACGACTCCTGTTTCAATAAATCTTCAATAATGTAGTTTGCCTTTTCCTCACGGCCATAGTGTAACAACGCAATACCTACAGCCAAACCCCTGATAATGTTCTCATGCTGGGTCTCCAAGGCATAAGTCAACATGTCATTGGTAGCTGCTTCATTTCCTGATCCAAGCAACACTAAACCCATTCCTAGGGCAGCTGCTTGAGATGAAGTAGCGGAGTCAGAGTAGAGCACCACTTTCAATGATTCATACAAATCGTCCGCTTGTGAGCCCATTCCAGCAACACCAGCACCCAATGACGCACCATGTAATTGAACCTCAATCTCATTGACTCCTGATGAGTTACCATTATCATCTATAAATTTTTTCAAATATCCGATAACTTCTCTACCATGACCGGCGTAAATGAATCCCAATGCAAGTAGAGAACCACCCTTAGTATGAGCGGCACTGGACGAGCCTGGCAAATAAGGTTTCAAAATAGTGCGTCCTTGTGAAAGGTTTCCTTTGTGAATTACACCTAGAGCGGCAGTGGCAGAAAATTTTGACCAGTTCGTTGCTCTGCCCAACCATTCCAAATTTTTTCTGAAAAATGAATCGTCGGTGGTACCTGCATGCATGTAAGCATTGGCAAAAGTAACGGCTGAGTGGAAAACCGAACTTCTTCCGTCTAATAGGTTCTTTGTCTTGTTCAAAATAGTTATGTCTGTGTTGTTGTTTTTGTAGAGAAAAGTGTTGTCAAAGTCGGAAGTGGGCACACCAGACAATATATTCAAAATCTTCTTCACTGTTGTGTCGTTGCCTTCAGTGGACAAAGATTCTATAACCTTGTCTAATAGTTCCTGTGATGCAGTGTTTACCAAATCGAATGCTGCTTGGTAAGCAATCAATTCTTCGTTTTGCTTCACCAATTCTTGAAACAAGTTGGTTGCAAGCTGTGAATCATTCAATTGTACAATTATCTTGATAATAGTGAAGAAATCCTGGTGTTTTTTCAATGTCAACAATAACGATATCAACGTGTTTAAAACCTTTACTCTGAATATTGAGTTGGTTATAGTGGAGTTTGAGCAAACCAAAACGTAGTTTATCAAATTGAGTCCTTGTTCTTCATTTTCGGCAACTTGATCTTTTAAAATCGACTCCACCAAGTCTAATCTGTATGACTCTAATGCAATGCCCAAAGTCAATTTAATTTCGTTTGCCTTCAAACATTTCTGCAACATCTTTTCGAAAATTGCCGTCAATCTAGACTCTATTACCACGGAGTCATCACTGAACTTCTGTTGTGATAATGAATTGTATAAGTTGATACATTTACTGACAATGGTCTCCACATATTGGGACTGTTCTTCGACATTAAACTCGTCGCCCGCGTACAATGCATATCTCACAGAAGCATCAAAGTCTCCTAAATTGTAATAAACTTTCGAGATCACCAATGCAGCCAAAGCTCTTTTTTCGAATGAAGTGTTTTCATACAATTCCTCCAAATCAGTGATGTTGTTGGCGATTTCTGCCCACAACTGATCAACCACTTCGTTCAATGATGATAACGCATACGATTTCAAGCTGGTGTCTGGTTCGCCAAGCAACGCCAAATATGGAGCAGCCGATACTAATGCCATTTCTAATTATGCAAATCTCCTGTTAAAATTCGAATCGAAATGTATTGGTTGTTCGCTATTGTATGTTTGGGAAGTACTTAGGTGGGAGTTTTTTTTATTTTTTTCTTTGTTGCCAATTGTGTGTTGCCACCAAAACCAATTTGAAAACTTATTATGCAGTTACATCGCTACCAGTCACGCGACGACGAAACTGTGTGTGAACAGGCTATCAAAGCAACTCTCTATATAACAAGAGCAAATACAGAAATGAATTATTTTATTAAAAGAATGTACAGATTTATAAAAACAGTCCATATTGTTTAATACAATAAACGGGTTGCAATCTTGTATGGGGTTTGTTCTAGTTGCTCATATAATGCCTTGATATCACTAATATCAACGTCAGAGATATCTGCCATCAAGTACGCAATGTCGCCTTGCGAATCACTGAATTGCTTCTCGATATTGTGGTTGGACAAAATATTGTTGACTGTCTTCAACACACCTGGCACATTGTGATGGATATACAACACTCTGACCACGTTTTGTTGGTCCAAATCCAAAGGTCTCAATGACACCTCTGGGAAGTTAACAGCACTTTGAGATGTACCTTCGTTGATGTATTTGGTCAAGGCATTTGCAACTTCCACACCAATGGCGGATTGTGCTTCTTCAGTTGATCCACCAATGTGTGGAGTCAAGATCACATTTCTCAATGAGGTCAATTCGCTAGCAAAAGCGTTCAAGTCATCGCTAAATAAACCTTCACCATTCTTGGCTGGCTCGTGAGGGTATACATCCAATGCTGCACCAGCAATCTTACCAGCTTTCATAGCTTGAACCAATGCTGGAATATCAACAACGGTTCCTCTCGAAGCATTTATCACATATGCACCATCCTTCATGGCAGCAAATTGTGGTGCACTTAATAAATTCTTGGTGTCTTGGGTAGCTGGGACATGCAAAGTGACAAAATCGGCTTTTTGTAACAATTCATCCAACGTACCAACTTGTTTCGAATTACCCAATGACATGATTGTCAAGACATCGTAGTAGATGACATTCATACCCATAGCTTCAGCCAAGACCGACAATTGGGCTCCAATGTGACCGTAACCCACAATACCCAAAGTCTTACCTCTGATTTCCCAACATTTGGCACTAACTTTGTTCCATGTTCCGGTATGCATTTCAATTGATCTGTCTCCCAACTGTCTTGCCAAGGTAATGATCTCAGCAATAACCAATTCCGCAACCGATCTTGAGTTGGAAAATGGCGAATTGAAGACAGCAACACCTGACTTGGCAGCAAAGTCTAAATCAACTTGGTTTGTACCAATACAGAAACATCCAATAACAACCAAATTCTTTGCCTGTTTCAAAATTTTTTCAGTCAACTTGGTTTTGGATCTGATACCAATGGCGTGGACATCCTTGATTTTTTCCAACAATTCTTCTTCTGGTAAAGATGACTTGTAGAATTCAACTTGGTAACCTTGTCCTTTGAAGATGTTAATAGCGGTTTGATTGACATTTTCCAACAATAGTATCTTGATGTCACCAGTGGAGAATGGTTTCAACACCTTGGTTGGTTTCGATGGCACATATTGGCTCAAATATGATTGAGTGGGTGAGGTTGAAACTGCATTTGGTGATCCTGAAATGTTCAAGGCACTCTTAAACGTGTTTGCAATATCTTGAGGATTGGTCATTGTGCGTCAAAAGTATGAAGTGAATAAATTGAGTAGCTAAAGTAGTTTAGTGGAAAGAAAAGATGGTTGACTAGGTAGTCTAGTTATATGGATTCCGATTATTGCTAATTGAAAAACCCTGTGCAAGTAATAATTGCAAAAAATTTTCTTTTACACCTTTTTCCGGTTTATATGTGTGATGTGTGCAACGTGAGTCAACAATGTAGTAATTTATTATTATTAAAAGACAGCGTTTAAATTTCTTTGTTCTTTTTCTTTTCTTCTTTTAAATTGCAATTTCCGATTACACAGCAAAGTTTTTTGTTTAGTATCACGTGATATCACATCTTTTATTATGATTCACAATACGAATGTCATACCCAATTGAGAGGCTAATATTGAATGGAGGTCAATAGTGGATCTAACTTAGACGTCAATTCCTTGCAAATCTTGAAAGAAGAGAACGCAGGAGCATATTTCATAGAGTATTTAGGAAAGTATGTTAAGGTACGAGAGTTGCGATAAGATAAGACAATAAAGTTGTACATTTGTGGTGGTTTGACTCGGGATAAAATTGACTCCTTTGGGTTATATGTGAGCCGTACTTGCATATTAATCATCCACCAAAGAATCCAAGAGAGGGTGGTTATGTAAAAATTTGATTAGTACTAAATTGCACCATGATGGCTGTATAGTCCGCTTACCTCTTTATGAGACTCCAGCTTATGATGTGTTGAACCACTTTCTTGTTTAATGTTGCAGCTACATTCATTAGAACAGAATCAGTCCTTCCGATGCCAACTCGTCACCAACAGTCCTTCAACTAGTTCACTGATCCTGTACTTTAATGATGTTGGAAAATCAAAGATTGCTGTAGCTACAACATAGAGACTGGCTGTTGTTAGCGTATGCATAATGAACCTTTGCTTGGTGGGGAAAAATAAAATTCAAATAGGTAAACAAAACAAACCAAAACCGACAAAGTAACTCACACTGGCTTACAAATATCCACAATATGTCAACAGCCATTCCATCTATAGCTGCAAAAGTGAATGAATCTCAACTAAATGAAGATATTCGAAGACGGGATCAAAAGATCGACGAGTTGGAAAGCGTAATTCTACAATTAAAGATGCAACAGTTGAAAAATGACCATGAGGAAGATAAAAAGTTATTCACGTTGGAGAACACCTTACATAATATCAACAACAAGTTGAACGAAGTCGAAGTAATTAACGTTGACTTACGCAACCAATTATCTCTTTCTCAAAATATTATCGAGAAAAAGAATGAAGAGATAAAAAAGTTGAAATCGGCACTCAAAGAGCAACAAATAGGAATCTCAAGAGAAACATTGATTTTTCAGCACAAGTTGGATGATCTTCAAATGCAGATAAATCAGGTTAGTGAAACTAGAGCAAACTCGAGAGCGAAAATACAGAGTATCAATTACGATCTAAAGAGAGATGTATCTCGTGGAGAGGCAGAAAATGAAACCACAGATAAACTGCAAAACACGGACCTAGGAAACAAAGAAGCCAGTATTTAATATAAGAAAGCTCACCGACAGTCGTTTACTGTTAATATTGCATCCAAAGGCAGCGTGTGAGACTCGACTAGCAAGTTATCTGATGTAGTTTAAAGGAGAGAAAAAAATTCTTTGCAACCAAATTAACTGATACATATCGAACAACACCTGCAATAATTTTCATCCCTGCATCATAGGATCCCACTACATGATGTTGCCCATATTGATTTTCGTTTTGAGTCTCGGCATCTCAATCAGCTCAAGCACAAAGATAGGTACGGAAGACGAGCATAAAATTTCCATTGTGGAGTCAGAAGAAGTCCATTCCTGGCTATTTCGCAATGAACAGCATTTACTATCATCCAAATTGTGGAACAATTTGGAATCTGCAAGTCTGGAATTCAATAAAACAATCATCCACTTGAATGAAACTGATCAAACTTTCCTTCTTTCATCAACCCATCCCTTAACATTTTACGAGATTGACCCAGGAGACCCAAATAGATTTTCAAATACCGTTCCAGTTACAGGATGCTTGAGAATGGCCAATAATACTTCAAGTATCACATATATCGATGCGCAAGGATACTCGCTTTCCACGCCACCAGGGATATCAGTTGGGATTTCCTTGTTAATTGTAAGTTTGGCAAACGATTATGGATTTGATGGATTGGGGAGTAAGCTCTACATGAGTAACACCATTATTTGTCGGGCCGGCATCGGTGAAACGATCCAAGTCCAAAAGAATTTGAAGATTATTTCGTTTCCATCGGCAAAAGTAAAAAAGCATATTTGGAAGAAGAAGCGGAAGATGAAACCAATAATAAGTGGATTGAAAGGTTTCTGGCAGAAAATGAAAGCGGGTAATGGTGTGCATGTTGCAAGTTCAGGTGAATGGACAAAGGGAAAATGGGAAGATATTTACACATTATACAAGTATAAAAAATTGGGATTGCTATTTTTCAATTTGAATGAGTTGAAACACGAAAAGCTGTTTTGTGAGAGTAGAGAAGATTATTTACAATGTCTGGTTTTAAACCATTGAGAAACAAGTACTGAGCATGATATTCTGACTCAAATGAGGAGAATAAAATTAGTACATACTGTAGCATACAGTTTATTGCCACTGTTGCCATAAAGTTTGATTCATCGATGACAATTCTTATACGCGACTAATTTGTTATGCTTATATTTATATATCAATTGGGACGATTTACAATCATTTTGACAGACTATGTTTCCCTTTCCCCCATTCAAAACTAAGAATGCGACTTTTACTTTTGCTGGTGTTGGTGTTTAGTCTCACTATTGGTCAATTGAATGCACTTCCGCGTTTACGTCCCTACCCCGAGGAGAAGCATATTATCCACGAAATTGGCCTGGAGGAAATCCATTCGTGGTATTTTTACAATGAGGATCACTTGACACTGTCCGAGCTCTGGGAATACATATCCAAGGAACCAGAAAGCTTGAACCAGACAGTGGTTCATTTATCCAAGACCAACCAAACATTGGTGCTTACATCAACCGATCCACCAGTTTTTCATCAAGTTGACCTTGAATTGATTGGAATCTTTGCAGGTGACGATACCAAAGATTTGGACATACTTTTACCACAGAATGAAACTGCTACTATGCTCATGATGGATGCAAAGAACTACCTAATCCAACTGCCAACACCAATTGGCGAGAATGTGATACTTGTAAGTCTTCTCATGCATTATGGAGTTGAGGATTTTTCACTTGACGACTTCACCAATGGTACCATTACACTTGAGATTGGGTCAGAGGATGAATTTGACATACAGGGTAAAAAGTTGTTAAAGTTGCTTTTACTTCCAATCAAGTTGTTGAAGAAGTTACTTCTACTCATCAAATTTCTCATTTGCTTACCATTCATGATCATTAAGAAGATTATTCTTCTTCCGTTTCTTTTAATCAAAAAGATAATCATGTTGCTTAAAAAGAAGGTTTTGATTTCAATAAAGATGAAAATTATGGCTGTGGTGATTAAGGGTAAGGATGCAGCACTGGATGTCACGGAAAAGACAGTTGACGTGACTGTCGTTGTTGTTGTACTGATTAAGAAAGTAGTTATTAATGCTGCTGCAAAAATTGACTATGGTGTCAAAAAGGTAGCAACAAAAACAAAGATGGCCAAGGACATGGTTATCGATAAGGTTATTATGGAGAAGATAAAGATTAATGAGAAGGTTGATGAAAAGGTAGGTCAAGCATTGATGAAAGCAGAGAGTACAAAGAAAAAAATCTTTGGAGGTGAGGATTAAGAAGCCATTGCTTTCTTGTACTACACATTTAAAGATCAAGATGCTAGAAACGTGTTTTTAACAATATGATGGATTGCCACTGGCTAACCTCGCTGGCTAACCTCGCTGGATTAACTGGGTCTTGTTTGTTTCCTTGTGAGCACTCCTTTGCAACAAAAAGCTTTTGTTATGCTGATTGAAACACAAAAGACCCCTATTCTTGAAACAACATTAATTTGATATGCTTTGGAAACTTTGTTATGCTGTGTGATAATTGGTAATTGATAACTGTATTTTATGGAGCGAGAGACCACACTTTTCTTTGTTTAGTAAATTGTTATGTCTCAATACATGTACACCCACGGATCGAACAAATATGCAGTTTATCAGTTTGTTACTCACCTTTACTGTCTCCTTGTCTGTTGTCCTGTGTATCGATATTTACACTATTACCAATACCAGTGATGTAACCAGTCTTTTCTATCCCATTGAGGAGGAACACTTGGTTCATGAATTTGAACAGCTGGAGGATATTCATTCGTGGAAATTTTACAATTACCAGCATTTCCAATCTTCGCAATTGTGGCAAGAATTGGACACTACGTCTCAGGGAACAAAGTTTAATCAGACTATTGTGCATTTGGTTGAGACCAACGAGACTTTGGTTCTTTCTTCGATGAATCCGGTGACATTTTTTGAATTTGAGGTTAATTCATTTAGGAGCAGTAAACAAAATGTGACATCTCAATTGGATTGGTTGAAAAGTGATGAGGGTGATGATGATGAAGATGAAGATGAGCTTGAGAAAGAGACTGCTGCAATTTCACGTAAAACTTCAAGCGGTGTTTATAATGATGATGAGAAGGCTACTATGGCTATTCAATTTGATCCAGATAGTGATATTTTAAAGAACGCTTCGCCTAATATGGCAATCAATTTGTTTTTGGTTAGTCTTTATGTTGAATCCGGAGCAGAAGCAGTTAAAGAGATGGTTATGAATGATGACACAGTATTCATTGTTCCAAGTGAAGAAGGTGATGTCAAGTTTGAAGCACAGGGTATCTTGAAGTTGATTATTCTTCCGATCCTTAAATTAAAGAAGTTGATTTGGGTCATTGAAAAGAAGACGATTGCATTATTGGTCAAGATTAAAGAATTGACGGTGGCTATATTGAAGAAAGTCAAAAAAGTTGTTATTCTCATTACAATTAAAACCAAGTTGATCACATTGAAGACGGCATTTTTGATTAAACAAAAGATTAAAAAGGCCAATTTGTTAGCTGAGATTGTGGCGATTACAACTAAGGAAAAAGCGAAATATAAAATTATAAAGACTTTGATGATTATTGCCTTGTTGAAAGACAAGGCCAAAGAAAAAGTCCGCAATACAAAAGATGCTCTTAAAGCTGTCAAGGGAAAATTGAGTAAAGGAGGAGGTGGAAATTGGAGTGATAGTGATTAGAAAACTTTGTATATGACTTGGTATAAAATATTGATTAAAAACGAAAAAAAAAAGATATTCAGTAAAGCAATTAACTAATGGTACAACAACTAATGGAGCGTAGAAACTACAGGTGAAATGAATTGTGAAAACAAAAAAATAGGTTTCTCGCTATTCGTTTGCCAAGGACACTTAGGCAGAACAGACAGCAGTGTACAATACAACCAATTCCAAGACTGCGGTTGATCCATTGTCCAATACAGTTTCAGAAGTTACGGTTGAGGTTGAATAATCTCCTTCTGGAACATCGGTTGGGATAACAATGACACTTCCAGGTGCAACTGTGGTTGATGAAGCACCTGGAGCAGATGAACTATCGGGAGCAGATGACGAGGTCTTTTGTACAGATGAATTGTTGTCTGTCGCAGTGGAAGAACTTTCACCTGTCTCTTGTGGAGTAGAAGATGTTGGTGGTGCACCAGAAGATGTTGATATAGATGAGGTGGTAGTTGGAGAAGTTGATACAGCAACAGGAGAGCTATTCGAAGGATCACTAGTTGGGGTAGTGCTGTCACCAGTTGAAGTAGTATCATCAGTCGGGGTGGCTTCAGCTTCAGCTAAGGTGGTGGTTTGGGTAAATACAGTGGTGGTGGTCAATACACCTTGCTCATTAGTCCAAATGTAAACAACACCATTTTGTTCAACTACTTGTGGTACGGTAGTAGTAGAAGTGGCTTGAGGAGTCACAGTCACTACTGTGGTGCCATCATAGGAAGTTGTATCTTCGGCATTTGCTTTTGATAGTAATGCACTCAAAGTGAATAGAAGCAATGCACTTATTTTTGGTGAAACCATTTTTTGTCTATTTCTTTTCAATTGTATTTGATATATGTGTGGGGTTTGAGGTAATTGTCCGATTGCGGTCAGTGGGTGAGTGAGTGAGTCGGTAGTTTAACGAATGTTAGTGTGAGGTTGGTTGTTGTGTTGGTTGCGAAAATACAAAACTGAAGAACAAAGAAAACGTCGAAACAAAAAAAGTTCAAATAAAGGAACAATGAGGGAAAACATGCATGCTTTATATACGCCCATATACTTATGAGTAAATGCTGGTAAGCAAAAAGTAAAATATTCAAGATTTATCCCATTTGGGTTTAGAGTAAGACAATAATATCTTCTTTTGGGTGAATAAAAAAATTAGAAGTTGGTGGTAGTTACATTAAAATACACAAATGCCCAGATATTACGTTTGGAGAATGAAGTCAAAGTTTACACAAACACTAAATTCTACACGACTTGCAGTGTGCGGTGTGCGTGTGTGTCAAAAGACAATGTCAATTCGTAAAGCCATAGAAACAAAACTTTATTGTTAAGCAAAAGAAAAAATGGTTACACATGTTATGGTGGCTGTCAAGCAGAGTATAAAATTTGAACCATACTACATAGTCAGACCTAGCTTAGCTAGTACAAGATACGCCAGCTGCTGGCAAAGCTTGTTAATTGAATGAAACAAAATGTATTATGTAATTGCTTATGTAAAAATATTTACGTGCTACACAAAACTTATTTTCGCTTTTTAGAAAGCCAGCCACGTTCTGTGTAAAGTCTTTAAGTTACTACTACAATTGTTTTAATCTCTTCTTATTGTTCTTTTAAACAATGCATGCATCATCAATCGACACATTTTTAGCCTTCTCTGCACGCCTTTTTATCTTTTTATAGAACCAATGACAAGCATAGTCTAAAAATTAGAAATATAATCAGTTGCTTTTGTCTTTGAGCAATGCTAAGAGGTAAAAATAGTAGCAGTGACAGTGTTTACTTGTATTAATAGCTAGTCCATAACCTCACCGGCTGGTCCACACCAAGAAACTTCAACTGAATATTGCTCCATAAGAATGATTTACATAGCTGCATTTATGAACTTACCTTTATTTATCTGTGTAGTGCAACGGGTGGTGGACAAAAGCGTTAATCAAAGGAAGCCTGTTGAGTTGGCGTATTTGACCACGCTCTTCTCCTATTGTGAAGCTCCGTTCTTTTCTACAGTACTACATTGTTGTTATTGGTCTTTGTTATTTGTGTCTATTCCCAAAGAAGTCGTGTTTTTTCTCAAATAGGAATTTAGCTCCGGCTACAGACCTAATTACATTCTGACCATCGATCCATCATCAAGGCGTGCATTATTTCTACTTCTTCTGCGTCATTATCGAACTTCGCGTAAACAATACGACTTTTGCTTTATACTTTTCCGATTTTTTTCTGGGTTTTTGGATTTTTCTATTTTAAAGTTTTAGTAAGACATAACAGAGAGCCATAGATGAACATCACCTCACTGATAAAGTTAATTATATTAATTGGAAATAATGTGGTCAGTAGAACCATGCAACACTTTAATTTCATTGTGGTGGCTCTTCTTTTCCACTGAAATTGAAAGAGAAAAGGTTGTTTGTTATGCAAAACTGTATGCTTTTGTCGATTGATTGTAATTAAGTTTTGTAGCTACTGATTGTTCACTATGAAGATACCCATTTTAAGCTTTATTATGGTTATAGTTCCACCACGTCGTCGAGTCTTTTTACAGTTGCTCTTTTCCATGTATGGCGTTAGTTTGTGGGCATCGTAAATCTTTGATATAGACGCAACGAAGGCGAACAGAATCTAAAATTTCCGAAAGTTTTTACTTCATTGTTTATTGTCTATTATGTATGTGTGTGTTTGTTGGTTACGGTTATGATTATGTCGACAAATAATGTTTTTCCTTTTAAAATTCAAACTTCTGGGCAAAGGTTCAAAACCCCTTTGGGTACTTTGTTTAATAATAACAGAACCAGACGTGTAGTGACCATTTGGGTATCGCCCAAGTGCTTGCAATACAGGTGTGGTTATTTAAATATCATGAATAGACACATTTGTCTCTCACTATGTAACATTGTACTGGTCACTTTCTGTCAATGGTCTTGCAAAAGATCTCAAGTTGATAATTATGCTCTACTTCGTATTTGTTGTTTTGCATCAAATGTTTGCGACTGTTGACACAAAAAATTTCACAAAAAAAAGAGAGAAACCAACAATCACGAAAATACCAAGAAACATATGAATTATGAGCTTTGAATATTTATTTTAGAAGCATCCATGAATTATTAAAGGTACTACCACAATGCAGTTTCTTTTAAGCATACTGATTAGGTGCTGAATGAAGATGTGTTTGCTGTGTTTTTCATTGCTCCCCCCCCCCCGAAAAATGAGCTACAATACAACCCCTGTGGAAATCCGTTTTCTTTCACCGATTTATGCTCCGAACATTGAAGGCGTCCTTATCCCCAACTCATAGACCAGAAGCGATTTACATTTTGTTTTCTTTCTGTGACACCACCGTTGTTCGCTATTCTTTCTGCAACGGTTCGTGTTTGACATCCAAAATAATATTCCCTTTATAGTTATAACAGCCAGCATCTATGAGAGGCCACAGGAAGAAAAAATAATGCGTTGCAAATTATTAAATTAGCTAGTTGTAGAAACTAACGGGCCTAGTGCGAGGAATCAAACGTGTTCGTAAAGTTCTTAACCTCTTCGTATAAATTATTCAACGGCTAGTTTCCTACGCTGGTTGCATTAGATGCATAATCAGCAAGTGCAGTACAATTAACTGTTCAAATATAACTTAATTTGGCCAATCTAAAGAGCCAAACGTATGTAAAATAGCTATTATCATGTATTCAAACAGTTCGGCTTCTTTTCATGGAGCAACAACTGGATTAAAGTAAGGCCTTAGTTAAGGACTTACTGTACTCCTCTGTTGGGCTGCTAGTCAGTATCAACAGCAGACCTCACCATGTAGGGCTTCTTTGAACCTTTTTCCTTCCCGCCAAACATCAAAAAGGTTCCCAATAAAACGTAAGGCACATCCCCGGTGTTTATCTAATGGCAATGATACACGTCTTTCCAAGATATATGTTATCGTTTATTGGTCCAAGGCTTTATCTTGGGTTGCGGCCTCGGATACACCTCAACATAAAGGAAAGTGACAATATAACTTCCAACAAGTAGAACAGCTCACGCCTAACTAATCCAAGAAGTACAGCCAGTTTCGCCTCTAGTTTTTCTCAACTTTCACTTGCTGAAGTATGTTAAATTCAATGCTTCTTTTTGATGAACTATTTTGAACAATGTACACTACTTACACAAAAGTATGTTCATAATAACTTTGGTGATATCTTTATGTATATATATGGTTGCAAACAATGAAACAAGCAAACACTCAATTGATTGATTAACTATTTGATAGGTATAATTCTTGGAGGTTTGTTGACCACAATAAGTTAAGTGTGTAATAATAAATAGAGAGATATACACAAATAGTTTTAGGAAGTTAGAGTTTTTAATTTTAAATACAATTGTTTATTATATCGTTACAATGTTTGTCAATCTAGTAACTGTCACTGTTAGTCCGATTTTTTATATCTTCAAGTCCCGCTTGCAATCTTGGATATTCTTGTGCTAACTTATCGCTCAAAATGTTTCTCAATGTCCCAAATCCTTGCATTTTGCCTTTTAGTTTAGCATTCAGTTTGGCTGTCACTTCGATGAATTCTCTTGTATATATGTCAGGATTTCTCCCATCCTCAATATATGAAACAACATCTACTGGAATCAATCTGTCTTGTAGATCGCTACTTTGTGACACTACTTTTAACTGAGTGGCTAATGTTTGGATCTTATTGGATAATGCGAGATTAGACTGAGGTGTTCCTTGATTGTCGTGAACAAGAATTCCCAATTCGATAAACGATTCAATCAAATTGGCAACATTTTCTGCCGCCTTGGCAAGTGGCTCATTATCCTGTTTTACTGTTATCAGTGTAGTTGTCATTGATATGCTTCTCTTTTGTTGTGTTTTGGGTCTCTAAGTCAATACGACTTGCAAGGCAAAAGCTTTCTTGATTTTTTTTTTTTTCCTTCGTTTTCCCCCTTCCCTATTTTTCGTACGTTTTTTGGCAACTAAATTAATTTCCGCAAGTGAAATGGCCAATTTGCAATTGTATCTCGCCATTATTAAAACTGTCGACACCCATATAATAACAAGCTCGGCCCCTCTCTCCTATGTTTGTATCTTTCACTTACAATAAACGAAAATATGAAGATGCCAAGAGAGGCCAGCAGCATGAGAATCTACACACACTTCTGGCGAATGAGAGCCTAGGGAACAACAACTCACTGAATACAAATAATACACCTGCTAGCCCCGCCAAACTGTTCAACGCCACGTTGAGAATAAAGAATCCCAATCTTTGGAGAAATGGGAAACTCTTTTACGTAGAGATGCCAGAGATATTGCCACCACAGCTGTCTCGTGGAGCAGTTGCGGCCAACGACACTACGAAACTTGAGAGCAGTTGTACTCCACAGACATCACCTATTACTTTCTCATATAACAAACATAAATACCAAGAGGCATTAAGAACAAGAACGTCATCATATTTGATAAATGAGCAATCAAATGTCAAACCGAAGATTGGGACCAGTGAGACAAAGCAGCTGGGAAAAGTACCTGCGATAAAATCCAACTCTTCCTCGCCATCTAAGGGAGTGAAAATTCAACAGATGCAACATGGTTTTACTCCACCAGATAGCAGTGCTGTTTCAAATTCACCACAGTCTAACGTATCTCATCAAAAAGAAGGGGATGTGCCCTCAATAACCAGAACAATTGAGCCAAATTCCCCATCGAAAATTGTCAAACTACAGTACTCAACCACTAAGATGAAACGGAACAGCCTACTGTCAAATATTGAAGGCAATTTGAGAAAGGATAAAAACTTTTCTAATAAGCCAAAGACGGACAATACGCTTCCAAATCCTGACGATACGTCCAAAATTGAGGAATCCTCTTCTCATCGTGGATTACTTGACAGTGCTGACACGGACCCCCACACCACATTACCGGGAAATAAGTTACAAGAACGACACAAGCACAGCCCTCGAGGCAGACCAAGCTCAACATCTTCTGTTGTTTCATCATCGGCCATTCTTCACCAATCGTCTACCTCCATGTCGTCATCGCCTTCTCGATCTGCATCTTCTGCACCATCACCATCACCTTCGCCATCCCCGAAGACAGAATCTGAACCTATCGCTCGCCAATCATCTGAGCCACTCATTGAATCAAATTCCTCCGACGCATCGAACTCAGACCCAGCGCGTGAGCCACAAAGAAGCACGATTGAAACATGTGAAGAAGCGCTCGATTGCATGTCACAGTACCACAATATAGAAGAGGATATAAGTAATAGTACTTTGGAGAAAGATGATCTAAACAGTTATCAACAAGCTGAAATCGATTGGTTTAAAAGTTTAGTCATTGTTGCTGGAAAATTAAATGATTTGAAAGACACTTATAGGGCGATACAGTTGGTGAAGCGGAAACGGGCAATTTCGTAGATGGTTATAGCTGTATACAGTTTACAAAATGAAAAAGAATAACCTACTTAGATCGTCATAAATATAACAAAATCCCGATGTTTTGCTCTACTGACTTGGTTTGCATTAGTGTCAATCTTACCATCGATAATAATTTCACAACCTATAACCTAAAATGCGCGACATTGAAAATATTGTTACAATGGAAAGAAAAACAATTCTTACATTAATCCTGTATACAAGCACCACCTTCTTTTGAAAGCGCACCAAAAGTTCATCAACGAGAGATAATCGTTAGATTAGCTAACAACCCATCCACTCCAACCAGATAAAGGCTACGCCATATTAGTTTCGTGATCAGATAGACATTCCACACAATCAGCACATACTTTGCCCTGTTCAATTATACTTGACATCATCCCTTACTAGTCATGAAACCTGTCGTATCAACATTTCAAGCATACTGTTGCTTCATACTATCTTCCTTTGGTATAGTTATATTATCGGTCATAGGTTACTTGTTCAACACTAACAGTGAGTCATTTACGGGGTCGATAAATGACCCAGAGGACGGCAAGGCAGTTGCCAATACTGTATTTGGTGGGGTATTTGTATACTTGGCATTTTTCATCTTTTGCGGTTTGCAAATACTATTAATCAAGAGGCAGAACCGAATCAAATTGTGATGAATTGAGAGCTTGATCCAAGCTGGGTTGTGGTAGCTGTCAATAATGAGAGCTCTTTCTTTATCGCTATTTTTTTTATAAATTGAAAAATAAATACAACATCTATACATCTATATACATCTCTAAGTAATCCCTAGAGTTTGGCAACATTGTCTTGGTCACTGTTCATTTTTTGCCACTGACAAAGCTCCAAAACCAACTCTCGGGTGCTGGCAACCTCCTCCTTTGAAGCGCCATTATTGAGTGCGCCTTTCAAATGGCCCTTCAATTGAGGCTCCACGTTTTGCGGAATTAAACCCGCAATTATGATCAACGAGGTTTTCTTTGCCGTCAATATTTCCGTGAAACTCAACAAAGGTGAGTAAATGTGCTGGTAAGTGTAATACCACAAATCGGGGTACGCATCAATCATCTGGTTTCTGATTCTCTTGTTTATGTCGTTTGAATAGACTGTGTTCCAGAAGGTTGAGCCTCTTAATAAATTGGATTTTACCCTGCCAGTATCGATTGAATTGGCAGATATAAGTCCATCAATGGTGTTTGCCCCATTAAGATCATTACTGTCTATCTTGACTTCGCTAGGTCTAACATTACACTCTTGCCAAAAAGTTGAAGGGGTTGCAGCTTTCAATATTGATAACCCATTGATTGATTTTGGAAGGCCGCATAAGGCACTCAATTTTAATATCACGTCACGCATCTGTTTGACAATGAACCTTTGTTTCCTTTTGATGTCTTCGCCACGAGTGTACTTGTACGTCAAGGGAATAAGTTTGTAATAAGTTGCGGGTATTAACACGTCTGGCACCTTAACCCCTGTAGAATAGAGCTTGATACATATCTCGCTCGAATTAATTGAATCATTGGCCAACTTTATCATATATTCATTGCTGATAACCCTCTCCTCATCACTGCAAAATTCAAACAACTGTTGCCGAAGTGCAAAATGCAATACTATTGGTATTTCCTCAGTAAGATTCAACTCGAGTAATGCAGCAATTGCAACTAAAAACCAGGTATTCTGTAGCCTGGGGTAATGATACGCTAGTCTGAGTAGTCTTTCTGCCGTGAGGAAAGTCATTATTGTTTGCAGGCGTTGAAGAATTAGCTTCGTGTGTTAGTTACTTTTCAATTTTAAACCTCGGATTATTATCCGCGCTCCATTTTGTGCCGCTTGAACATGACATTTTTTTGGTTACCTTTTTCTTTTTCACTTTTATTTCCGTTTTCCTTTAATAGTTTGTGCAGACGCTTTAAAAGTATATTACGCTCCCTAAAGTACAAATGAAGACAAGGTCCCTTTTCTTTAAAGCTTCTCCTATTGAAAGAGATCACTCTCTTGTTCGTTACATGCATAGGTTCTATATATTTACTCTTGACAACAAAATAATGCTGATTATTCTCAATGTTTATTCATAACTTTGCTACTCCGTCTTTACCTCCCTTCCAATGAATTCCTCCTGTCCAGTCACAAATATCAAATACCATCGACCTGACATCATTCAATTCCTGCTTGGTTGCACCATTGTTTAAAGCACCTTTCAAATGGCCCTTCAATTGAGGGTTCACATCTTGTGGAATCAAACACGCAACAACACACATTGATGTCTCTTTACCCGAGATGATTTTCGTATAACTCAACAATGGTGCGTAGACATGATGAAATGCAAAGTACCACAAGTCGGGATATGCTGTCAACATCTGGTTCTTGACTCTGTTGCTGATTTTAGCGTATACGCTGTTCCAAAAGTTCGAACCACGCACTAAGTCTGACGCAATTTGTTGAGAATGAATAGACAGTTCACTTATGGGACCATCTATTGTGTCTTCAGAAGTATCATCTTCCTTGTCAAACTTGGTTCCATGCACGTCTTCGCTGACTATGGATGCTGAAGGAATGTGGCCAGGACTCACAATTCTCGGACGCTCTGGAGTAAGCCCACTCTTCAAGTTAGTAGGGGTCACTGTTTTCAATATCATCAAGGCATTGATAGCTTTAGGTAATCCGCTCAATGCAATGCTCTTTAAAATCACCTCTCTAAACCTAGCAGTCAATCGATCTTGCATGGCTAAGATATCCACATGTTTTGAATACTTGAACTTCAATGGAAGCTCCTGGTAGTAAGTATGTGGTATCAAAATATCAGGAAGATTGACCCCAACGGCTGATAAGTCCTGGAACTTCTTCGCCGAGTTGATCGAATCTTGTGCCAATCTAATCAAGCTTGGATCAGTTAAAAGGCTTGTTGATGACGATTGCTGGGTAGTGGGGTTGGACAATAACTGCTGACGCAACGCGAAATGGTAAATCTTGGGGATCTCTTGCGGTTGGTTGACAACTGTCAAGCAAGCAGTGGCTATCAAGTACCATGAGCTTTGCAAGGAGGGGTATTTGTAAGCTAACCTCACCAATCTTTCAGCAGTCAAAACATTCATATTGCTTAAGTAGTGTTATAAGGAGAATATGTGGGTTACAGAATGTCCACCTGAATAGAAAATATCTCACAGGCAAAGGAATTAGGAGTGGGTTTATATTGAGTTACTTTGACAAGAGAAATTTCCCCATATTAAAGATAAAAAAAAAATAAAAATAAAATAAATTACAGTGGAGACTGAAAAAATCAAGTGATGATAAAATCGGAGCTACCTATCGGAATGCGCTATTAACCGCTACAAATGCTACTTCCCGTCATCATTTCTAACACTAGATCTAATCCAGTTACGACTGATTGTATCCTTCATCCGCTTTCCTTGGTGACCATTCCATGGCCCCATAGCCCAAAAATGCAGCAAATTGCTAAACACAGGGGCAATTTTTGAATTAAAGAAGCGAAACGATATACGTTCACTCAGTGAATAGTCACGTGGGAGACTTGTACTGATATCCTTGGTTATTTCTTTCATTGATTTATCCTCAAGCAAGTCTTGCATCTTCTTGTTATCCTCGTGTAGGTCATTTTCCAAGTGGGATGGCTTGCTGCTTGTGGTGTAAGTATGTTCCCATGGCCTCATTGTATCATCGATAGGCACCCAACGTTCTGCCCTCCTCCACACATCAGATCCAATCATCTCCTTTATTCTTGAAACGGCTCGTTTAAATGCAAACTTCTCATCATCACCTGTAAATACTTTAATATTGGCAAAATTTGATTTGTCGGTGTTAACTTTACTAGGTTCATCATAATGCTCTGTGTCTTCTTGATCATAGGAAGCAATGTTTGGTCTATAAGGGTTCTCCATGGCGATCGACGTTTTAGCAAACATTTCTTCATCCTGCACGTCTAATCTATCCGTAGCACCACTACTCTTTGTATGGAGTTTCAAGTAGTTTATGAATTCCCTGTCATCAATTTTTAGAGCGTCGGGAAAGAATAAATAGTCAATGTCTACTTGGGATCTCATAAAGAGCTGGCACTTGGCTTCGTATATGGCATCCAATAATGTAATAAATCTTCGTGCCTCATTTTTCATCTTGGTGGTCATAATCGGTACGTTGTCCAAGATAACTGTACGATATTTCGAAGCAATTGTGATATAGTCGGATGATGAGGTGAGTCCCTGGCATATTTCCGAAAAGTCGAGATAGCAGATTGTGTCATTATTGAATACCTTAGGAATACGTGTGACCCTATTGTAAACCATTACTGAAGATGGGCTTCCCAAGCTTGATATTGATTGGTGCATAAGCGGAGAATCCTCTGCGATACCTAGTGCCTTGGTTTTAATCAAATGATCCCACTCTTTTTCCTCGCCATGATTGTCTTTGCGCACCACAAGATGAGGCTTCTCTAATGACTCGTTGGCAAAATAAGTTCGATAATCCTTTTCTGATTTTATGTCAATGGATAGACATCTTGCATTCAAAATACCAACAAAACTTTTGAATTTGCCTTTGCTAAACTGCGCCGAGTACAATTCTTCCGGTAGTTTATTAGATGTGGCAACAAGTACTCCACCAAGTTTAAAGTAGAACGTGAATAGAATCTTGATGATGTTGGCACTAGCAATGTCGGGCAATACAAATTCGTCGAGCATCAATATGGTGTTTCTTTGGATCATCTTTTGTGCCACTTCATATAAAATAAATTCATTCTCCATTTTAAACTCGTTAACCTTTCGATTCATGGTTTTAAATCGATGTTGTTGTATATTGTGGATCTCGCTGTACACGTATAATATAAAATTATTATAGTGCCAACGCATCTTAGATGCATGCGGTAGTGAGGACGCAAATATATCCATAAGCAATGATTTGCCCGAGCCAACTTCGCCGTTCACTAGAAGTCCTTGTGGTGATGGAAAATTGATCAACTCTTCTTCATCTGTCATATACTTGATTAAAGACTGCTTCTCCTTTCTTGGATCTTTTTTAAAGTAGCGCAATGGTGATTTCTTTCGCGTGTTTTGTTCTGCATCCTTTACCTCAATTTGTCTTAAAACTAGACTTAATTTAATTGACAAATCCTCAGGTGGTACGTAGTCTATAACACGGTGGTAAAGTTTTTGAAACTCTTTCATTACTCGTACCTGAGCTTCGTCTTTTTCCAACAAACCCAGCGCGACATAGTTTTGGTATAGTTGGTAAGGGTCTGTGATCGCCAAAGATTGGCTTGTACTGTTTGATGAGCTAGGGTGCGTTGGTAGTCTACCTTGTACGCCTTGTACGCCACTGGTTGCTATGGATGATGAGTATTGTCTGAAACAGGATAAAACTAGACATAAGTTTCTTCTTGCGGGCATGGCGAGCTGCTTGTTGATGTATGATGGAAAAAAAAGCGCTTGTAATGGTCGGTAGAAAAGAAAACAATGATTTTATCTAATCCATCAGTTCAAAATGATCGTGCTACCAATTGCTTAAACGAATCTGAATAAAGATTTATTCATATATCTAGCTGGATATAAACAGTGATACCGATACGAGTTACTCCTATCTGCTTTTCCTAACACAGTAAACATTTTTTACTGTTCTTGGTGATAGAACCTTTCGATCTTGCGAAATCCTTGACCGTTTCACCATCCTTAGCCAACGAATCATTTTATTGCTCTTTTTTGACACATTACGTTCTTTGAAACAACGCATGGAAGATAAATTCAAGGATCTCGGTCAAAAGGCTTCTTTAGTATCCATGAGGCCATTTTGAGGTGTATGCGGTACATTTGGGAAGTATCCTTTGGTCGAAATTTTTTCTGTTGCGATTGCTAAATCCATATAGTTTAGCATTGTGATTGATGGATCATCGTTATTTTATCTACCATGACTCCGAGTCACACACACATACAAACAATGATGACAAAAATCTTAATGCCCATATAATGACCGGAAAAGGATTCTTTTTTTTTAGCCACAGAATGGAATCACATACTTTAAGCAGATTAGGAAATGAATGTATTAGTATATTCAGGTCCTGGAACCACCACTGAAAGTGTCAAGCATTGCATCGACTCATTGAGAATTCATTTGTCCAAGTTTTACGCTGTATTACCTGTTAATGAGACTGTTTTATTAGCCGAACCATGGATGAGAAAGACATCAATGTTGGTGATCCCCGGTGGGGACGATCTATCTTATTGTCGAGTATTAAATGGTGCCGGAAATAGAAAGATTAAAAGGTATGTGAAGGATGGAGGCAAATTTATGGGATTTGGTGCTGGAGGTTATTTCTCTTCGGCAAGGTGTGAGTTTAACGTTGGCAGTCCCTTGGAGGTATCAGGAACTCGAGAGCTAGCTTTTTATCCTGGCACTTGTAAAGGTGAAGTATTTTCTCGGTGCAACAAGCGTTCACATGGTGGTGCCAAAGCAACAAAGTTATCGGTCAACATTCGTGAATTGCCCAATGCCCCTGAAATGATTCTCAGCTACCTTAATGGCGGGAGCATATTCATGGACTCATCAAGGTACAGAGATGTTAAAGTTTTAGCCAGGTATGTAGGGCAAATGGGCATTGAGGATGAGATTAATGCAGCGATTATTTACCGCAAAATTGGCAAGGGTGTGATTATTTTGTGTGGACCTCGTCCTGAATTCTCACCAAGACTGTCTAATAAAACTAAAGGAGAAGAGGGGGGGCAAGTGGTGAGCAAGTTGAAGGCAGATGATAGAAATGGAAGGGTACTTTTACGAGAAATGTTGAGAAAGCTTGGACTTCGTGTTTGTGAAGATGTCGAAGATTCTACGCCAAGCACAACACCCATGTACTTCACTTCGCCATTTCCTAGGAAAATTCAAACTCTATGGTCAAATCTCAGCCACAACTTGGAGATGGAAAAAGGCTTGTTTAGAGATAATTATGATACATTCAAATTTCAAGAGGTAACATCTCAAAATGAATTGGAATTCAGAGACTGCAGTATTGGAAAAAACGAGGATTCCATTAATCAAGCCAAGATTATCAGTTTTATGACCTCGGGTCAGACACCTACCGCAAAATTGACCCCTTACTTCGACATGCAAAAGTATTTTGACAGCCTTTTCCGATTGTCAACCAACGCTGTTCGCGAACTTGGCACTGTACTTGGGTATTCAGAGGTAGTCTCTTCTACCCACACACTACTCGAGCAAAATCTTCAATGGTTGAAATACCTTCCCCATGGCTTAACGATAACAGCTTCAACTCAAGTTTCCGGTCGCGGCAGAGGTGGCAACATTTGGCTCAATCCACGAGGCGTTCTTCCGGCAACCATATTGCTCAAGGTCCCCCAAAAGGAAGTGGGGCCGTCATTCATTGTGACATTGCAATATGTTTGTGGGTTGGCTCTAATTGAGGCTATTTTAGGGTATGGGAGTCGTGTCAATGGTGATGGTGCTGGGTATGAAGATATGCCGATGCGTATCAAATGGCCCAATGACATTTACATGTTGAAACCTGAATATTTCAACAATCGCCATCTTGACCTGGGGTCGACATTAAATGGCAAAGAGGAGAAGTACGTTAAAGTAGCAGGGTCATTACTCAGCTCTCACTGTATTGACAGTCAGTTTTATTTAATTTGGGGTGGTGGGGTAAATGTATCTAATGACGCCCCTACAACGTCGTTGAACGTAGTGTTGACTAGACTTAATGAACTTCGCAAGGAAAACAATTTACCTGCTTTACCACAATATGGATTGGAGGCTTTATTAGCAAAAATTGTTGCTACTATTGATCATTTCTACGCCACTTTCAAGAAATCGGGGCTATCTCCATTCTTGCCTCTCTATTATCGAAGATGGTTACATTCAAATCAAACTGTTGCCGTTTCTGGACATCAAGGTGGGTCAAGAACTTGTATAATTAAGGGAATTTCCCCCGAATTTGGTTTGTTGATTGCTCAAGATGTAAGCAATCAGGAGATTTTGCATTTGCAACCGGATGGTAATTCATTTGATTTATTTAAAGGACTTGTTTATAAAAAGAATACATAGTGACTGTAATCTTTACTCATTGGAACCAACGACTGTTTCAAAAAAATCGTCAGTTTCTTTAAAACCACAAGCTCTAATAATTCTTCTTTTACTGGCACGTTTGGCTAAAATCTACACTGTTAGAGAATCAGTTTATTACAACGCCATGATACAGCTGTGTCCAAACATCGGATTAGAGTTTATCCCTTTCCATCAAAGATTGGATCGACTCTCATGCAGATGCATCTTAAGTGCATACAGCTAATAGCATGCATATGCTTCATCTGTAAGGATAATGACGCAACAGTCTCCAACTTAAAATCAAGCGAGTGCAAAATGGGCCCATTTTTCTGCGCTTCTCTTGTTGTGAAAATTATTCTCTCCTCTCTCTATGTGCAACATTAGTAGAAGTCTAGAACTGCAGGTCAGACCAAAAAAATAAAAAGTGAGAGAGAAGTATATTTTGTGGCTTGAAAAACAACCGTTGGAAACACAAACCCTGTGACCTTTAATATTGTCGTTTAGGCTTCACACGAGTTATTACTATACTAGGAAAACAATGAGAGGCATAAGAGGACGCACACTTGTAATGACTATTTTGTGTGAACGGTGACAACGGCCTCATTTTGTTTCTATTTTTGGGGTGTAGGAGGAGGTCTGTAGATCAGTTTCGATTTTTTTGGCATGTATTGAGTTCCATCTAGATACCAGAGACTATCTAATGAAGCTATATGTACTTTTGCGGGGAGGGAAGGAGAGGGATCAAGATCGCTTCAAATCTGATAATGGCCAAGAATAAACAACAGGAGATCCTGATGGCAGCTGGGTGCAGATAAAAAAAGAAGCAAGTGTGTGATTGTTTTTTCTTTTCTTTTCTTGTACCCTTTAGTTGTACTACACTTTGCAATATTGTGTGATTTTGAGCATTCTTTGATTTTCTTGCTCAAGAAGTGGTGATTTACGTCCCTGAGCCCCCTTCTTGCTAGCAATAAAACTGGGCTTTGTAGCCCTTGCCACCTCTCCAGTGACGTAATTTGTGAGTATTGTTAGTGAAATAAGATCTTAAAGAATCGTTAAGCGTCGAAATAAGTGAGATCGCAGATACCGCTTTACTCTTTACCGAAGATCCAACGGGAAGTGCTACAGTAGAAGGCATGTGTTGGCATTGTGTTGCTTTGTAAACCGAATATTTGAAATACTTTGAAAAAAAAACTTGATCTTGGAGACAAGACACTTGGCAAACGCTCGCTTAGCATTAGAAGCAACTACTTTAGAAGGAGATTCACATAACAGACCCTCTCTTCAGAAGGTTTTATAAAAATGGGAAACTTTTGGTTTCAAAGTGGCGGGTTTCCTACTGTAAACTCCGCCGTTCATATTTGTGTGGTTCATTACAATAGTGCATTGTCGGAGTCAAACAGCAAGCAAGAGTGGTCGGTGATTGTCTTTTTTAATGCCATTGATGAGTCTTTGTTTTTGTCTTTGTTTTTGTCTTTGTCTTTGTTTTTCTTTTGATTGTCCGAGGTATTTGCTCCTCTGTTGTCTTTATTTTACAATTGTCGCTCTCCCTTTTTGGAGGGGCAAAATTTTTGTGTCGTTTAATTTAGACGACGATTCTAGAATTACACGACAGACAATACGAAAACTAAGAACCAATACCAATGGCCGAAATAAGCTTTAATAATTTGAAAGTTAAATGAAAACCCACGAAGGTGTTTCCTTTCACCGTTATGTTCTTTAAAGTTTCAAGTCCGCTTTCTGTGTTTAGAGCTGAACTCTTTAATGCAATTGACTATTTTGCTTTTTCTATAAGGGAAGCCTCTAAAGTTTTCGTAATATTGTGGCAAAATTTTTACACATTCAAATACATGCCATTGTAAACTTCCGGAAAAAGAGGATACACAACCAACTCCCCCCCTTTTTTTCTCAGTGCATGGGGGATTAATTTCATTTGATGAAAGGTGGGGGCTTTGCTATAGATCTCAATAAAAGCTACACACAAAAAATAAAAAATAAGAAAGGGTATTTTCTGGTTATGAGTACGGCAAAAGTTTAAGTAAAGACCAACTTAGACTTTTTGGCACCAAATAAATTTTGCGGAGTCAAGTAATGTGCACATTACTCTAAAGCCATAAGAAAAGGGGGAATTACTATTGTCGGTTTTATCGCATGCATTTATAGAATAACACTTGCTAGTGCAAATGAGGGTAAAATGTTTGTACTTGCTTTGCAGTCAAAGTTGATCTTACTAATTTGATGGTTTCTCTGTTTAGAGAAAGTGCAATTGATTGTGTGAGAAGTAGAGGGACTCTATAGAATTACTATTTGAAAGGATATTTTATTACATTGCAAAACAGTAAAGGATTATTAGTGGTGGTGTGATTCATTCTCCCTGATGTTTCCCAATGTCTCATTTTATTTCCCATTGATACTTTTATGTGTGGCTTATACAGAAAAGTAGTGTAATATTGTCAAATATAAAAAGTCTCACTTAAACCATTATATATTTTGCTTTTTTTATTTTATTTTTCTTCTGAAACAAAAAGAATAGTTATAGTTTATTAACACTGGCGGTTTTGTGATAAAATACAGTTGTAATTTTATTTTTCTAAAAGTTGAAAAAAAGCCCCATTGGCAAAGAAGAAGAAAAAAAGGAGACAAGCACCTATTATAATTGACGAAGGGTAGGGACAGTAAGCTTTTAACCAAGCCAGTATATTCTTGGCCAATGCTTTTGAGCAGTAACTTTATCACCACCTCCTCCAACCAACTGAAATGAAAAGAAGAAGAAAATAAAATTATCAACAAGTAAAACAATGTGTGGTGGTCTAGAACCACCAACAGATTGCTAGTGCAAAGAACTTTGGAATTGTTTTGTTAAACGTGACGTTTCATTGTTTGGAATTTTTAGTTGTTGCAAAATATCCACCAATTGTTTCTTTAAGTTGTCGGTGTTTTGTTTTTATGGATTGCTCTGTGTGGCATGTATGTTGAGTTGAAGTGTAACTGCAACTCCGCAAAAGTAGTGGTTTATTGTCTCTTCTATAACGTCGACCAATAAACGTATTGACCTTTTGGTCACACAGTACAAACATCCTCAGTTAGCCAGTTCTACTTTTAGGTTCAAAGAGATATATTTATTGTTTCAAACAGTTTCAACATTGTTCTGTTTGAGTAAGTTTTATTGTTTAAAATCACAAACAATGAATCTATTTTTCTCCTTTACCGTTATGATACCAATCACCGTAAAAGAACAGAGCAGACAGAGCTAAAAAAAAAATGAAAAGGAAAAAGGAAAAAGGAAAAAGACAAGTGATGGAATGTGTGGCTTCTTAAATTTCTAGTCTTGATAGAAAAACAAAAGAGAAAGATATGGTATTCCATTTTCCTTTCTCCGTCGTACGTTTGAACAAAAAATAAAAAGTGACAGGTGGTCCACTGCATGTGGTATAAAATTGTCACATGTGCGAGTCATAATCTTTTATTGATATATTGACCGTTTGTACGTACGCAATTGCAAAAAAAGTAAGAAGGGAAAAAGCAAAGTGTAGAGAGTGTAAAGTGGAGAAAGGGCGGTAGAATCTCATCTAGACACATCTTTTGATGCCTTTGTTTAGATAGGAGTGTGTCCTACTTTTGTACCAATTTGATAAAAATAACAATTAATTCATATACAGGATAACACAAATATAATTATTTTTGTTCTCTTTTGTGCACAAATACACTACTAAGTAATAACATATTTCTTCACACAAACGCCTCAATATATTTTATTGTTAACAAGAATCATTTCTGCATATTAAACCGATTTGAAACATAGCAGAGCCTTTTCATAGGACTAACAGTCAATCTTCACTGTTTTGAATAAAACCAATAAACTAGACTAGACTAGACAGAGGAGTCAAGGTTAGTAGTAGAATAACATGGAAACGTAATACCAAGTTAGAACTACTCTTTGGCTAACGTAACTGCCCCTACCTGCGTTTCTTCATAACTAAATAGTAGTACTCTTTCACACCCCTACACCGCTCCTGCCCAAGCAAGACTCGAAAGCACCTTGCAGTTATTATCTATTGTAGTTATTCCCTACATAATGTCAACTCTTGATAATAATAGTACCATAGAAAAAAAAGAAAAGTAAAATAAGACAACTTAAAACAAAAACCGTACCATTTTTTTAATCCCCTTTTAATCCTTTTCAGAAGAAGAATAAAAGAAAGATAGGGGAAGGAGAGAGAGAGAATGTGTGTATTAACTAGTTGCTTTTGTCATTAATGTTTCTGTTACATCTATTTAATGCTGTTACTGCTACTCATGGAGAAACTATTATATGTGTTCTCAGATCTCGCCATATCTCATTTTTTCTTTCTCTGTCCCTTCAGTCCAAGATAAAGATTGCAGTATGCGTGTGCACAAAAGAATATTTTATGTTTCTATTTCAAAGCTAACCAACCACATCTCATCCGTCCGTTTTTGTCTTTTTTTTTTTCTTTCTTTTTTTCTTTTTGTTTAAATAATTTAATTTATTTTACTTAACTCTATTTCTATTGTTCTTTTATTTTTTAATTTAATTTTTTAATTTTTTAATTTTTTAATTTAATTTTTCAATTGAGACTTTAAAGAGAAATCTATCTATCTATATATATATATATATATATATATCTACGTATATTACCTATCACATACTTGTCATTACTTCATATTCATATTGCCACCCAATAATTTTCATTACACTAATCCTACTTTCTTATAACACCACTATTCTATAAACAGACATAGTATTCTTTCTTCTTCAAATAACCATACACACATAGACATCTACATCTACATATACGTATCTCCCACAATGAGTGATTTCGGTGGATTAGGGATCGTACTAGAAGAGAATGAAGAACAGAGGCGACATACCAGTACTATATCTAAAAGCCAACAACAACAACAACAACAACTCACTGAGCTACTGCAACCAGAGGATGATCTACACCACACTGACCATCACAGTTCACAACCACACTTACCATTGAGTGTGCGATCACCTCTGCAACAATCATTACAACAACAACCAAGGTTCACCACTGTGTCAAGACAATCAAGTACTACTAGTCTATCTAATGTTTCTCACAGATCTTCAACTCACACTTTTCCTACAAAGACAAACATGTCCTTACAATCACCACAGCCTACATTGTCAATAAATACTTCAACACCAGGAACACCTGTAATTAATACACCAGCAGTAAATGCAGGAATTTTGCCACCACCTTCTCCAGCTCAATTACAGAAACTCCATCAACTGCAACAGCAACAACAACAGCAACAACAGCAACAGCTGCTGCAAGCCAGTCCTTCAGATACCACAGAAATTCTTTTGCCTCCACTTCCAGATGCTGTTGAAGATTTAAAATCACCCTTGAGCACTACCCAACATACTATTTCTACAAATGGTAACGATGATCAACATTCAGCATTGTCACTGACATTTGCCAACAATAATAACCAAAGTAACAACAACAACAACAACAACAACCACGATGGCAATAATGATAATAATGACAATAATGACAATAATGACAATAATGACGAGGATGACGATGATACAAGCGCAAACTACAGTATCTACTCCACTGAATTTAATCAAATTTATCAAAATAGTAAAAGTTCATTTTCTAATTACGCTTTGGACTCACCAACATTTTTAATAGACCAGCAGCAGCAGCAGCAGCAGCAACAACAACTACAATCGCAGTCTATGCAATACTTCCCAACGTTACTGAAACTGTCGCATGAACATACACATTCAAATTTAAGTGATTCTGCAGCTATTCTGTCCTTGGGTGGTATCACTGGCTCATCTACTCAACTATCCACTTTTGGTTCCAATAGTAAAGTTTCACAAACTATGTCTGCTTCATCAACCACTTCTTCATCAATACCAACAGAAAAAACTAGTCCTTTGAAACGATTAAAGAATTTAAAGAATGGAATACGAAAGTTGTCATTGGGAAGCAGCAGCAACAACAATAGCAATAATGATGCCAGTGCCAATGCTTCGTCATCATCAACTCCATCCAATACCAAACCTGCTACATTCTCAACCATTAATTCATTCACCGTCAATCCATTTCCTTTAAGGCCAATGTTGAGCCCTTTGCAAACCGACGATAGAAGCATACCAGTTACTACTACGAGCACAAACACAAACACAAACACATCAAGGACAATAACCCCGCCTGTTAGTACCAAGTCAGTACCACCATCAAGCCAAATAACCGATAGTATAACTGCACAGTTGCATCAGTTTCAACAACCACAACAGAGGAAAAGTCAGCATCAACACAACAACTCATCCTCATCAACATCAACAACTTCTTCGTTGACATCAATACTTCGTGCAAAAAGATCTCGTGCTTGCAGTCAAGGTACCGCAAATGCAACATTCACTCCAATTACACCACCTCCTTTAATGGCATCACCAATCATTACTTTTAGTGAGAACTTGCAATCGACAAAGGCAACATTGAATAACATTGAACAAAATTATTTTGATTTTTTAGCTGCTGCACAATCTCAGACTCAATCAAGTACTGTTTCAACACCAGCAACGACTGCGAGATCTACAAGAACATCATCATCAGTGTCCATGAACAAGTCTAGTTCTTCAGCAGGACCTTCTGTCAATGGGACTTCTACAAACCAACAGCCACAACAGCAAAAACAAAAGCAACAACAGCCACAGTCGCAATCGCAATCGCAATCGCAATCGCAACAGGCCCCATCATCACAAGTTAACTCCATCGAGGAAATGACTAGTGTCGAAGACTTGCTCAATTACTCAGATTTCTTGAATAACCAGAAACATTCCATTGATGATGTTTTCCAAAAGACTAAAGAGAAACTAAATGCATCTGGTTGGTGTTCCCAATATGACTTACACAATTTACAACTACAACAAGATAGTTCACGTTGTCAAATTGATACCTTGATTTTGAAAATTGAAGAACGATTGAATCGTGACTTCAATTACTCCATGTTAAACAATGACACTAGTGAAACTAGTGGGTAAATGAGTTTACGTGTACGCTTACGTTTACGGATCCACTCTTTATTTCTTGATGGTTTATTTTACGACTAATGACGCTCCTTTATTTTTACGATATGACATGGCCAACATACTCATTTCGTGCCCTTCCTTTTTTATGTTTACTTAATGATATTCCGACTACTGCTATGTTTTATTCATCTTTTCCAAAATATGCTGTTATATTTACAATTTTCAGGTACTTTTTCATTTGGTATGTTTATTTTTATATACAGGTTTATATTATGACAATAGATTATAGATTTTACGATCCATGAACAAGAGGATAATGCTTAGTGCCAGCCTATATCGTACCAATTAGACTGGAAGTATTGTATTCGACATTCTCCAATATGACGCATTTCGAAATGGTCGAATTACGTGAGTCGCTGTGGTTCGGCTTGCATAATGGAACATCTGATCAACAGGCCGAGGTCAGTCCGTGATTTTGGGTGTGGTCCAAAAAGCCCCATCCTCAGACTTTCCCCTTTCCTTAAATCGCCTCAAAAATGGAAAACAATCAACAGGCTGTAGAAAACGAGGCGTCTCCTAAGCACAGGTATTATATGCAAGGTTTCACCAAGAGGTATAATATTCGTAAGTTTATTGTTAATACAGACTTGGGCACTGATTTCTTTTTTTGTTACGTTTAAATTTACCAATTTCACTCAAAGTTGACTATAATATTGTACGGCACATGGTTATTAGCTTCGCTGCATAAACATTTCTGATCAGGTGAATGTAATGTATTTGATAGCTCAGGCGTCAACTTTGACTTGCATAAAAAACGAAAAAAAAAAGAATAGAAAACTAAATGGTCCAGTTCTTTTTGATAATATGCGGAGTTTAGGATTAAAGAAAAGACAATAGAATACTCTTACAAAACAATTGTGTTGTTTTGTTTTGTATTAATTGTTTTTTTTCTATTAGAGTCGCATATTGTGTTTGGGGGACTTTTAGACATTTCAGTTCTAGATCCCCCACCAACTTTGTACACTTATTGGACACAACAAGAGTTACAAACCCTTTGGAGTTCTTTTTTTTCACCTGCAAAAAAATTACAATTCAAGTTCAAACAACATGTCAAAAAGAAATGACAAGGAATTATTTCCTACATCTAATGGGCTATAGCTCAATGAAGTCAAAGAACTGTCAAAGTTTTAGTAATTGCCTGTCAAGAAAAGTGGTCTTGGTCAATGGGAAGATGAAAGTGTTGGCTGGGTGGAAATACACAGAAGCACAAAAACAAATAATAAGACCTGAGACCTATATAATTTTTCCGCCGCAATTTTTTTTCCTTCCCTCAATTGTCGTTTCAATTGTTTACCAAACAAGGAGAGAATGCTATGTAGCTAGTGTTAAATTGAAAAGGTGCCAATCACAAAGCAAACAGAGAGACAGAGAGCACAGCAGACCATAGTTCTAGAACCTCTCTTCCTTAAAAGGGAGGAATGGGCACGAGAAAGGATTAGCTTTGGTTATGAGTTTGATTCGATGTCGCCTATTTGCACCAGTAATAACCGACAAAGGAAATAGGACACCCAATTGTTTTTCCTTTTTAAGAGCATCAAATGCATTAGCCTTTACTGGCTCTATTTCGTCCCCAACAAAAGAAGTACACTAAACTACATTCTACGGATACACGTCCATCACAAGACTTAGGATTAATCTTCTTCCTTTTAAAAATTGTGTCGAAATATTAAGATCCAAATATATACACTGAGTAAAAAACATTTTAAAAATCTTTTTACCTAAAAAAGCATAATTCAGTATGAGGTATATATTTCGACATTTGTAGTTCAAATTTGATCTAGCAATTCTTTTCCCCTCCACTCATTCATTAATAAGTAAATGGTGCAGTGAATAGAATGCATTCGTATCAAAGAACCAAAAAGAAAAGAAAGAAAAAGAAGACTAAAGGGAAGAGAAATTTTCATACGAAAGAAAAGTTTTTGTCTCTGGCGAAGCAAAACAAAACAAAAGTTGGGTAGTGTAATCGTGACCAATTGTGCTACCAATCATTTTGGCTTTATACATATCATATTCATCATGGGCTGAAGCAATTGTAGATAGTATTGGCAAGGTGGGAATGAATGGATCAATTTAATCTTTCTCAATACTCTTCTTTGTTGAATTTACATCGACAAATGACAACACAGTCTCTTGCATATCATCTGTTGCGTGGATCCATTGGAGGAGAGCTAAAGTCACTTCTTCGCTGCTATAAAGAATCTGGCCATACTAGGAAGCCATAGTTGGCGCCCTAATGTAGTTGGTACCAGCTTTCTCCGTTTTTACTATTCCACTTAGAGTAGAATATACACACTGAATAACAATCTGCAACTAAAAATTTGAAACCAAACGCGACCAAGAACAATTCTGCAACTTGTAAACAGAACCCACTACATCCTTTCTACCCATTCATTACTCCCACAAATAGCTACTCCTCGACAATCCTCAACATGAGCCACTCGCAAGTAACCAACCCAAATCTATACAGTTTACGTGATATACTCCTTCTATCCCAACTTTTACACATTAACAAGATCCAGACCTTGCAAGATTTAGAATCAATCGATAACGACTTGTTCGAGGGTATACTTAGTCAGTGGAAAACTCATATATCAACACAACTACAACACAAGACCATCAAGGTCAATACGCTTAATCAATTGAAGGAATTGTATCGCAAATTGTTGGACAAGTATAAAGTGGACAATACTGAGAGTTTGGCAAATGAGGTCTACTACATGAGAATCGAAGAACTAGAGGATACCATTGAAAAGAAAAGAGATGAGTTTACTGCTGTTTTGAATTCATAACTATTTGCAGCAGATACGTCGTCGTTGTGGCAAGGATTAACCATGGGTATGTGACTTCTTACCAAAGCGGTAAAAAGCGAAAGACCCACCGTTTAGACTTCCTTGGCCAATCGATACATAGCAGTTATGTCAGTGAAATTCAGCATGCTTTAATATGAAGCATTCATCATGTCCATATTCAAATGCTCCTTCTCAAAATCTCATCTCCGGATTTGACTGAAAAAAGAAAAAAAAAAAAGGAAAGTTGAATAGGACAAACTTTGAAACCATCTCAACTAAGCACACAGCAATATGGGCAAAAAGAAGTCAAATTCAACGAGTGCAGCTCAAGTTTTGGAATCCTCGGTAGCACCAATTCTTGAAATCAATCTCAAGGATCCGTTGTTCACGGTTGCAGCTCACCCAACTAGACCTATAATCATTACCGGGTTGGCAACAGGAGAGTTATGCTGTAACATTTACGATGCATCCAAGCTAGAAGAGCTTCTGGAAATTCGAAGGCAGGAAGTGGCTGAACTTGATAAGCGTGCCTATGCAGAGGGTAAGGTGCCTCATGTGACAAAGTCGGTATCGCAACTGAAGAATAAATGGTGGACAACCATAGGAGATAAAACCGACATTTCAAAAACCGGGGCAGAGGTCAAGTCTAACTTGGATAGCGAATTCACTATTAATTGGGATACAAAGAGACATAAGGGGTCATGCCGCCATGCCATCTTTGATCCAAGGAGTGACTCATTGGGTGAATTTTTATATTCTTGTGGAACAGACAACGTCATCAAAAAAGCGGCCACCGAACTGGGTAAAGTTGTAAGTAAAGTGAATGTTGCCTCCAATTATACCAATCCCAACGATAAGCTCACCAAGCTATGCCATTCTACGACGCATCCATTTTTATTATCGGGTACTGAAGATGGACATGTGTTGGTATATGATTCTTCAAATCTATCCACAAATAAGCTTAAATTTAAAGTCAATCAAGTCCACGACGACTCCATCAATCATATTTTGACGATGCCACAATCCCCGTACCACTACCTCACACTCGGATCGACTACCTTGTCCCACATTGATATCAGAAAAGGCATTATCACACAGTCGGATGACCAAGAAGACGAATTGTTGGCAATGTCATACACAACTGATGAATTGAGCGAAGGCAAAGGGGACACCGTCTTGGTCAGCCATGGAGAAGGAATTGTCACCATTTGGAAAAACTCAAAAAATAAACTTATGGATCAGTTGTCACGAATAAAAGTCAACAAAACAGCGTCCATAGATACAATTGTACCTTCGATGAATAACGATTCGGAAGATATGGCACATTCTGTTTGGTGTGGAGACAGTGAAGGGTTGCTTCATCGTATTAATTATAAAAAGGGTAAAGTTGTTGAAACACGTGTACACTCTAGCACCAACGGCAAATATGCGCCTGTTGATGAAGTAGGGATTTTGGACATTGATTACGATTATCGATTAATTAGTGCTGGGATGGACACTTTGAAAATTTGGTCGAATAAAGAAGTTGAAGATGATGGAACTGAGGAGGAAGAAGATAGCATTGATGAAAGTGGAGATAGTAGTGATGATGAACTTGGAGCCTCCATGAGCGACGCTTCTTCTCTGAACGAGGTTTCGGACTTTAACTCGGATGATGAGAGTGAAATTGAAGGCGAAGAGGTTGACAACGAACAAGATGAACAAGCCGTGAGTCAAAGCGACGATGATGATTCACAAGCTCAAAGCGTTCCCCCGGCGTATAAACGTAAGAGAAGAGATTTTTCTGAAGTTATAACCAAACCTAAAAAGAAAGCTGTTGATATCAATAAGCTCACCAAACAGGGTGGCGAAGAGAATGATGCAGAACCCACACTGAAGAAACAGAAAATAAAAGAAAAAAAACTTACCACCAAGCAACTAAGAAATATGCAAAAACACGAACATGGAATTAGAAGATTTGAAGGTTTATAGATGACGTAAATGATAAATGGTCAAGGTGAGCATTATTTCTTTCTTTTTTTTTTTCTTTTTTTTTTGCAACTGTAAAAGTGTGTGTATATACTTTACTTTGCTCTTTCACTGTGCGTCAAGAATTCACTTATCTGAAGTCAACGTAAATTGTCTTAACGTCAAACTGGGGGAGGTAAGCCAGAACCCACCCACTCGATACAAACAAATAAAGGAACATTACTATCTCGTCACAGGAAATACCCTCCATCAATACAGCCTACTATGGAAAACATCTTTACTGTTAATGATGTTGTATTAAGTAGACGAGGGTCATACATCTTGGGAACCTTGATCTTATCATCTTATCATCTTGTGTTTACATTTACATCAAATCAAAAACAAGCAGCCACACCAGCAGTTACACCTGTACAACAAAAGGAAATTTGGATATGCTATCCCATAATCGAAAGGATGGCAAAATCTCGAGGGTCAACCTGGCTAAACAACAATGCATCGACCTCAAACAATTCGAGCCTTGAGTATCGAATAACGTCTGCCATTTCGTCGGGGTCGTCGTCGTCAACAACAACCGCTCATTCTCCTTCCCCTCAACCGCATCCAACTCCACCCCAGATTGATGGGTTCGATAACTATAGTGCTTCAAATATTAGATTACAATGCAAAGACTTCACGTATTTTTCATTTGATTTCAAGAATGACTTAATATGTACCGAAGTGTTCAACAAGTTGAGTTCATTGGCCACGACTGCCAAAACTGAGAACGACATCAAATCGCTATATGCATACTCATATGTTCCCAACAATTTGGAGAAAAAATTGGATGTACGCGGATGGGATTTATACGATACTGTAGCTGAATACAGCCGATTGGGATTAATTTCAAATGACACTACTGGTGATAGATTTTGGAGACTCACTGAAGTGAATTCCGATTACAAGTTTTGCCCGTCATATCCTCGGCACTTGATTGTCCCAAGTTCTATATCGGACAATGTTTTGAAGCACGCGGCGAAATTTCGATCAAAGCAGCGAATACCCGCAGTGGTATACAAACATAAAGCCAGCATCAATGGAAATGTCATTGCCAGATGTGCTCAGCCTCTTGTTGGCCTAAATTTACAAAATCGATCAATACAAGACGAAAAATTGATTGGGGAAATATTTCATTGCCAGGATGTTGAGCGTGGAATTCACTTGAAGAAAGGGGAACAGGATGAAATCACAGAATATCAATCGCAGCAAATGCAAAGGAATTTACTTGTTGATTTGAGACCTGTCACTAATGCAATGGCGCAACACGCTTTAGGGGCAGGTACAGAGAATGTTGACAACTATCGAAACAAAAAAGGTCGCGCCGAAGAACCCACCAATGGTAGTGACAACCATTCACATCATTCAAGAAATCCACGACAAGTTGATAAAATATTTTGCAACATTGATAACATTCATGTGGTAAGAGACTCACTTAACAAATTGACGACAATATTGAACGACCTCGACAGGTTTCAACAATCAAGCCAAACACCAAGTCCTACTGCATCAGCTGCACTACAGCATGCACTAACCAAGACGCAATGGTTGAACCGTCTCTCCATCATATTACAATCGGTCGATAGGATAACAAAATCGATTCATTTAAACAATACGAATGTGATCATACATTGTTCAGATGGATGGGATAGAACGTCACAAGTGTCTGCATTAGCTCAATTATGCCTAGATCCTTATTATAGGACTACAAAAGGATTTATGGTGTTGATTGAAAAAGAATGGGTGAGCTTTGGGTTTAAATTCAACACCAGAGCTGACCACGGTGGCTGTATTGGTGCCGTTATGAAAAAAAAGTCGAGGAGACAGCAATTGCAAGAGTGTCCAGATAACAACAGGACTGACGAACAATCGTCAGAAGTGTCAATTGACAGTTTGCAGTTGGAGAATAAACTAGCTAACGAAGCTTCAAGCGCTGGCAGTGGAGCCGCTGCTAGTGTGACTTCATTTTTGCAAAAGGCAGCTAGAGCTGCTCGTGATATTAAAAACAGTGCTCAAAATGGATTATCCAATTATCCTGATGGAAATCGTCCTGGAACTCCAGATGCAAATTCGGATAAGCAGTTTCAGTCAACATCTTCTAGTATCTACGGTGGAAGCAACGAACGCTCGCCAGTTTTCCACCAGTTCCTAGACTGTGTCTACCAGATTTTCCGTCAGCAACCGACAAAGTTTGAATTCAACACAAGATTCCTCAAAAGGTTATTATATCATTACTATTCCTGTCAATATGGGTCATTTTTGTGCGATTCAGAGCGGGAGTTGCTCCAAGTGGACAAATGCTATGACTCGACTGTATCAGTTTGGGATTATTTCAATTCTAGACCAAATGAATTTCAAAATAAGCTATACGATATAGGCGATAATGAAAATGATGGGGTAGTATTTTTCAACTCAGCTGATATGAAGTGGTGGTTTGAGTTGTACGGTAGATCGGATGAGGAGATGAACGGATTATCCAATTCCTTGGATAGAAAGTTCGCACAAATGGCGATAAATAAGGATTAAGTTTATTGGTGATTTAGTGAATATCGGCTAGTGTTGATAAATAGAAGGCACTTGGAGTCACAATATTTTACTAAGTTCTTGCTATTTGGTTTTAAGAGATCCAAATGCCTATTTTGTAAGCGTGTGTCGTGATAGAGTTGGAATATAGGCTTTATTTTGTCTGAGTTGAATTTAATCTAACTCTAATTTTTTACCAAACTCGTTTGCTTCGCTTCATATGCCAACAAAAGAGATTAACAGAATGCGTGGGTTGACCACAGTTCTTGGCCTCTACCTTAACAAAAATACTAATTCCATCTGGTTTCTCATGCATGTGCCAAGAAATTTACAAGATTCACCTTTCTCAACAGTGTAGAAGACACTTTTTTTTTGTTGTCAATATAATTCTCAGTAGATTATTCAAACTTGGTTGCAAAACTTTGAAAAAGAAAGTCGTTATGCTATACATAGAAGTAATCTAACTAATACTTTCCCTAGCACATATTATTGAGTAGTTACTAACGCATATTTAAACGGTCATGATGTCTTTACTATTGAACCTAAATATTGTTTTCTGTGTTTGATCCCTTTACGCAAATCTCGATTGATCCTTATTGCTACTCCGTTTGTATCTAGATGTAAAAGTATACCAGATTTCTTCAGATCATACAAAGTATACACTCAACCAATGTAAGCTAGATTCGCGTATCTTAAACCTGCTAATACTTTACTGTCCTTTGATATAAAAAAATAATGGTTATAGTTACATACTGTATGTATATATTTTGTTGCAAAATTTATTTTGATATTCCCATAAAAGAATCAACATATAAAAGCCACAAACGTTGCTAAAAGAAATCCTCAAAATCCCCCCTTTCTTTCTTCTTCTTCACCAGTAACATGTATCGCACTCATATTGTTTCCAAGTTAAGAAACAATTATAACTTCATCACCCCGGAACAGTTTGACCAGTTGTTTGAATTGAAAGACGTTGACGCCACAACCATCGTTCCGGGGTTTGAATACGCCAAGAAATGCGTATTAACCACCCCCTTTGCGATCCAACCACATTTTATGCCAACGGAAACTGAAACCCAATGCGAGAACGATGATTCTGATGAATCACCTATAGCTAAAACCACCATCACCACAACCACCACAACCAAGTTGGCTGACAGTGTCACCACCTCTGTCACCACTGCTGCTGCTTCCCCTGTTCCCACCACTAAAACTGCCGCCGCCACTGATTGTACTGTTTCCAGGACTGATTTGAATGCTGACTCCAATGGTTCAAGTTTGAATGGTTCCCAAAAACGAATTGAAGAGAGTAAATTTGGGAAAAACGCTTCTGAAACGACCAAAATTGGAGAAATTGAAGATAATAAGGTCATCCACACCTGCTGCCAGTACGAAATGAATTTAGATGATGACGTGACGGTGTTAACATTGGATGAGAAAGGAATCTTGGAATTTCCATTGGAGAACGTTTGTCGCGACAAGGTGAAGGTTCTTTATCGCGGTCATTTGTACGATGTTTATTTAGACCGCGAAAACTTGGAAAACGTGGAAAGACGTTGCAAGGGACACTATTGTTTGGATAGCAGCAGCCGTCGATTTTTGAAGCAGGAACTACAAAGTTTAAGGCGTTATTTGGAACTGACTGACTCCTCTACTGGTCCTGAGAATGCTAATGATGCTGATCAAGAGAGTAAAGAGGAACGCCGAAACAGACGTGCGAGATGGAGGAAAAGTCATGAACAGAGTTCTCAAAAAGTGACCCATAGTAGTCTTCAGAATGCCCGTGAAGCTGTTGAATTGAACAAAAGCACTATAGAGAAGAGAGATCAGGAAGAAAATAAGCCTGTTTCAAGTGCCATTGTTCCTAATGCTGCCAACGAAAGTCATCAAGATGCACGTGAACTGGATTATGGTATTGCAGATGATGAGAATATATCTGCATTTGTTGGTAGTGACAGTAATGTACCATTGGGGATTGATCCAGTTGATGGACAAATGTTTGATGACCAGGGATTCATTCCGCTTGAGAAGAAAGAGAACAAGTTCAAGAGAATCATGAAAGCAATTGGCAAGCCTTTCAAAAAGACTGGAAAAGGTTTGAAAAATGACTTCAAGAAAAATACTTCTGGCAATTCTGATGGTGGTGTGGACCATGACATTGCAAGAGAAGACACAGAAGATGCCAATGCTGCTGTTGAAGTACTTTTCAACGTCTATGCAGATGCATACACTTCGAACAATACTGATCCAGTGTACGAAGCTGAGGCTGAGGCCAGTGCCAACTTTGGTAGTACTGATTTGGAAAATGGCGAACTTGTTCCTGAAACTGCTGTCTGCAATGCTGTCAAGAAGCATCATCAAAATAAAAGCGACACTGTTCATGCCATCGTGTATGATAATGTTAGGTCTTCCTTTGTTGCTGGCGATGCCAATGTCTTTGAAGAGATAGCTTTAAATGATGGACAACCTTCCAATGATCAAGGATTCACATCCATGGAGAAGAAGGGAAGTAAGTTTAAAAGAATGATTAAAGCAGTTGGTAAGCCGTTTAGTAAAATAGGCTCCAAGAGAAGAGCTTCTGGCAATGTTCACGATGGTGATGGTTGCAAGACCGTCAAAGAAGTTGAAGCTGGACTACAGGAGCATAGATGCATGAGCAATGGGAAGAAGGGACTTGAGAAATTCCTCCCTTGGAAGAAGCGACCTCAACCGCCTCCCGAAGAACTGATAATTTTGGAAGACATCATTAGAGCGGCACTTGATGATGGGACACCCATTAGGAATCGGAATCCTGGTGCTGATGATGCGGGCGATGTTTGCCAAGCGGCAAGTGAAGTGGCGTATGCTGATGATGAGGACCACGGAAGTACTTTGTACGCTGATGTTGCCAGTGCAAATGTTGGTAATTTTGCTGCTGACCGTGTTGAAACTGCAGGTGAAGTGGCCACAGGCGGCACATACGACGTTGAAGAAGTTGCCGATGTTTACAGAAACACAGTGGGTGCTCCTAATGCTGCTGTTGAAAGAGACTCCACAATTGATCAGCAGGCTGGTGAGAGTGAGCTGAAGAGGAGGGACTTCAGCGCAAGAGATGCGTTTGAGGGGAGGGATTTCATCGCAAGAGGTGAGTTGATGTTGGAAAACATCGACAGTCAACAAACTTTGTTTAACATCGAAGACACTACCACTGCAACTGTCGGACAATGTAAAGTTTTGATGTCCGACGCAGTTGGTGAAGGTAAGCCCCGAAGGAAGTGGTACACGCGGGTGCTGGGATAGTGTCAGTTTAAGTGAGATAAGATAGTCAATTGAACGTGATTGACAATAATTGCATAGAAGTTGGAGCAAGTCAAGCTTGGATAGGTTTTAGATGATAAGATACGAGTTTCAATTGGTTTTGGCAGAACATGTTTTAGGCAGCGTCAGTGTTATTGAAAACAAAGAAGTTTGCAATGGGTTCAGAACTAGAGAATAGACGCAATTTGTTGATGCTTTTGAGAAGTGCTGCCTAAATCGCCAAAGATGAAATTACACCTATCCAGCTGTTGAAGACTTGAGAATTGAAGTCCAATGTTTCTGCTGATGTACCCGATCGGCTGGTTAGTGAATACATGATGCCAAGACTTGTGACGAAGGGTAAATGACAGGGACAGTTTGAGTGGAGATCTCTGACAAAGCTGAATTGTACGGAGGGGAAGGGCGAAGAAGTTGAATCAATGAAGATACTTCAAAACCGGTCCACTGCAAAATTTTTTGCAAGCAGGGAGTTCGAGGACCCATTATATACGAGATGTACTTAGTATGTCTCAGATGGGACCTCTTCCCTGACTGGTTTTCGTTGTTTTGAAATTTTTATCGGACCCCTTTTCCTCACTTTGCCAGAGAATGAAAATCCAATATGAAAAGCTAGAAAAGATTGTGCAAAAAAGTGTAAAAAATATAAAAAAGAAAACAACACAATCTATAATCCTATGCCAAATATCCGGAGTTATGAGTTTACCACTGATTGGGATTGAGAGCAAGAATACGCAATTGTTTGTCGAGATGTTTAATGATGTTGACGATGTTGACGATGTTAACGATTTGGTTTTTACAGTTTGATTTTCCCTTATTTTGCTAAAATGGTGGTTATTTTTTCCAAGGAAACAAAGCGGTTGTGGTGGCTGCTGTTCCTCAATTATTTTTCAAAAAAAGAATCTGATGTCCGTTTGAAAGAGATATTCAGTGGTTGTGGTGGCTACTGGTATCTTCTTTGTTTTTTGCTTTTTAATTCCTGCTATGTATTATTTTTTTAATATGACATCAAATTCAATCAATCTCTCACTCTATCTCTTATGAGCGCTCCTTTCTTCCTCTCTCTCTTCTTCATTAAAACTTGGTCCTGTAAAGGAGAAGTGGAAATTTCTGCAAAAATGGAAATATTCGACCGTTGTTGGCATACTCTTTTTTTCCTTCTAATAAAGCATCGTTTGCTAAGAAGAGCATATACTGCTCTTCCTATAAATGTACTAACGGGCACAATGCCTTTGTCTTTTCTGACAAAAAAAAAGTCAGAGAAGAAGGCGATAGAGAATATAACGAACTTTATATAAACTGTATTAAACTATTACTATACCAACTCTATGTACATGTTCCCTATTTCCTATTTAAGTTGACTCTATTTTGTTTCAACATTATCCTCTTCGTTAGGTGAGGCCTGCTGTGTTGAATCTGATGATTCAATGTCGAGTTCTTTCAATTGCGCCTCTTTCTCAACATCAGTTCCATCCCCTTGTACTATTTCGTCCTTTTTCTTTTCCTTCTGGGCAATCTGTTTCATGTCAGGTAATTTCTTATTGGTAATGAAAGGACATGCTAATGTAGAAATGGCAGCGAAACCAATACACATGTAAAAAACATTGATAATAGATTTCATCATTTGTTCCTTGATGAATCTTTCGGTGGATGGGTCCAAAGTTTTTAAGATAGTGTTTGATGACATTAGACTAGATATATCAATTGTTTGCAAAGTCTTTTGGATCTCAGAGCTGGCTTTTGGAATTTCACTTTTGAAAAAATTCTTTAAACTTGACGTGTAAACTGCATCGGACAATGTAGCAGCAATTGCTGATGACAAACACCTGGCAGCATTGACAAAAATGGTTGTCATAATAGTACCACCTGGAGTCTTTGGGGCTTTGATTTGAGCAGAAAGCATTGCTGGTTGAAATTGCGAGCCGGTACCAACACCCATGATTATTAACAAACCCACTTGTTTTGAAAATGACGAGTCAACGCGTAATAGCGTCAATAATCCCGCACCTAATGGAGCCATTACTCCAGAAAATACACCCCAGGGTTTAACAAATAGGAACTTTTGAATCGTTCCTCCCGAAAGTATTGAAGATATCACAACAGCAATAATGCACGGAAGCAAATGCAAACCAGCGCCCATTGCACTCGAATCACGAATGACTTGAAAGTATACAGAAGCATAAATCATAGTAACAATGAATGCGGAAAAGACTCCAGAAATTGAAAGCGCTGATGCAATAATTTGAGGTGTGGTGATAACATCAGTGCCAATGATTTGATTTTTGGAAAACCGGAAATTCCAAACAGCAAAAATTATTAGCAATACTGGGCCGATTATGAAACAGGAAATTACGGCTCCGGAATCCCATGAGAAATCGGACGAGCCAAAAGTGATTGCTAACAAGAAAATCACACTCCCTGAAATGAAAAAAAAGGTTCCGATGTAATCAAACAGTTTCAACTCTTCCCAAATGTTCACTTTTGGAAATGGAGGACGGAAGGAATACAAAAACACCGCCAATGCAAAACCACCAACGGGTAAATTGATGTAAAATGACCATCTCCAGGTAACATGCGTGGTGAATGCACCACCAATTAATGGTCCCAAAACAGACGCAACCGCAAACGTCACTGATAAGATAGTCATACCAAGGGGTCTTTTGTTTATGGGCACAACCTCTGACACGATAACAAATGTCAACCCCTGTATACCAGCTCCTCCAATACCAGCAAGAACTCTGCCCCCGATCAAAACATTCATTGACGGAGCCAATGCACACATTAGCGATCCGGCTTCAAAGATGACAACAGCAACCACCATAGACCATTTTCTACCAAATATAATAGACAATTTTCCATAAGGTTGAATAAAAACTGCCATGGTTAACAAAAACCCGGAAGATAGCCATCCAACATTTTCGAATGCGTCGAATTTATTTCCCACTGTAGATAAAATCGTAGCAACAATGGTTTGGTCCAATGCAAACAAGAATAAGCAAAGGAATAATGAGACAAAGCATAGAACTAAACGCGTGCCGTGTATGTATTGGTCTTCACGCAACGTACCATCCCCAGCATCCGATTCTTTAAAGTGTCCCCGGTGTGAAAGGGCAGATGATTGGTCCTCGAGATCCTCTGGTAATTGCCCGTTTTGTTGTTGTTGTTGTTGTTGTTGTTGTTGTTGTTGTTGAACGTTATTAGCGGAGTCTTGGGTGAATGGTTGTGGTAACCCAGCAGAGTCGCTTGATTTGACACTAGAGGTTGATGAACCAAGCTGTGTTTTACTCATCTCTTCGTGGTAAATGGTCTTGTGTGTACTTTAGTCCTGTAATGTGTGTGTTTTTATAGTGTCAGAAGTGATGTGTTTAGCTTTGTATGTCATTTTATAAATGATTTGATGGTGTATTTATAACGAGCCGTATGTCAATGTAAGAGATGCGCCTTGGATTGAAGAACACAAAAACGACAGCCTTATTTCCGTCTTATGATGAATATACGGAGTTTAGTACTTCATATAAAGTTTAGCATTTAAGCCACCTAAAAACTAAAACAACTAATTTTCACAATTACCGAAGTGGCTCCGATATGCTCACGGCGTTAGCTTTAGCGATATGTCCCTGGTAACAGTATCTTTAATGACTCATGCTAGAGAACTCTGGCCAAACGGAATCCTTTAGAGCTTGACAAAAGGGAAAACAAAAAAAAAAATCTGAAAGAAAAAAGAATACGGAATTAAGACATTGTGTGTGAGACAGATCTCGCTATTTTTGGAACAAAGTACGGCTGTTACTACGCGTGTAAATTCCAAATTGAGTTGTAAATGCGAAGAATGTACGGCGTTTGAACCTAACGCCGTATTGCAAGGATACTCCCTGTTTCTATATGATGACGCTCATCAAAGGATATCTTAGTAAGCTGGTGGGGATAAGCCTTGCCGCTAACCAACGTGTCTCACGGCTTACTAGTTTTCGAACGGCAGTACTTGCAAAAACTGCTAATTGATAACGCACGGTTGTGCTTGGCAACAGTCTAATATCGGACATGGCTATAGCTCTACACGTGACACAAACAAAAAGTAAAAGTTGAGCAAAGTTTGAAAGGTGACTCACACAATGCATCATAATTCTTTTCATGAAAACCAAACAGTTCATTACTGTTGTTTCTAAAAGGTGTATTTGCAATCACCTGTACGTGCAATTTAAATAGGCAATGAGAGAGGAACTACATCATAAATGTCACATATTTGGCCTATGAATAATGAATGCAAAAGATACCACCAGGGAATAAAATGAAATAAAATGGCATGCTGTGCTTTCAGGTATATATTGGGACTTGAATGTTGAATAGATGCTTCTGATTACTTCGTGATTTCCAATGGCCAGAAAGTTTACCTCCTGAGATCAAAAGTGAAGTTCTAAGTCAATTATATCTAGACAATGAATTGTCACGTCCAGATGCCTTTGCTAGAGAATTGTGCGAGCCCTTGGATCGGTGGTACTGCTTAATGCAAAGAGATCTTTACCAGTGATGAGTTGATAGAAGACTTAAGGGTGTCCACGGTCAAACTTCCTTCGTACCATTCTTTATTACAATCTACACTTTGAGGCTACAATGGACCTAATTGCCAGAGCCTTGTAATATGCAAACTCAAACGTCACAAAGGTTAGTCCATTGCCATATCAATCACCGATGGACCTATCGGCACCTGGAGCATTATACGGTAACGCTTGCTAAAACTCAAGAGGCATATTAATATAACACTACTTATTTTCAAGATGTGCGCTGCAACTTCAACAATCTATTTAATGAGATCGTTATTTACTACACACTTCTCTTAACAATTTGCAGTAAGCATCAGCTTTTTCCTCGTTATTCGCCTGTTTGTTAATTCTACCTAAAAGCTCTAACGCAAACGAGCTCTTTACTTGCTTTGCATCAAGATCGACAAAGTTGGTAGCAAATCCCTCCAAATCGACCAAATCCATGTCGTACTTATCGTAGATCCCAGTTAAGTAATTCCAAGAGCTAGCGTTTTGAGGGCATTGTTTTATTTTATCTTTCACGTAATCAACCTCTCTGTTGAACAACTCTGGATCTACCACTGCATCCTTGTTGCCAAAACTTAGAAAAAATCGGTGGCTCCAGGCACTGTTGTTTAAAGTATCAGCATTTATAGCTTGGTCCACGAATATTTGCTCCTTCTCGTCGTTGAAAAGATCAAACTTTTCTACAAGCCATTTTCTGTAGGACCATACGTGATGGTTTTTAGGATCAGAGTCTAACATAGCCTCTAAGATTGGGAATTCTCGATGAGGATTAAATCTGTTCTCTACCCCACTCTCTTCCCCTTTCGTGATCTCATTAATAATCAACTGGCGATAATTCCATATTTGGTAGTTCTTCTCGTTATCCAAGGCAACCTGTTCACACCAGTCCAATTCGTCGTAATAGTTTGTGTTTGGTAAATTCTGCAAAATTTTGAAACGGTATATCCACGTAGTGTAATGTGATGCCAATTGTTCAATTCCCAACTCGGTCAAGTAAAGTGCTCGAGGCGAATACTCTTTTTTTTGCATGAGTGCCAATAGGGAGCCCATTGTAGATTTGTACTCCTCATCGTACAATATTTGACATAGTTGAGGCTCCTTGCTATTTAGTTCAACTGGTGTGACATCTGAAAAGCCGTAGTCTGCCATTGTGGAAATGGGGGGGGCGCACAATGTGGTTAAGTGATGTGCTAAAGACTAGTTGCAAACTTGGAGCGTTTTATAGAAGAACCATCATTTTCATTGTTACAAAAGTTTTAGACACAATTTCCGTTTTCGTAAACGACAATTACCCACACACACACATTAGTGCTTTGCAGATATTTATAAACATGTGTGAACTAATTCATATATCATTAGAACAGACCTTTCAGTCAATAACCACTTGCCACTTCTTTCAAAAGTATCAAAGTTAAATCTCACAATGGGGCTAGAAATATGGAGTTGTCATTATTTTGGTCACGTGATACTTCTAATTTCTCATAAAATGATTGAAAATTGACTGTAGGGTACACCAAGTCCATTCATTTAGTTAAATACTTGAGTTGCTGATTATGTATGAAGCATTGCATACGATTTGTGGCTGGGTGAGAAAACCATACCCAAAAACACGTGGGAAATAAAGCAACCAATTGGAACCAGAAGGAATTTTCGGTTGTCTTCTACGCATAACCATTGTTTTGCTCTTCCAATCTGATAAGGGCAATTATATATAACACTATATGCAGATTTTAAGTGGCTCTTTAATGGCCCACATCCACAAATGTTCAATTTATCTGACTCAATTACAATTATCTGCATCTTTTCCTTTTGCCTTTACTACGTGCTATCCTTGTTCTACCGAAAGTCACAACTACCAATACTCATTACCACTTTTGTCTTTACCAACATGGTGTCCAGAACCTCAATGTTTAGGTCGTTTGTGGATTCAGCTCTGAGGAGTTTGAAAACAAAGACACCCAGCTTGGCCAGCATACCTACATCTGCCGGAGCCAACTATGCTAGATTTCAAAATCTCAGCAAGGATCAACAGGTTGAAGTGTTATCAGCTATAAAGTCATTGAGAAGCTACAAGTTTCATGCGCAAGATGTCAATGAAAGGAGAAAGCTGTTGTTTACACATTTGACTTCAAAGCAGCAAAGCATCGCCAAGGATGCTGGCTATTTGCAAAAACTAAAGTTGGTTGATGAGGCAATTGAAAAAAATCAAAGCTTTGTCGATGATGTTGCTGATTTCACAATTGAGGAATATGGCGTGTCCTTAAAAGATTTTGAACTAATTGAGAATGCGAAAAACAGTATCGCTAGTGGAAACAACTTTAGAGTAATTGAGGCCTTGGGTCATTACACTCGTGATTGGACCACTGGACTGCTTAGCCCAGAGTTGAAACCTATTTTTGAATATATTGCTTCTCAATTGGAAGTAGCAATAAACTTTAAACAAAAAAAGGACACTGTATTGGTATTTCCTGGTAGTGGTTTGGGTAGATTGGCTTACGAGTTCAGTAAATGGGACTACGGAGCGGTCTATTCAATTGAGAATTCTGGTTTGATGAACCTGTTTGTTGGTTACAACTACAGTAAACAACTGACAAGTAAACAGCATACTATTTATCCCTACATCCATACAAATTCCGACTATTACAATACTGAGTCCCAAATGAGAACTTTTGAGTACGAACCAATTGGCGAAGCTAGTAAGCCGGAAAACCTACACATTGTGAATGGAGATTTTACCACATTTAAAATTCCCAATAGGGACAAGTATAAAAATGTTGTTGTTGTATCTGTGTTCTTTTTGGATACTGCTGAGAACTTATTTAATTACTTAGAGACAATAGAGAATCTAGCAAAACCACTGGGTAATGTGGAAAGAGGCTATTGGATAAATGCTGGACCATTAAAGTACGGCTCGGCAGCGCAAGTTGAATTCAACGCCGATGAATTGACGAAGGCTCGTAAGGCTTTAGGATGGGTGGATGAGCAAAGTGTTTACACCATATGGGATCCTTTATCAGTCGGAAGTCAAACGGGACTAGTTGGTTATTTGACTGACAAGGAAAGCATGTGGCAAGGTTACTACGGATTGAACCTCTTTACAACGTCGAGAAAAGAGAATAAATCATACAAAGTATAGGTGTTTATTTAGCTATATCTGTTCCCTTGTTTATTTGAATCTTTTTGTCTTCACCACCGCTTATTATTCCAATTTCGCTATCCCAGCACACATCAAATATTTTCTTTTTCGTCGATCCATCCTCTCTGGTGATTGTGTAAAGTGACTTGTCTGCCCTGACATCCCAAACCTTCACCGTTCCATCATGGGAGCTCGAGGCAAACATGTTTGCATTATGAGGGGAAGCACTTAATCCAACTACAAAATTTGTGTGTCCAACTAATTTTGCATTGATCACCTCAGTTGTATTTGAGACTCTTGGATCATGCAAATTGATATGACGAGCCGATGAACCGGAAGCGATTAAATTGGCTTGTGGAAGATGTAACACTGATAATAATGAAAATCCAGTGGTTCTGGTATCAACGCACCGAGCCGTGACCAAATCCCACGTTTTAATCGTATGATCCTGTGAAACGGAGTATCCAACTGTAGCATCGTATGCATCGAAAATAACCCCCTCTACGGGTTCATTATGACCATGCAATAAACTCAAAGGAGAACGACGTCTAAGTGTTGAGTCTTGCAATGCCATTTTCCTTCTCTTTTTGGACGAGGTCGACACAACATTGGAATCGTATTCGGGAATCTCCACCTTTGCCATTTCTTTGTAGTTTGTTGACCAGAAACCAACAGCAGAATCATAGCCAGCACTCAATATCCTCTTCGTTTGTTGGTTTACTGCCAAGTCTACTACAGGGGCCTTGTGTCCTTCTAAAATTGCCAACGTTCTTCCATCTTCAATCTCATCCTCTTCGTTTTCCTCGTTTTGGTCGACAACTCCCTCGTATGCGGTCTTCCATAATCTAACCTGTCTGTCGTTACCACAAGACACAATTCTCGTGGGCGAAATCCACTTGACGGATTTTATTGGAGCTGAATGGCCGACATATTGCTTCTCTACTTTTCCCGACATATTGTAAGTTCGTACAACACCGTCATAAGATCCACTCAAAATTTTGGGGTTGCTGATTGACAACTGTGACTCTAGAACTGCGTTTGAGGTTTTGTTGATTGAATCTATGGACGATATCCAGTCTTCATTGTTGAAGGAGGCTTGGAAACTTGGTGGCAATATGGCTCTAGTATACTCTATAGTTAAAAATGCCTCGCTGGATAAACCATTACGCACGAGATAGTCCTCAATTGAAGTACGTAAAAGCTCTCCGTTTATGAGAAAGTTGAAAGGTATGGGTTTGTGCTCATCCTTCTCTTCTCTTTCTTCTTCTTCAAAATCTGCCTTGTAGTTTCCAAGCAAGTGATTTACAATTTCCGATAAACCAAATCTCTTCAACGATATAGGAACAAATAATGGTGTTTCCTCTACTTTTAAACTAGCATCATCTTCATTAGTGGTGAACCTGATCTTTATTTGATTCTTGTCGGACATGGTTGAATCCTATTGTACTCTATGTACTTGATGTTCTCAGTGTAGTGATTTTTCGCGATGAACCTCATCTCTGATGTAATAAAAAAAAAAAATTAACAGAGAGTGTTAGAAAAATCGGAAGCGCGCAAAGTAAAGACATTGAAGTGTTAACAAAGTGTGCACTCAATACATTACACAAGTGACCAGTCTCACATTTTCAATGACAATCTCATTCTCCCTCTTCTGTGTCCAAATATGTCCTCCTTCAACCCTGGTATTGAAAATTTGGCGATAAATTTGCTTAAATGTTTGACAAATCTCAACCCCGAATTTGCAGTTTGGAAAATCTGCATGTCTGACTTTCTCTTTTTCATTCTTGACAAAATTGGCAGCTTGTGCACCTTGGTGATGGAGTAGAAACGGCGCGAGTAAAGTGACCTTCTGTGGAAAACACCATAGTCTGAGATGTAACCCTTGGCAAGCAAGTTTTTCAATGCACGCTTGATTCGTTTCCATCTTCGTGCCCTGGTAATTCTTGGTGGTGGCAAAGATCTCATGGGCGGGTAAAAAGTGAATACGTTGGATTATAAAAAGAACGTAATCAAGCGGAAGGTGGCTAAAATGATTAACAAGGCTTTGAAGAACAACTTGGTAGTAGAGACACTGGAGTAGAGACCAACGAAAGAAGGTATGCGGAAGGAAGGGGTTGAAGCATCTTGATAATGGGAAATATAGAGTATTTATACTATACCACTGTCAAACTGTAATCACAAAGTCACTTTTTTACTACAAAGCATATCAAAAGAGGCAGAGGCGTAGAATGCTGAAAGCATGAACTGTATTTTACAACGACTTAATTCGTGGAATGAATAAGAAGTACATTTACAGCTATTTGAATAATTTTCTTTACTGATATCCAACTAAAACTGTAGAAGTTATCTCCCGTTCATTAAGTAAAGCAGCCTGCCTATAAAGCTTGAGAAATCTTTTTGAGGACCAAGTAATAAATCTTTGTGTCCCACTTTGTTTCAGCCGTATGCCTCTTACAGAAAAAAAAATGGAATCCTCTTATCTTTGCTCGCATCTTAGGAAAGGAGTCCTTCTTTCCTGGAAATACATGTTCAAAAATATGAGAGTAGAGGTAGTCGCTTTGATACTCTGTTACTCTTTGTTTCTTTCCTATGGAGTCAACCTTCCTAATTTGGAAGTTTTTGCAACCGAAAAAATTTCAGGTGAAATTCAAATAGTCCAAAATACATCGTACAGCACAAAAGTATAAATGGATTTTCTACTTTTGCTTCACGTTCCGACATCATCGAAACTGAGCACGTATAACTGTTCCCCTAATACTCCCAACATTATCTATGTGCATCTATAACATTTCTTCAGTTGTATAGAAATTGAGAGCCAGAACCATCACCTGCGCGTATACCCCACTAATGTCAACAAGAACGAGCACTTCTACCCCGGATACTAATAAAAACACTGCCCAAACGGGTTTCACAGTACAACGTGAAAGCGAACCCATTTCACCAGAAAGATCGCACAGATCTCATCAATTTTTACAAGAGGAATTACCCAATGTTGAGCAGGAATTAACCGACAGCGACGACGAGGATGAATTTATCAGAAGGTTTGGTGATATAAATGTGCAATACATTAAACCACCAAAAGACAGCTTCTGGTTTATTAGACCTCATGCCCTCAATTATTTCAAAGACGGGATATTATTTCGTACTAAAGGTGAAAGAGGAAGTTCCAAGACTGAATTGTTCTTGGATTTACTCTATGTTGGATTGATTGCTAATTTAGCAGGGGAAGCAAGTGAAGAAGCCAGCGGGTTGGCGTTGCTAAAATACGTTTTATTCTTTTTGCCCATGTGGGTAGTGTGGGCCGATATCAAGGATTTCACCAACTACTATTACAACGAAGATTTATCACAAAAGTTGTATATATTTTGGATACTCTGTTTGCTTACATTGTACATCAACAGCCACTACGACATCACAGAAAGCCACAGTAAAGCTGCAATCCCCGTCGTGTCCTACATTCTATGCCGTTTATCATTGGCCGTTTCGCTAGTGATTTACTCCTTCTTCATTCCCGAACACCGACCACAACAACGATTATATGCTACGACTATATTTGTGACTTCGATGTGTTGGATTTCGGTTATCTTTGTAACCACCAGGGTAAAGATTGCCCTTGCGTTTGTTTTCCTATTCTTAGAACAAGTGTGCTTTTCAATTTGTTATCATCCATGGACTAAACGATTGATGCATCTTACAATGTCTACTGCATTGAACATTGAACACGAGGTGGAAAGGTTTTCGGTCTTTGTTACTATTGCAATTGGTGAGTATTTATACAAGGTTGTTGCAACTGGATCCTTAGGTGTAGGCTTCAGTGCTAAATACGCCAGGGGTATCTTTCTATTGGCTGACGCGTACATTTTATTCTGGCTTTATCAATACGGGGGTACATCCAGCAAAGCCGTCCACCCTTTGAGGAATAGTGGAACAACGGCAATGTTATGGATTTATGCACATGTGCCATTGATTGCAGCACTAGTCTTGTCGGCAGATGCTGGCGGTGATTTATGTGCCATTGATAATACCAGCACTAAAAAACAGCAACACTTGGAAGCAAGAAACGAAGGTGGCAGTGAAGGTGACCAATCTGAACGAAATATGTATGCATTGGCGTTCTTTTACACTGGTGGAATAGCTGTTGCCTTGGTGTGTATGTTTGTGTTGGGGATCCTGGAAAAAAGTCGTGACCCGCCACGCTTCTTTCTACTCCCCCAGAAGCTCAGAGTGTTTTGGAGATTGCCCATTGGTATCATCATTGTCATGATTACTTTTGCAGAATTGAACACGACGTTGTTAATGGGTATTGTGACTTTATTGTTGGGAGTATTATTGGTATTTGAAAGTTTCGTATCTACGCCGAGAAACTGTTTGTTCGACAGTCAATCTATCAATGATGCAGCTTGATTGGTTGCTGCAAATTGATTGTTTATTTGTAAAGTACACTTAGAAGTCAATTAAAGCATTGCTGCTACAATTTCCATCAAAACCGCTTTGTTGATGTAGGAAAGTCTCTCTGCCTCACAAGGGCCAAATTTCTTTGGCACAACCATCTTTTCCCACCTCACTTTTATGTTTTTGATGGAGTCTAGTTTTGATTTCTCACCAATCCGATGCAATTGTGTGATGCAGGCCATGATTAAACATTCCATGAGCAAGTTGCTCAATCGCAATGGCGAAACACTTGCGTCACGTGTGGCCCATTCAGCAGCCCAGTGATCCTGCAAGGCGGTGGCGTCAAAGTGTCCTGTTACTGAAAGGCTTCTAAGACTATGCAAATCATCATTGCCTCTGTTCGAGTCAATTTCATTCAACAACCTGATCAACGTAAACGTCAAATTGTCAATATTCCAATCACTTCTACTGTGCAACCCCTTGAAGATATCAAAATACATTTTCGTACTCATTTTTTGATTAGTCAAGTTGTCCATTACATATATCAATTGCTTGACTTTGTCAAACGACTGTTTATGGCAATATCCTTGAAGCAAGTTTAAAAATGAAAGATGATTAGGTGATAGGTTGTAAAACACTGATGTGTCTAGCGTGATTGATTTCAATTTGGTGTAAATATAACGCCATTCAGGGAATACTTCATTATCCTCGTTATTGGAGCCTGATGGAAAATAAGCGGTCTCAAATAATATCTCAGAGTGTTTGATCAAGTCCAAGTCTATCAAGATCTTGATCAAACCATCAACAATCTCATTGGTAATCACAGGTATCTGATTCACCTTGTCTATAGTATTTGCTAGATACTGGATATATCCTGGTCTATCGATGAAAGTACTGAAATAGCTGAGTAAATTTATGAGTGATAAATCAATTAGCTTTAAGTCGCTTTTGTCACCAACACCTATAATTTCTCCCAAGCCAGCTTTAGGTAGAATATCACTGATAACATCAAATCGGTCATGTCTAGTAGCGAGAAAGAGTAACACGCCCAACAAATCTCTCCGGTCACCAAAGGACTTCAAAATCAGTTCATATTCCTCAAATGTGAATCGCTTATAGCCCAAGTCAGGTTCACTACCTACACAGGACACAATATCATGTCTGTCCTTAAAATAGGACAAGTAGATCATTCGTACTTGCTCTTGCTGCGTAAGTTCAAACCCGGCTTGTTTCAAGTCATTTAAAATTGATTGGCACAGATTGCGATAATCTTGTCTTCTTGAATTTTCATTGCGTAAAGCCTTGCTCAATCCATTAGTGTCGCCTCGAAGCAAACACCCTTCAATGACATTCCTGTTGGCAAAGTGTTTCTGCGTCAAGACATATTTCTTGATAAATGTTTGCAAGATTGAAGGAGGTAAAAATTGTGGTGCTGGTTTAGGTAGGTCCAAGTATCTTTTGAAAGTATGATCGTGATTAATATCCTGGTACTTTTTTGCAACATTCAGCAAATCAAGGGGGCTGAATCGAGACAGAAATGGTTGATCCTCCACAGGATATAACTCCTTTACAAAGTTGTTGTATTCCTTTGTGTACAGGATATCACTTGGTTTGGAATCCAGTCGTTTCAACAAAGCAGGATCCTCGTCTGTCCGTCGTAGTTTTAACTTATCCCAAACCCGCTGCTTTAGCTCGTACTGGTCATCTGTGTGTTGAACGCGATACTTTTCTATCAACTCCACTTCATGTTGATTTATTAACAAATCTATACATTTCAACAATGGCCCTGAATTCTTCGATTGTTCTGCTTCCACTCGTCGTATAAAAGTGTTGATGGGTTTTTCTAATAAGAAGATGTTCTTTGCTTTCGCCTGCCGTATAATGTTCATATCATTTTATTAGGGAAAGAGGGTTTAACTGCACAAGAGATGAAAAGAAGAAAAAAGTTGAAAAAAGTTGAAAAAAAAAGTGAAAAAAAAAGAATCCCCTACTATACACCCAGACCTTCCATTCAATTACAACCCCCTGTTCCCTCCAATGAAACTCCAAACTGAGGCCGCAAACATTCTATCGCGCACATCGGCGTACTTGCAATCAGGTGTGATCAAACAGAAGCCAGTATGGTTCGACATTGTTGCCAAGTATCCTCCAAAGCACAATCTTGTTAAGAAGCCTTATATCCACGAAGCCAACTCCAGTGATCCAAGGAATGATTTGCTTGGACCCAAGGACCAGCCTTTACAGAAGTCACAGCGTTTCAAAACTCGCCCTACCTCAAGTGAAATTGCTAACAAAAACAACCAAATTCATCGTATACCAAAATTGAAATTCCTTGAGGATGAATTGAGAAATTATTTCTACTTACAGCATCCATGGGAGTTAGCGAGACCCAAGAATCTTATCGAAAATAATGGTGACGAAGTATTGAAAAAGTGTGATTGGAGCCACATGTTACAGTTGCACAAGCCATTAGATGGAGAATCAGTTATACAACGAGCCATGTATTTCTTACAAAATGATGACAAGGTGCGGGATATTTTCGAAGCTTATGATTTGGCGAGATTTGAATTTTATCGTTTGCGTATGGCTGAAGAAATGGAGAGCCATATAGCCAAAGAAGAAAGTGCAATGTACGGAGCTGTTTATGAGTCAACGAATATCGACTGGAATTTGACTACTGAGCAAAAATATATCGATGATTGGGTCAAATTGGCTGCTGAACAAACGCAGGTATTGGAAGCTAATGCTAATAGGTCTCAAGCCCCAAGTGGATCGTTGGTGGAAGAAGAGAAATCAAGAGCATCGTTGTTTGAAAGTTTGTTGCTGGTTAATAACGATGTTTCGGATGAAATTAAGAGGTCTAATGCTGGTTTAGAGAAGGTATGATGCGGTGGAGCTCTCTGTACATAGATTAATACATACCGACTTTTGTTAAAGAGCAGAACATATTTGTAAGAAATACTTTATTCTTATAATATACAATAAATACACCCTGTAAAGAGGGTGGAAACGACAACTTTGAACAGAATTTGGTCTCCGTCACAATAATACAAAGCTCTGTAAGAACAGATCCCGATATCATTCTTTGATAACACATACATTTCATGAAAGGTACTTGGCCACGTTGAAATAACTACCGCTCTCTAAACACTCTCCCTTTTTTCATATAATACATATACCGTAGCCGCACCTAGTGGTGTTCCTCATGCTCGTGTCCATGCTCATCGCCCCCTTTCTTCAATACCAATTTTTCAAATCCAACATAAGCAGTAAACGCAACGATAGCAATACCTAAACCGGGGAAAGCATTTCTAAATCTATTCAATCTACTGAACTGGCCCTCATACCTCCATGCATCTCTTTTGGCCCATGGGTTGTTGTGTGCTGATACCATTGTACTGTAGTTTGTTTTCCTTGTATATGTGGTAACTCTCTTTACTTGGTGTAAAGGTTTTTTTTTTGGTTTTTTTCAAATCAAAGTGCTCTAATTGGCGATACAATTTTTGGTGCTGAGTGCGGCTTTTCGTGAGTGAACTTGTACATAAAACTATACTGCTACAAGGCAGTTCTACATTATCTACTCACTCTGTATTTAAAACAGTAAATAGTACCTGCTACTTCGAGTGTATTAGTTGTAGTCCACCTGCTTTCTAGGAAAGAGCAGTCCTTTAGAATAAAGGATTCGCATTGTGTATGGCGTATCTAATCTTCAATGTGTAATCACAGCTAAGTACACTCTATGTTCATTGGATCGAGATAGAGAGGACAGGTTCATTTTATCAACAAGGAAGGAAGATACACGTAGGGGAATATAAAAAGAGTCCTTATATCTATGATTTCAATACTACACGTCACCAGCCCTTACTAAGTAAAACAATCTAAGAAATATGGAGAATAGTTTGAAGGCTCTACCAAGGATTAAAACTACAATTCAATGTCACAGTCACTCACTCACTCGTAATACGTGTAATGGAATATAAAAAGTGTAGACACATACTCATTGTTATCATTAAAGAAATGGAAAAAAAAAAGACTAGCTTTGTTCTTCCCTGTGGGTCCACATTAAAGCAAAACATGTAATAAGCTAAAAGTTCTATAGGCGGTCAGTCTCTTCATTGAAGCTTCACCAGATCTGCATAAATAACTCTTCTCGTCTCATTGCTGCCTCGCATTTCTTGGTGCGAGCGACAAGAAGCCTTTCCCTTTAAAATTAGATTGCACCGAGATTCTTCTTCTTCTTTTTTTTGTCCCTTCTGTTAAGGTTTGAAACATCGCCATAAACAATATTAGTATTACCAGATCCATCAATCTTGTAATGTGTCTTGATATGCTGTGCCAAATTATCCAGTCGTGAAAATTTTCGTTCACAATAATGGCAATGATAGGGTCTGATATTTGAGTGCACAGATCGGATATGACGCTTGAGATGCTCGGTGCGCTTAAACTGCTTGTCACATTCAGAGCATGGGAAACATCCATTTTCATTTTGCACAACCGGTGCTGTAAGAAGCCCCTTTGGATCAAGGTTTTGCAAATTGGTTGAATCGTTGGTACTGTTTTTGGCTTTGGCAACTACACCACCGCCTTTTCTGTTCGACTTGCCATCGCTGTGTTTGGTCACTTTTGGGTCTAATTGATTGGAATTGGTGGGAGATACCGACTTTGAAGTGGATTTGTTGTTCTGCAATACCTGTTCTTGATGTCCTTCAAGCAGCTTGTCTAACTGTTCCTTGATCAATAGTTGCTGTGCTTGAACACTGGATTTGGTCACTGAACTCTTTCTTCTCTTCTTCATCTGCTGAGTTGGTTGTGCTATGGAAACTGTTTCGTCTTCCTTAATCTTGTCAAATGTTGCTGGTTCTGTAGCAGGCGAAAGTTGTAACGAGGCAACTTGACCGATATACAGCTGCTGTTTCCCCTTTCCACTTTGTTGTTGTTCTTTCAACTCATCCAACTGTTGCGACACAGCTTGGGCAAAATGACTTTGTTGTTGAGGTGAGGCTCCTGCGAATTGTTTGCCCTTTGATACCGTCTGCAATGAATTTCTTCTTGTATGACCCTTGCTACTATGCATGCCATTTGTGTAGGAATACGACCGGTTCTTTCCAATTGATCCGTTCGACAACCCATTATTTCTGTTCACATAAGTCGGCTTGAGCGATTCTGATATATCTAAATCTGCACTGACAAGATTGACACCGTTGTTGTCGCTTGAGTTGCCGAATAAGTCGCCAGCTCTTTGAGGATCCCCATTTGTTCTAAAATCCACTTGTGGTGTCGACAAGCTTCTGTTGTGTAATGAAGGAAAAGCCAAAGGTTCCAATTGATTCATTGGAGGCATGTCTTGTAGCATATTTTGCAGCATGGGCGATTCAGTTAAATGTTGCTGTGGTGGTGGAACTGAGTTTTGTGGTTGGTGATGCTGAAGGTTGCTGCTCTTCTTCAATCCAAACACAGAAGACAAACTGGGGGAGCTAAAGGATGTTGTCAACCCAGTAGTAAACAACTGGCGCGGATTTATGGTTCCCTGTTGTTGGTCAAAGGAACCCTTATTCTCATAGCCAGAAGATGTCGTGTAAAAGTCGCCAACTGAGTCTGCACAAACTGCTGCTGCTGTAGCTGCAGAGAATGCTATTGTATTTGCGTCTAAATTGATCAAACTTGAGGCTGGGTCTGTCGAAAATGGCAATCCATTTTCAACCTTCATTTGTTGATTGAAATCAGACGGTAACAAGTTTACCAACTGATGTTGTTGTTGTTGTTGTTTTTGTGCTTTATCAATCGAACTTAGTGATCTTTTTCGAGAAGGACCCAGCTGCAGGCTCGTACTTGGCGTTCGCAAGGTCAACGACGTCAATTGGTCAATCGGTATAGTACTTGAATGTTGTCTCACACGTGTGGTTGTGTGTAGTGGATCTTGCGATAGTATCGGTGTTTTAGGTAAATTTGCTCCACTTGAGTCAACATTACCGCCAGTAATCTGCTTATTGAAATCCGATGCTGAACCTGCAGCAAAGGCATTTGAAGTTGATGAAGACGACGATGCCGAACTTATTGATGAATTTGGAGTAGCAAAGTACTGGTTCAAGGAGTTTGTAGACACATTACTAGCGATTTCTTCTTGATAGCTGTGCTTGTAATTTAGTCCATTGGTTGCAGTGGTGCCAAATGCTATATCATTCAAAAACTGATGATGCTGCATATAGCTTGGGGCTGAATTATGACGTGGTTGTTTGTTGTTGTGGGCATTTTTATGATAGTGGTAATCTTCATGTAGCGGTAATTCTGTGTCTATACTGGAGGTGTTGGAAAGTTTAGATGATTGCATTTTTGTATCAAATTCCGTGTCATTGCTATAATCCAGAGGTTGCAAATGTACCTCGCCTTTGAAATTAGCCGGTGTTGCCAAGTAGCTGCTCTTGAAAAATGTCTCATCATTCAACTGAAAAGTATCAGATAAATTAGTGACAGTAGAGTCATTTGACGTGGATGACAAGGCTGAATTTAAATGTGAAGTTGGAGACTCTTTTTGTTTTGGGTCTAGACCGGATGTAACAACTTTACTTGGGAGTTCGTCGCCACAAGCAAGAGTAGTGGCAGAATCCAACGCCCCAAGGCCATCCATTTTAACACCTTCAGCATGGGCATCTTTATCCATGAACCCCAGAGTTACCTTAGTGGCAAATGTTCGGTTTAAATTCGAGTGGTTAGTGTAATTTCCAAATAATGATTGATAATCCAGTGACATGGTATTTTGTTAATGTGTTGGGCAAGATGTTTCTAAAAATTGAAAATACGGGAAAAAAAGAAAGGCTTGTGACCTTGATTGATAAAGGTGTTAATACGCTTTAAAATCTGAAGTAGGTAAGGTTGAAATGTTTAAACACTTGGCTATGAAAAGCGTGGATGTAGACGTGGGTGTATTAATCTGCGTGTGGCGCAAGTGGTTAACGGCAACTTCAAAAGCTTTCTACCGTAAAAACAATTGATTATTGTACCTTCAAAAAAAAAATGTGTGGGTTGGTGTGGTGTGATTATCAAATGCGTACACGGCTTTTATTGCAGTACAGGTTTCAATCGATAAAGTGTGTGTGATTAAAATGGCACCAATTGATGACAGTTCTTCTTTGTTTTGTTCTTTTGTTTTTTTTGTTATCTGCTGGTGTTGGTATTGGTGTTCTGGCTGTAAAGAAGAAAAAGATGATGATTCTTTTTATAGACGTATATATAGGAAGTTATTAGTAGTATATATATATATATATATATATATAACTATTTATTGTATTATTATTATTATTATTATTATTAGTTATGTGTAATTTAAAGTTTAAATGATTATTGTTATTGTTAGTTATTTTAGTTATTATTATATTTTAGTTTATATGCGCATATATAACAATAACAATAAATATATATATTTTTCTTTTATCTTTTATCTTTTGTATAACAGTGAAACAAAAAAAGAGGTCGTGTACTGATGGTCAATATTGATATCATGAATCTATTCTTACTCAAATTGTATGACATACTAACAACTCGTATATATATATGTTGATATAAAAATTCCCCCCCACCACTGTCCAATAAAGAGATGGTTTATGGATTTTACAAAAAAGTTGAATTGAAAAAGTTTACTGGGTGTGGCGTAGACTGAAGAAGTGGATGTGATACAGTTTTTGTTTTTACCCCACGTTCAACAAACAAACAAACAAAACAAAATAAAAGACAACAAAGATGTGCATGTGCATTGAATAAAGATCACTTTGTTGCTTTGAGCAACATAATAATATTGATAATGAAGAAGATATAGTTTCATATAAGTACGTTTACTTTCTGTCTGTTTGTCGGTCGGTCGCCTTTGACAATTACCAAAAGAGCAAAGGCAAAAAAAAGAGGCGTGTGCCTGTGGATAAAAACAACAAAAAGCACACACACAAAACCAGAAGGATAATAAATTTTAATAATTTATTAGACACAACTTTGTTAAACGAAAAAAAAAAAAAGTAGCCACAGACAGACACAGCCAATCCTAACAGAACAAGCAAAATACCTCAAACACACATTACTAAAGCAACCAATTACCTACCTGGTGGAAACATAACCTCTTTTTTTCTTTTCCTTTTTCTTTTTCTTTCATTCCCGACTCTTGAACTAATCATCCTACTTTGATTGGACCAAACAATTGGGCAACAACATATGTAGCATATGGTAAAAATAAAACGATCTGAGACATTTGAGTTGTTGTCTGCATACTTAAATCAGCCAGAAAACAAAAAACAAAAATTAGAAAAAAATATAAAAATTAAAAATTAAAAATTAAAATTAAAAAAATAAAACATAAAATTTAATCATTTAAAATAAACTATTACAGGGTAACCTAACTTTTACTCGTGTCTTTATGTCTGTTGAACACTCGCTTGACACTGACTAAGAGGTATGTAAAACAACAATACTGTATATATCCAACTGTTTGATCTCTTCATCTTTACACTTTGTATTTTCAATTCATAACAGGTGTTATTTTCTTTTCTTTTCTTTTCTTTTTTCTATTTTTTGGTTTTCTTGCTTTCAAAGTCTTCATAAAATTTTGTATTACGTATGCGTATGATTTATTAAAAAGTAAAACATTTTGTACAATTGCGCACTACCATTTTGTGGACAATATATATATATATATATTGTGTCTGTTCTTAATGCACCATATATATTATATTAGTTCTAGACAAAAATACACGGACTTTTAGTCTGAAACTGTATACAGTACAAAAACTATTTTGCTTTACGACACCAAAGTCATGAGATCTAAGACTTCAATCTTGATGCAAAAGTATTGTTCTACGTCATATGATTATACTAATTGCTTTAGACTATGGTATGACTAGAAATAAAAACACAACACACGTAATTAAAATAAAAAAAGAAAAGGAAACAGACAACAAAGGGGGACATTAAAAAGCTCACATAGATCTAAAATGAGTCTAGCCTCTGCCCCTCAATTTATTAATTCAAAAAAAAAATATATCTTCTTCCCCTCTCTTTTGCAAGTGTGGGTAACGATGATGTTGATGCAGCGCCGCTTATCTCGTGTACGGTTCTGACTTTCGAGTATTGAAATAAAATTTCTTTGTAGAGCCTTTAATATTACCATACTTCAACAGCACCCAACATCTTCAAAATGACCTTTGCACATTGCCAGTGCTAGCGGTTAATTCAAGGGAGAAAGACTTTTCTTTTCTTTTTTTGGAGACAGTTCTTGCTACTGACCGACTTGGACCGTCATAAATATAAAGAAACCCCGATGTTTTGCTAAACTGACTTGGCTTGCATTAGTTTCAGCCTTGCCGTCAATAATAAATTGTTGTAATATGGAACCATAGATCCTCGACACAGATCTAAACTGCTTCTTTGTCTTTAAAGCAGAATTCAATGCTTTTTTTAAGGAATGCGACATACAAGAGTTAGCGCCTGTGCAGGTTTGAGATGTAGCAGCATACCTACTAGTTTGGATTCAAATTTTTCATAGTGCTTTGCAAAAGGCCCATCATCTTGTTATCCTCTCCAGATGGCCTATTATTGATAGTCCAACAGAAGCTTACAAGGCTGCTAAAATCTCAAAAAGGTTGCTTTTCCATATGACATAAGCTGGATTCAATTTGTTGGTTCAGAAAAAGGTTGTCAAAAATTGCATTGGACCCTAAGTCAATGCGCCGATTCAAAGCAGTTATCATCAAACAGATCACACAAGGGAAAGGATCCTCTAACAATGTTGGTAGCTTTCTTACCGCCGAGATATCACCTTTTCATATTGACACGAACTTGAGCTTCACAGAGGGCTGGGGCTGCCAAAATTGACAGCTTCTAAGTCTATCATCAGGCTCTGTTATTAGAGCTAGTATTCGCAGCTTGAATTTGATGAAACAGACCAATCCATCACGGAATATGTAATCAAAATGCTCTCGTAGCCACATCGACAGTAAATTCTTAGCATATTCAACTCCTCTCTTACTCCATTATAATGAGATTGGTAGAGCATCTTACCTAATCTTAGCACAATAAACAAAAAAAGGATCCAAGATCTCTCCAAAGTGATATCTCAATCGAATGGTCAACTTCTGGATAGTTGCAAGTTAAGGCTCAGGCAAACATCAAATGGGTTTAATCGCAATTTCAAACATCACTCCACTCACAAAAACACCTTAACAAACAGTTTTGGTTCTAATATCCTATTATCCATGTGCAATTATTTCATCTCTGACCATGCCCCAAGACGGGTATCACATTATCTAATATAATAACACTTCCAAGGGCATTTTGATTTGAGGAAGCTCTTCTGTCTGTCTCTTCTTGTAGACATGCGCATTCTGTGGTAAAAAAAACATTGTATTCAATCCACCACTTTACAACAGGACACAGCCTTCAGAAACTGAAGTTTTAATAGTAAAGCATTATTCAAGTTCAATACCATGGTGGTAGTCGAGTGTTTAGATCAAGTGCATGGTGTAGTGGATGCATGGCTTGTTGTTCACTATGTCATTTGCATACTAACAAATCCTGTGATAGCCTCATAATTCTCTCTTCAAATTCATACTTCACCAGTTTTGAAAGTCCGACAAATGTTTGAACCTAGATCAAGCTCGTTAAAAGACTGGAGACTTTCAGCAAGTGACCTTATCTGAACGACTCGCATCTCATAGCGATGGCGAGCATTACGACTCAAAAAATACATCAATTGCTTAAACCCAAGTGAATTCCATGGTTGTGCTAATTGTTGTTAGATATATATACTTCAATGCCTTATGACTAGTTTCTGCTTCTGTCTAACCAAAGTATAAGTAAACCCAATTTGGCTAATTTTTTTTGTTTTCGGCAAACTGCGATATCTGCCATTGTCGCAAAGCCACAACCTAAAAGCACGACATTGAAAAATTTTACTTCATGACAGTGCGTCATTATTTTCTTGTCCATCTACTAATGGCGTATCTATCATTTGATATTATATATGGAAAAAAGAAGAAGAGACAAGAGGGGTGAGGTGCAAACAAAGAATCATGGTCATCCTCTACATTTAAAAAGTGTGGTGTAGGCGCAAAGTTTCCACCTCCGGGTGTCACGCACCAGATGTTTTGGTCGCCCGGTGTTCCGAAGTAAGTAATAAAGACGAAGTGTGCGGCAATTCCTTATCTAAGGAGCTCAGCATAAGGAAAAACTCCGACACTCCGTTAATGACGATAATTGAGGAGGACGACACTTGCACACACACACACGCACACACAACCACGTAATTGACTAAACTGCGCTTCAGTGAATTTCTATAGTTAGAAGTATTGTTAAACCCACTTGAGGGAATGAACGTTTCAGAAGTATTATGCCTATGCATACTAAATATTAGCCATTTACACTCGGTCAAATTATAAATCCTCTTTTACAAAATTTCCACATCGAAAAGAAAAATCAAAAGGCGACACAATTTTAATTTACGCAGCAGCTCAAAGGATTCATCTTCCAAACAAATACAAATTCTTTGATAAACTCAGAATTCCACCATCTTAGACATTACGTTTGTGCCATCTATCGGCTAAAGTAAATAGAGTGAATAAAGAAAGCAATTACACACTAAACAGAGGGTCGGAAATCAAGCGACCGCACGAAAATACACATCCTTGAATTGAACTCAACAAGCTATTTTTCAAAATGTCATCAAGGATGAACAACCCAAACAACCAGCATCATGAATCTATTCGCAATTTGATTGCATCTAACTTTAAACAACCTAGCCAGTCTCCAAAATCAGAGGCTCGATCCGATGAGTCAAACCAAAGCACCTCAGTAGCAACACCGACGGGACCACACTCGCCATCGAACCCTAATCGCAGAAAATCGCATTCAATAAGTAATGCCGAATTGTCTCGACAGAATTCGAATTCAAAGAAAGTGTCATTTTCCAACTTGCAGTCGGCAAACTCGTCACCAGTCACTAATCAATCTTCCTCTTCATCATCCAGCGGATCAATAGATAATTCAGAAAATGAGAATAGTGATGACGAGGGACAGAAGCGTGAAGCTCCTCGATCTAAGTACAATATTGGTGATGTTGTGTTGCGTCGGCCAGATTTTAAAGGATCAGGTAGCAAACTGAAAGTGAGTAGAGGCGCTGATTATTTTCAACCGCAAAATCATGCTACACTTATGCCTAGCGTAACCCCTTCTCCATCTAGTGTGTCACCAAGCGTATCTACGACTTCATTGAACAAAAGAATAGGTGCAAGGAACAGGTATAGTTATGGTGGTGAGAAATTAGCATTGACAAAGTCATTAGACTCTCAACTACTAGAACCTTCGGAATCAAACAACTCAACCAATTCATTTTTGCCGGAGTTTAATAACAGACCTTTAACCGATACGCCTTTTGTCTCGTACGTTGGATCACCCATCACCAGGGAGCAATCCAATGGTGAGGATTACGATAATCAAGCTGAGAATGGTATAGATCTGATTCACAAGTCCAAAAATATTTCTCATTTAAACTTGACAGACTTGGCTGATAACCAGTCCCTGTCTGAGACGGAGTCATTGAGGCAAGCAAGAAATTCTGCCGCGCATGTCGCAGCGTCGATGGTTGGTACACAATCCACGAGTGTCAAATCAGATATTAGAAGACCTTCTTATCAACCAACGGATCCAGAAGCAGAAATCAAAGTTCCGCATTCCCATTTAGCTGTTGAAGGAAAGGGAGCAAGGCCAAAGCAAGCTGCCTCCATTCCCGAAGACACAAAGAAAGAGGAGGAAGAAGAGCAAGGGCATGAGCAAGGGAAAGAGCAAGGGCAAAAGCAAAATCAGACGCAGACGCTAGAGCAAAGGCAAAAACAGACGCATACGCAGACAAAACTTGATGACAGGGAAAAGAGGCTTTTGGAAATTGAAATGGAACAGGAGAAGCAAAAACAGGCTGACAAGAAGGCAGAAATTAATTTGACCAAGGACTTTTCACACTTGTTAAAAGATGTTCCACCACACATGAAAGAGCAATTTGAAAAAACTCCATCCATTGAGCAATTGAAAAACTTGCTCTTAACTACTAAGCCACCAATCACCTCAAGGAAAACGTACACTTTAAACATTCCAGGTCAAACAAAATCAAAGACCTCGCCGGATGGTAAAATTGCATCTGTCGATGTTGGGTCGAAACTAGTCATTGTGATGGTTGGACTACCCGCAAGAGGAAAGTCTTATATCACCAACAAGCTTACACGATACCTTAACTGGCTTCAGCATGATTGCCGGGTGTTTAACGTTGGTAATACCAGACGTAAGAGCAAATTGAATGCTGGACCTGAGCAGAATCCGTTGCCTGATTCTCATCCGAATTCCGAGGTTCAATCACCTGTTCAAGGAGCTGTTGGTAGCAGTAGTGGTGTTGGTGAGATGAACAAGCAAAGTGCCGCATCTAAAGCAAAGACCCGTGAACATGACGCTTCTTTTTTTAACCCAGATAATAAGGCTAGTACAGCTTTGAGAGAAAAGTGGGCTATGGATACATTGGATATGTTGTTGGACTATGTTATTAGCGGACCCGGCTCGGTTGGTATATTTGACGCCACAAATTCTACCAAGCTGAGAAGAAAGAAGGTTCTCAAGAAGATCCAGGAAAGAAGTAATGGTGAGTTAAAGGTATTGTTCTTGGAAAGCATTTGCAGTGATCCTGCAATTATTGAAAGCAACATTCGTTTGAAATTGAGTGGACCCGACTACAAAAATATGGACCCAGAAGTTGCATTGAAAGATTTTGTTGGTAGACTACATAATTATGAAAAGGCGTATGAAAGTATTGATGACGAAGAAGAACAGATTCCTGGGTTTCAATATGTAAAGATGATTGACGTGGGGAAAAAGGTGGTCAGTTTCAACATTCAGGGCTTTCTTTCTTCGCAAACAGTTTACTTTTTGCTCAACTTCAACCTTTGCGAACGTCAAATTTGGCTTACTCGTCATGGTGAAAGTAGAGACAATGTTAGTGGTAGGATTGGAGGGGATTCTCATTTAACAAGACGTGGAAAGAAGTTTGCCAAGGCATTAGCTACGTTCATGAACTTTCAACGTGAAGAGTTTAGAAAGCAGCAGTTGGAAAGATTTTCCACCCGCTTGGAACTCAAGTATAATTCAATGTTTAATGCCGATGACGTTGCTGCAATACCCAACGAGCCTAACTTTTGTGTTTGGACGTCGATGATGCATCGTGCTGTGGAGTCAGGTGTGTACTTCAATGAGCAGGTGTATTCGGTTAAGCAAATGCGTATGTTGAACGAGATAGGTGCAGGAAAGTGTGAGGGCATGACTTATGAAGAAATACAAGAGAAGTATCCAAGGGAATTCGAGCTGAGGTTGGAAAACAAGTTGAGTTATCGATATCCTGGTGTTGGTGGTGAAAGTTACTTGGATGTATTGACTCGTTTGCGTCCATTGATCACTGAAATTGAACGTACGACAGATCACCTCCTCATTATTAGTCACCGTGTTGTGCTTCGTATCCTCATTGGTTATTTCCTCAATTTGCAACCATCGGATATTGTTCAACTAGATGTTCCACTTCATTCGTTATATAAATTAGAGACTAATCCTTATGGAACCAAGTATGCTTTATACACATATAGGGAAGATATGGATTGGTTTGTTGAAACTAAACCAGAAAATCAGAAGAATGTGCAGGAAATGGGATTAGCATTCAATGAAAAGAGGTTTTCCATTGTGCCTACGGTTCCGAAAAAGTCGATTTGATGAACTTCGGAAGCTAAGCGCTGGTGTTTATAGAGGGTATAAGAGAAAGAGAAAGAGAGAATGTGTTTGTGTTTATTTCCTTTGAATGAAAAACCGTTGTTTTATTTTTGCTCAGAGTCTTAGTAATACAAAAAGTTACTAAAACTCGGACAAAAACATACATTTTTCATTACTTTTGTGTAAACTTCGGGTACAATCCAAAAACAGTAATTAGTTCGGTGTTTTGATTTCTTTTACGCGCAATTTGATATTTTTTTATGACTGGGGGTTTTAAAATAATGCGCTCATGACAAACAGTATTCATTGCCGCGTATTTGTAATCTTATCTTCAACGTAAATGTACATCATGCATATGTAGAAGTGTTCAGTTTGTTTTTTTTTTTTGCGAATGACTCGGGGAGGAGCAGTTGAAAAGATCGGGTTAAAGAGTATAGTGTAAAAGCTTAAACTTATACGGCCATAAGTTTAAAAAAAAATAAAAGACTATTGCTTTTGACTATCCAGTGGAAACCTAAAACAAACTTCAAAGAGTTTAATCGGATTGTTCTATGACATTTTTGATCATATGTAATAGTATCTTGTACCCCTTCTCCACTAAACCCTCTGTTCAAACATTGGCATATGTACGCAGGACCCTATGTGTAAGGAAAGAGAAAGCAAAAGAGATAGTAAACGTTAGTCAAGCTAGTCTCATTTTCTTTTGCAGTGAGTGTTCTATAGTTTGCAGCAAAAATGAATTCTCCAACATTTTTTTGCTCAACTAGGCTTAGCATAAAGTAAGAGAGAGAGAGAGTGTGTGTGTGTGTGTGTTTTAAAAGGCTACACAAAAAAAAGAAAAAAAATTTGTAATTGCGATTGAGACATGCTCAATGAAGTAATACCGAAACTGCAACAAAACCCAACTCATCAGTTGTCTTGCATTAGTAATTATATACGCTTTTGAAACAGGGCACAGCAAAGATGGAAGAGAAGTATATAAGAGGAGCTAAATCCTCCTGAAAAGAAGACATTTAAACCTAAGGTTTTAGAGAGACTATATCAAACCTTCAGATAACAAGCAATTTCCTTTTTTAAAAATGTCAGATTTTATACGAGATAGTTTTGGCGGTAGATTAATATACCATTTATCGAGGCACAAGTATTTCAGATACCCTGAAGAAGAAGAAGATTATATCATTCCCGAGAAATATTTGGTGGATACCAAATCAGACATTCAATGTTTACCCAAAGAGGAGCTTGATGGTGATGATGCTAGTGCTTCTTTGTCATCTAGTTCCAGCATTAGCGGGAAAACCGTGATACCAGAGGACAAATACAACAACTACATTTTTGTTGAATGGGATGGTGATGAGGATCCGGAAGATCCACGTAATTGGAATCTTTTCAAAAAGGGGTTTTTCATATTTGAAGTGGCATTTTTAACCACGTCGGTTTACATGGCATCTGCAGTCTATACTCCCGGGTTACAACAACTCCAAGATGAACTTTCAGTAGGTAGAGTGGTTGGTACATTGGGGGTGTTTACATTTGTTCTTGGTTATGGTATTGGACCTATTCTATGGTCACCCATTTCGGAAAATGCTGCCGTTGGAAGATCATCGATTTATGCATTGACGTTGTTGGTTTTTGTTATTTTGCAAATCCCCACTGCTTTGGTGGACAACATTGCTGGGTTCTGTATTCTTCGGTTTTTGGGTGGATTTTTTGCTAGTCCTTGTTTGGCAACAGGTGGGGCCAGTGTTGGAGAAGTGACAAAGTATTGGAATTTCCCCTTGTCGTTGGCTCTTTGGAGTATTGGTGCTGTATGTGGGCCTAGCTTGGGTCCATTCTTTGGAGCAATCTTATCAGTGAAGGCGGGATGGAGATGGAGTTTTTGGTTTATAATGATTGTGTCTGGCTTTTCCCTAGCAATGTTGACGTTCTTCTTACCTGAGACCTACGCACCCACATTACTTGCAAGAAAAGCTAAACGTTTGAGAGCCAAAACTGGTAATAATCGAATTACTACTATGGGACTATTGGAAAATGAAGAAAGAACAGTGCATCAAATAATGATTGAAGCTCTTTGGCGTCCTATCGAAGTCACTATATTGGAACCGGTGGTGTTGTTGATTGATATATACATTGCCATGGTTTACAGTGTGCTTTATTTGTTTTTCGAGGTGCTTCCCATTTATTTTGTTGAAGTTAGAGGGTTCACCACTATTGAGTTGGGTTTGACATATTTGGCAATTATTATTGGTGTATTGGTTGCTGTGTCCATATATCTTCCGATAATCCACCACCAATTCACCAAACCAATTTTGAATAATGAGACGGTCTATCCAGAAGTATTTATACCAATTGCTATAGGTGGCGGGTGTTTGTTTGCATCTGGTTTATTCATATTCGGGTGGTCGGCAACCACGTATACACATTGGATAGGACCACTTTTTGGAGTTGCAATAACAACTGCTGGTACTTTTTTGATGTTTCAAACGTTATTCAATTATATGGGTGCGTCGTTCAAATTGGAGTATCTTGCATCAGTTTTTGCTTCGAATGATTTGGTTAGATCCACCATTGCTTCTGTTTTCCCGATTTTTGGTGCTGCCTTGTTTAACAATTTAAAAATTGATAAATTCCCTGTGGCTTGGGGCTCAAGTGTTTTAGGGTTTATTGGTACTGCAATGATTGCCATACCAGTATTGTTTTATATAAATGGACCAAAGTTGAGAGCAAGATCAAAGTATGCCAAGTGATGAATTGATATGAAGAGGTTTGATTTACAATATTGATAGAGATAGATATATCGATAGAGAGAGAGGGGTGTGTGGTGAGTTAGTTAGTTAGTTAGTTAGTTAGTTAGTTATATTACATACGTTTTACGAATTCATAATTTTTACTTCTTTATCTTCTTTTTTTTTGCATTTATCTTACTACAAATTGTCATGTGTAGTTGTAATTTCGACTTTTACTCATCATGAAGCATATGTTCCCACACAAACACACACACAGGGGAAAATAAAATTGAAAAGAAAGCCAGTTTTTAGCTGTTTACAGTTTTAAACTTTGAAGAATCATAAGAAAGTGGTAGGTCTCTCTCTCCTTTCATGCGATAATTGTGAAGTGGGGAACGAGGTCCCTTTTTTCCTCTTGTCCATTTGAGAGAGACAGACAGAAGAGAGTAAAACCTTCCCCGTCTTTCGGACAAACGAGAAAAACAAACAAACAAAAGAAAAAAACGGTCGGACGGTCGGGCGAACGAAGAGCGAGAAAAATGAATAATTAAAGCGATATTCACGTGACTTATCATCATTTATGAGAGAGGATGATGAGACACGGACTCAAGATTTGAATCTGAAATGTATTTGGAGTAGCAATTGGAGTAGTCTATTAAAAAGTTCATCATTCAGAAGCAGCCGTACATTAATCATAGTGTACTGTTATTGAATTGGTCTTCTAGAGTAACCTTGACTTACAAAAGAGAGAGAGAGTAGGGTTGGGTAATTTTGTTGAGTAAATTTTATTTTTGATTGATCTCGCCGATGAAGAGAGATTTTGTTCAAATAGCACAAAAATGGTTGAAGAAGCGATAGTACATAGTAACCTTTCTACCTCAGTGGTACTAAGATTGACGATACATGGAGATATAAAAGTATCTATGTGTAAAGCATGTCATAAGGACATAAGGGGGATTAGTGCTTTTAAAAACAAGTAAACTTTTTTGGGCCAAGTGCAGATCACCTTTTCCTACCCTCTCAAATGGTACAACAGTCTCTTCAAGGCACGACTGTACTGTCTCAATACAGTACTGAGAATCCTATACAATTCTAATCCAATCTCTTTTATTTCCAACTTAAACAACTACAAAACAACTACAAAACAACTACAAAACAACTACAGAACACTTACTAAAAAAAGACCAAAGTATATTTTGATGATATATATACTCGGTTAATTGAATGTTTGATTAGTTATGTAAATGTAAAAAAAAGACGGAAAAACGATTATTTATTTATTTTAATCAAACACAAAAACTAAAATTCAACAAACCAATATTGTTTAACTCTCCCTCTTTCTCTCTCTTTGACTTTATCAAAATATAGAAAAGCAAAAAAAAAAAAAATAATTGGGATAGAAGGGAAAAAGAGAGAGGGAAGAACAAAAGAAATTGATTGCTTTTTCCTTTAAATATAAAACACAATATATTTAAAATTCAATTTTTTATTTCATCACAATTCTTCTTCTTCTTCTTCTTCTTCTTCTTTCTCCAATTAACACTACTTCTAGTACTACCTGAGAGGTGTATCTATATCAATTGATCTAAATACTTACAACTATACACCATTTTCACATCAATTGCCATCAACACTGCATTCAATTGATTCCAACACATATACACGCATACCCTACATTACACTACACAGCAACAGCAACAGCAACAGCACAATGACTGCCTTTGGAAAACACTTTACCATTGTTGTCTTTGGAGCAAGTGGTGACTTGGCCGCTAAAAAGACTTTTCCTGCTTTATTTGGATTGTTTAGGGAAAAGCAAATGAGTCATGATGTACAAATTATAGGTTACGCTAGATCGGATTTGCTGGAAGATAAATTTCACGAAAAGATTTCTCAACATTTTAAAGGGGGCGATGAACAAACCAAAAAGGACTTTTTAAAACTTACCTCATATGTAAGGGGTCAGTACGATACTGACGAAGGTTACCAGAAATTGGAAAAGAGATTCCAAGAGTATGAAAAGGAACATGGTGTTGACAAACCACAAAGGTTGTTTTACTTGGCATTGCCACCTTCTCAATTCACTGAAGTTTGTGAACAAATTAAAAAGAATGACTACGCCAAAGACGGAATTATTAGGGTTGTCATTGAAAAGCCTTTTGGACACGACTTGGAATCAGCAAGAGAACTTCAAAAGTCAATTGCTCCTTTATTTACTGAAGATGAAATTTATAGAATTGATCACTATTTGGGTAAAGAAATGGTCAAGAATTTATTAGTCTTGAGGTTTGGTAATGAAATTTTCAGTGGTGTTTGGAACAAAAACTTTATTTCATCCATACAAATTAGTTTTAAGGAACCTTTTGGAACTGAAGGAAGAGGTGGCTACTTTGATAATATTGGTATTATTAGGGATGTTATGCAAAACCACTTGTTGCAAGTTTTAACTTTGTTGACTATGGAAAGACCAGTTTCTTTTGATCCAGAAGCAGTTAGAGACGAGAAAGTTAAGGTATTGAAAGCATTTGATTCCATAAACTACAAAGACGTAATTGTTGGCCAGTACGGTAAGTCTGAAGACGGTAAAAAGCCAGCTTATGTTGACGATGAAACCGTTTCCAAGGATTCAAAGTGTATCACTTATTGTGCTTTCCCCATCAACATTCATAATGAGAGATGGGATGGTGTACCAATCGTTTTGAGAGCCGGTAAAGCCTTGGATGAAGGTAAAGTTGAAATCAGAATCCAGTTTAAACCAGTTGCTAAAGGTATGTTTAAAGATATCCTGAGAAACGAATTGGTCATTAGAATCCAACCTGACGAAGCAATTTACTTGAAGATCAACTCAAAGATTCCAGGTGTATCAACTCAAACCTCCTTGACTGATTTGGACTTGACTTATTCCAAGCGTTATTCGAAGGATTTCTGGATTCCAGAAGCTTATGAATCTTTACTCAGAGATGTGTTCCAAGGAAATCATGCCAATTTCGTTAGAGATGATGAATTGGATGTTTCATGGAAATTGTTCACGCCGTTATTGGAAGCACTTGAAAGTGACAAGAATTTGAAATTGGACATATACCCATACGGTTCAAAAGGTCCAAAATCTTTGAGACAATACTTGATTAACCATGGCTACGTATTTGATACACCAGGTACTTATCAATGGCCATTGACTGAACCTGATGTAAAGGGTAAGATTTGAGGAGATAGAGCATTTCTTTGTTTATATATATATATATATGTAGTGTGGTAGTATTTTAACAACGACACATTTTTGACCTCCTTTGGTTGACAATTCTAGTGGATGTAGCTGTATTTTTAGAGAACGCATTGCCCTCGGGTTATGAAAAGCATAGTGGTTGAGGCTGATCTTGTTTCAGCAACTTGGAACAGTGACAATTTTACGTGGTAGAGAGACTCATTATTGGCTTTTAATTTTCTGGTAAATAAACCTTAGTAATTTATTCTCAAAATATCTGATGAATTTAGGTATTGACCCAGGACAAACTACTAGATGTGCATAACAATTGATGAGAGTAATAGGATGGCAAGTAATCATTTTGCAACACTTTCAGTGAAAGTCGTGTACATTAGGTTAAATTGATAAATGTGTCTGGCAACACAAGTGATTCGATACACAACCAAGTGTTGTCAATTTCAGCATTTTGTCAGACATGCTATGCATAAAGGGAAGAGCTGTACAATTCTCGGTGCTTTTTTATGTCTTCTTTAGATGTTGTTCAGATGTTGCTTTCGTATTCATATAGCTCTATATGCCTTTCACTTAATATACTTACTTACTTTACGAAATATTGAAATTGGTCAATGTTTTAAACTTCTTGGCTTGATTTCGCCTTACCATTAATGAGTGGCAACGCTGAAATCAACTTGGCAAACCCATTTCAATGCAACTTGGTGTGCCAGAGAGATGAACAGGCCCTTTTCTGAAAAAAAGAATATCGCTGTATTGGATCAATGGCTTTGATTTGAAAAGACTCAACTATCAACACATAAAGCAGTTTGTGTCTACAGAGTAAAACTTGGCAAGTAATCTGCAGCTACAATGCTAATCTAAAACACTAAAAACGAACAAACGGTTTAAACCAAACACATGAAAGAAGATCGCTTACAATAATCTCAACGTCGGCTAGCATTGCATTGTTAGTGAATATTTTCAGAAAATTAATCAGACATCCAAAGGAAGGTCATTTCGACGGTCACTGACATACAAAGAATTAGGTTCGAGTCGTATGCTACCGAGGAAACTGCGAATGTTTTGGTACAGTTTTCATCACCTTAATTTCTGAAACTTCCACTTCAACTCAATGCTATAACCAACTGATGATGATATTAGCTTCCCTCTCGCTTCCAATCTGTTTAGCCTCATTACAAGATGGACGCTAGTTCCGACCTTGCAATTGTAACCAACTTCGATAAGCTTTTCCACAAACAAACTAGTTTCCATAAATTTTACGTCTTTGAATTGTTTATCAGAAATGTAGATACTGGCAAGTATAAGCACACAATCCAATCACTACCCCGAAGGAGTAGCGAATTTGAAAAGCAGCATGTAATTGACGTTGTCTGGAATCATAGTCGAGAATCAGACTAGGAAAGAAGTGAACAAAAATTCATCATTTAAACATATCCAAATCGTGCAAAAAAAGTGGAAACCAATTGTAATCTCATTTATGAGTTCTTTTATATACTGGTTGAAATATAGTGATTATGTGGAACTCTATATCCACATATACAATTAAACCTCAACCTTCTTGAGACTGTGCCTCTTGCCCTTCGGTGTATCAAAGCTTGAGCCTAGATACTTGATGATCAAATGAAATGTTGAGTGAAAGAAAAGAATAAAAGAAAGTAGGAGAGAGAAAACGAGATGTGAAAATTTTTGATGTCTATTTATATTGTCTCCCCAAAAAGAGATGAGAGAAAAAAAAAAAAGAAAAAAAGAAGGAAAAAAAAAACAGCCAAAGATGGTAGCTCCTTTGAAGTCGGTAGCGATACCCTTGTTTAATTTCCTCGCAAATTTTGTGCAATAAAAAGCACACATGGGGGCACACACACTCACACTCATACTTCATCAGTGGAAAATAAGTATAATTAGAACTTTTAACAAAATCCCGCTCCTATTTTTAAACTCCACTTAGAGATTCCCGATGATATAAAGGTAAACTATGGCTGATATTTTTGATATGGACGGGTATGGAACCCCCTTACTGAGTGCGATGAGAAATTTGTCCTTGGAAACTGAATCTATTGAAAATAACCGGACACAAATTTTAAATTACAAGTTAATAGATGAGACACAGTCGGCTTCAGCTCAAAATGAGGATGGACTTGACGTATATGAGGCCACCGACACCATAACTGAAAACCTTCCTGAGAAAACAAAGCCAATACACATCAAGCGTCGAAGTGGCAGCCAATCACAACATCCACTGCTACTTCCCAGGCCACGTCGCAGATCATCAATAGTGTCATCATATGAAGTGAAGATCCAGGAGGATTATGTTTCTTCGAGTATCACCGAAGATCACAACCCAAGCCTCCTTATTAGTGATGAAGGAACGTCAACTTACAAACCAAAGCTATCTGACTTTGAGCCTATTAAAGTATTGGGAAAAGGCAGCTATGGCAAAGTACTCCTCGTTAGAGATTTAAGAACAGGACATTTGTTTGCTCAGAAGCAGCTTTTGAAAGCATCGATGATTATAAATAGAGATGAGGATGACCAAGAAGATTCTCCTAAAGACAAGGAGCCGCAAATTAACACCAAAAATTATCAACGAACCTTGAATGAAAAGCAGATTTTGGGAATAGTGCATCACCCCAACATTGTCAAATTGTATTACGCCTTTCAGGACAATAACAAGTTGTATCTCATTTTGGAGTATTTGCAAGGGGGTGAGTTGTTTCACCATTTATCGATGGAAAAGTTTATGACTGAAAAGAACGCTGCATATTACTTGGCTCAATGCAGCTTGGCACTCCATTATTTACACACAAAGGTGAAGGTGATCTATCGAGATTTGAAGCCTGAGAACTGCATGCTCAATGCCCATGGTAACCTTGTATTGACTGATTTTGGTCTTAGCAAGGTTGCATCTGATGACGACAAATTAAACTCAATTACGGGAACGATTCAATACATGGCTCCGGAAGTGATAATGGGAGAAGAATACGACTATGGCGTTGATTGGTGGAGCTTGGGCTGTGTCGCATTTGACCTATTGACTGGAGCTCCACCTTTTACAGGACTGGATCCTGATAAAGTATTGAAGAAGATCAAAAATTCCAAGAAAACCTTGAAATTCCCATTTTATTTGAGCAACGATGCAAAGGACTTTTTACGGAAAATGTTACAAGTGAGTCCTGATAAGCGGTTTAATGTGGATGATGAATGGGAAAAGTACAAGAAGCACAACTTCTTTAGACATATTGATTGGAATTTGTTGGAAAAACTTGATCTGGAGGAAAGTGCAGCTAATGCTGTATTGCCTCCCATTTTACCAATAATTACGGATCCAGTTCTAGCAGAAAACTTTGATGGTGAATTTACTGAAATGGCCTTTACGCCGCAACAAAACAGCCTGTTGTTGAAGGACACTTTCCACATGAAAGATTTCTCCTACATCAATCCAAAATTTATAGACAAGATAAAGTTACACGGTAATTAATAACTCATAGACTTTATATAGACTTATTTATTCGGCCCAATAAAAGTACACCGCAAAACAATAAGGTACATGCAACGGACTCAAGCGCAATAACGATCCTGAAGTCAAGCCTTTTATCATAACTTTGCAAGTAATTCATTGCAAATAGTTTTATCATCACGATAGGCAAAAGAAAAGCGACCAAGTTGCCAAACAGAAGATTGCTCAAGTATAGTCCAATCGTTTGGAAAATAAAAAGCTGCCAGACAACTATATTTAGCTCGTCCAAAAATATCCAGATAGGACTGGTTTCAGTGAGTAATTCGCCGTACTTTAAGAACCACCTATCAACGGCAAAAGGCTGTGCAAGAGGGTACAACGATATATCAAAGTAATACGACAAAAAAGCTTGGAACTCGTAAGCCCTTGAAATCGGTTTGCCCCGGCTTCTCTTTGGATCACTGTAAGTGACATATTCAACCTTGGTACTATTCAAATTATAGTTTGAGAGTTTCAGCTTGAGAAGTGGGAATCTCTCGTTAACGAACTGAAGATTGGAGGTCAGTGGTATGAGATAAGATGAGCCAGCATCTTTTATTTGCAGTGTTCCGCATACAGGTAATAACGGGGGAAACAACCACGACCACCAGTTGATAAATAAAAGCATTCGCAGTCTAAGCAGTGTCGAGTTGCCACTTGTGCTTATCTCACAGCCTGTTTGTGGTCTCTCAAAGGAAATTGCTTTTCCATTCACAACTTTCGAGGCACCTTCAATCGGCAATAGATTTTGTGGGTTTATTTCCAATCTGCATTCATTTGGCAACAAGTTTTCACCAGCTGTCATACTTTGTTCATCATCAAATGAATCATCAATGTTTTCAAAAACGTCTTCCACGTCTGGAAAAAACTGATAGGGATTTGTTTCACTGCTCGTTCTTTCAATGCCCACAACTTTACCCCGCTCAAGCTGTTCCTCGTCTTCGTCCTCCTCGTTGTCATCAAAAGTGGCAATAGCAACAGCCTTTATCAAGTGATATGTATCTTTTGGGGAAACTGAATACAATTTCTGAATTGCTTTAGAATAGGATTCGTTGGGTGGTGTGTACTCTCCCCTATTACGGGGAGGTACATCCATATTGGGCGAAGAAGCTACTTTTGGAAATACCCGAGCCGTATCTTCTTTTATATTGAACTCATTTGGAAGCATTTTGGAACTTATTTTTGTTTTTAATCGGCGGCTACTTGTGTGTGATTTGTCAGATGAAATAGTTGAACGTCGACGCTCTTTGTCATGCGTCTCCACATCAATGTTTTCAGTGACCAAATCGCTCCATATCTGAGTAAGACGACGACATTCTTCGTCCGTTTTTGGTATCACACTTCTCATCTGGTTGAGCCAAGCTTGGTAGTACATTAAAAATTTGTCGTACTTTTGAGAATACCTTTGGGGATCGTAAAAATATATAGTCAAGGAAGGTAGGGTGAACCCACACCAAACCAAACACAATTCAATTGGTTTTAGAACACGATCATATTTTGCTTGTTGGTACCATGCAACGATTGTAAACTTTATAATCTCCTCAAAAATAGGCTGGTAAAACGATTCATATGATGATCTGCCGTTTTGAAATAGCACCAAGTTGTGATGTGCTTGTTGTATGAACAACAAGTAATAGAAAAATTTTGTAAAATAAGCTAGCACTGCAATCGTAACACCCACTGTAACGCTTCCAGCTGCTTTGGCGGGCGCTTCTAATAATGGACCATCTTGTTCCACTCTTTGGTTGATGTAGGTGAAAGTTAAGACTCCAAGAATAAAAACATATAGCACAATAAAAATGATTTTGTAGGACTTTGAATTCATGAAAACTTCAAATTTAGTGGTTATCAACCCAATAAGTCGTCTTTGTTATATCTGGCATAGGCTGTTGCCAATTGATGATGTATTCTAAGTGCAACCGGTAGCAGTGCGATTAGTCATTTACTTTACTCGAGACGTGATTCGTGAGAGGTTCAATGGTAGCGTTAGTAGTGAAGAAGATTTAAAGCACTTTACATTCAAAATCAATACCACTTTGTCATTTCTGTCAAAGACTACCAACTTACTTTTCCTCTTTGCTGCCATTCTTTCTTTTCGCATACAACCCTAGGGCCTTGATTGGGAATAGGAATCTATATGAAGGGTACTCGATAGCACAGCTATGGTTAAACACACCTTCAACATCTTCAAACTTCCACTCACCGGTAGGCAATTGGCGGTCCATAAGCAACTCAATACCCTTGCGTATAGGTTCGTCGTCGGGGTACTCGGCCAAAATCAATCCTATCAATGCCCATGCAGTTTGAACCACAAGTGATTTTTCGCCATTGACATAAGTATGTGTTTCACACGATTTCATTGATTCTGACCACCCACCATCTGCCAATTGTTTGGATATAAGAAAATCGCACCCCTTTCTTACTGGGTCTGAGTTTGCATAATTTAACCCTACGCTATTGAAAGCTTCAAGTGCAAACATCGACGCATAGGTATAACAGATTCCCCAGCAGCCATACCACGATCCATCTATTTTGCTTTGTGCCCCTTCAATATATTGCATCGCACTATCGATGGTCTTCTGAATCACCTCCGGCTTATAGTCGGGATAATATTTGTGAAAATATGTAAGACCCAAGACTGAAGAGTCTGTGCATTCGACATACGGGTATTCTACCATGATGTTGTTGAAAACTTCAGCTGGATTCAATTTCTCCAACAAAACTGTCGACTTGATTCCCTCATAAGTAGAAAACAGGCCATATTCCCAATCACCGACATTTTGTATTTGCAACAAAACTTCAACGGCATCATAAAGGTTATCGTCTTTAATCACATCTTTGATGTCCTTAAATCTTTCATCGTTTCTCACCATTATTATCGCCTTCATCGCCTCTGCAGTACAGTCGCTCACCGTGTACCCTTGGTCTTTAGTACTGAAGGGCCAAGCTCCTTTTCTTCTGTCTCTAAAGCTGCCACTAAGGCAATTTTCGGTAAATTGAGATCTAACCAAGAAAAGGTAAGACTTTCTAATCATGTCGTGGTACCTTTCGTCATCCACCAATCCAGACATGAAGAAGTACTGAACCATAAATGCAGCATCCCAAACTTGAACCCCGTTTGTTCCCATCACGGTCATACCTTGAGGGCCATGGAATAACACATCATTCATCCTACGTTGCAATCCAAGTAAGTTTTTGGACTTGGGGCCCTCTCGGTGGTAAGTAACCACCATGTTCATGGCGAAACTGACAGGTGCAATACACAAATAATCAGTATTTTGATACTCCTTCTCTATCAAATCATAGACTTTTGCATTGACCCAATTCAACAACCACCTGGGCCGGATTTTTTCCCATTTGCTCAAGACAAAATTGGCACAATCGAGGACTTTAGTGTGGGGGTAGTACAAATCCACACCACAAACATTGTTTCTGTTTGCTCCAAAATCAATTGATTCATACGGCAACTGATTGGGCAAATAAATTTCATTCCTTATTTCCTCCAATGTTGGGTCTAGCTTACATGTCACCTTATTAGCCAGTAAATAACCTAAAGGTAAATATATCGCTCTTGTGTGTACCCACCACCTTCCAGGATGAATTGGTATACTATAAGGTAAGGTCCATAGCTCGGGTGGGGCTGGGTTGACTCCTTCCCAATCGTATAAATTCAATACTGCCAACCATGCTTTACCCCAGTGTGGGTTTCTGATCGCCCCACCCAAGCGGTGCAATGTTTTTCTAGCTTTAACCATGACTGGATGATCTGGGGCTAATCCCAACAACCGAAGACACAAATAGTTCATTGTTGTTCCAAAACAGGTAGACTTATCAACTGAATGTAAACCCCATCCACCATCCACCGGGTTTGCGGTGTTGACAATGTACCTTATCATCTCCAATTTGTATGGTTCGGGGATTGGGTTCTTGCAAAAATAATTTGCTGCAACATATCCGATTGTCATAAACATAGGTCCCTTGTATTGGCAGGGAAATATTCCGTTTTCCAATTGTAAAAGTTGAAGAAAGTCAGCACCCTTTTTCAATGCTTCCGTGGGTGTTTCGATTGTCGTTTCTGGCGGGGGTATAAAATCGGGAGATTTTAAAAGCCATTGCACATATGTTGACTGTGGTTCTTTCTCTTTCTCCTCTGGTACTAGGTAATGCCATGTTTCTCTGCCTATAGGATCTGTTCTTAATCTCCATCTAGACGAGTCTGTCTTTGGCAAGTTTAGCTCCTCTGAATAATACATGTTTTAGGTATACTTTGCTAAAAAGAAAATAGCAGTAAAGTCAACGACGCAAGTCAATGGTAATCACACCAAGGGTGGAGAGACTTTTTCAACAACAGCTATACGAGAAAGTAATCGTATATAGCGCGAGGTCAGATGGTAGCGATTTGAAGGTCGTGTGAAGCTCAGTTTAGTATTCTATGGTTCACCTGAATCTTCCTTATATAAGTTCAAAAAAGCTGTCTAATTTAAATAGTCTCTTAAATTAACCTATGGTGAAGAGATTGTATCTAACTGTCAAAGTAAATCGAATAAGTTTCAGCCAATTACAACTCACTTAAATGAGTGGAGCCCACTTAGACACAAGTTATCTTTTGAAGAGAATTGAGAGAAGAGAAGACAAAAGAGAAGAGAAGAAGAGAAAAAAAAAAGTTTCTGAAGAAGACGTGCAAATAATTTTCACTCTGTCTAGCCAAAAGGTGGATACTATTCATCCTGACATTAGAAATATTTTATTAAAAGCTTCAACTCCCATAGAATGGTTAAGAGGAAGTCTGATAATGCTGAAGGTGCAAAAGTTAAAGTTGCAAAAGTGGGCATATCTGAAGATACCACAGGCCAAGCAGCAGTGGAAGTAGATGCCGGGAATAACCATAATGGCCATCTTCTCGAGGATCTCGACCATACCAATATTGAAAAAGACGATATTGGTGACCAAGAAGAGGAAGATAGTGGTAGTGAAGATAGTGTTGATGATGAACCACGTCATTCAAACGTCTCAAGAAAACAAAAATCACAACTTACAGCACAGGATATACAAGTAGCACGAGAGACAGCAGAACTTTTCAAATCTAATATCTTCAAGCTTCAAATAGATGAGCTCATGAAAGAAGTGAAAGTCAAGAAAAGCCACGAAGAGATCATGGAGAAAGTATTGCATAGGTTACATGACTTAATAAAAGAAATTCCACCAGCAGAGAATTTAACCTTGCAAGAAGCGGAGGGTTTGTTTAGTCACAAGAAAGTAGCTATACCTTTTCCCGATCCAAAACCCACGAATGTCAAGTATTCTTTTTCATACGGACCGCCGGAGGATTTATCATTAGTTGGATCGTACGGATTGAAAACTGGGATTAACCAGGGCCTGTCAATTGACATTGCTTTAACGATGCCACGGGCAATTTTTCAACCAAAGGACTATTTGAACTATAGAGCATTGCACAAGAGGGCGTTTTACTTAGCCTATCTAGCTGAACATTTAATTCCGTTGACTAAAAAAAACAACCTACCAGTCAAAATCACCTACTCATATTTCAATGAAGATGTGTTGTGTCCTATTTTGCATATTGAAAGTATCCAAACTGAGAACCCGGATGATCTAATCTTTTTCAAGACCAAGTACAAAATTAATCTAATTCCAGCTTTTTCATTCACTATTTTTGATTCTAAGAAACTACTCCCAGATAAGAATTGTATTAGAGTTCAATCTGAAAGTGAGGAGTTGCCTGCCACACCGTTGTACAACTCAAGCATTTTAATGCAAACATCTTACGACTACTATCTCAAATTTTTGTACTCGATGAAAAAGTCTACCGAGTCATTTAAAGACGCATGTATATTAGGAAGATTATGGTTGCAGCAAAGAGGTTTCAACTCAACGCTTAGTGGCGGTGGTTTTGGTCATTTTGAGTTTGCAGTTTTGCTAAGTGCATTATTACATGGTGGCGGTTCAAGCGGAAACAAGATCTTATTACCCGGATTCTCATCTTATCAATTGTTCAAGGGTGCGGTCAAGTACATAGCTACTATGGACCTCAATTCAGGCTACTTGTCCTTTTCATCTGAGATAGGTGCAAATATACCTGCTAAATACAAACCAGATGGTTTCAACGTGCCTACACTTTTTGACAAAAATACAAAGATTAATATTTTGTGGAAAATGACGCCAGCTTCCTATGAGGAGTTAAAAAGTAAAGCAGTTCAAACATTAGATTTACTAAATGACGTGGTCAAAGATAGGTTTGATCCGATATTACTTCAAAAATCAAATTTTGATCTTCTCAAGTTTGATATACTTTTGACAATGAATATTGATGAAAACTCGATCGAAAAGTTTGGTCCGCTAGAGAAGATAAGATTTATAACCTTTGATAACTACATGAGGAACAGGATTTACAATCTTGTAAGAAAAGCCTTGGGTGAAAGAGTGACAATTGTGAGTGTTTGGAAAGACAAGGTCAATAGGTTTTTCTCAATCCATAAAAGGAAACCGACAAACTCATCTCAGAGCTGGGTCGTGGGCTTACAATTAAACCCCGATGAGTGTGACAAAGTAGTTACTAAGGGTCCAGATAGTGAAGACAAGGAGAAAGGAGCCACATTCAGGTCATTTTGGGGCACAAGGGCTTCTTTGAGACGATTCAAAGATGGATCTGTTCAGCATTGTGTGGTTTGGAGTTTGGGTGACAGGGAGCCTATAGCCGTTTCGATCATTAAATACGTCTTGGATTTACATATTCTGACTGATGTGGCACAATCGATAAATACGGAATGTGGATTGTACGAGAAAAAGCTTCCACTTTCATTACTATCCACTACATCAAATCAAGTTGTCCACGCTTTGTCGAGCTATACAGTTTTGCGAAACTCGTTCGATAACATGAGCAAGGCTTTAATCAATTTGGAGTTGCCAATAAGTATCAAGTCAATATTGCCTGCTTCATCTTCATTGCGGTACACATCATTGCTACAACCCGTTCCTTTTGCTGTCTCCAACCCTGATTATTGGAACGATTGTGTGGTCCAGTTTGAAATTTCCAGCAGATGGCCAGATGAGTTGAAGGCTTTGGAGAAGACGAAAACCGCTCTTTTATTAAAAATATCTGAGTTGTTGAGAGCTACTGAGTACAGCGCATTTATTACCCGCGATCATTCGATACCATTCAATGAAGACGTTTGTTTGTTGAATATTTTGACTCCTGACGGCTTTGGTTTTAGGCTCAGGGTGCTTACTGAAAGAGATGAGATTTTGTATCTCAGGGCCGTTAGCAATGCTGACAAACAAAAGCCAATTGCACAGGATGTGTACGTAAAGTTTATTCAAAAGTATCAAGCATCGCTGAAGCATACACGAACTGTTACTCAACTAGCCCAGCATTTCCCGTATTACTCACCCACGGTAAGATTGGTGAAACAGTGGCTAGACTCTCAACTACTTTTGAACCATTTCAATGATGAGTTGGTAGAATTGATTGCGTTGAAGCCCTTCGTTGATCCGGCACCATACTCTATCCCCCACTCAGTCGAGAATGGATTTTTGCAGGTACTTTTCTTTTTGGCCAACTGGAATTGGAGAGACACGCCTCTTATATTGGATGTTGTTAAGAGCACCGCAGAAGTGGACTCCAAGTTAAGCGACAGGTTGACAATCCAGGCTTATAGGGTTATTGAACAAAACTTTAACAAAATTCGTGAAACAGACCCTACCGGAATTAAAACACAATTTTTTGTTGGCTCAAAGGATGATCCTTCGGGGATCTTGTGGTCAAGCAACCTCACTTTACCCATCGCGGCTAGAGTAACAGCACTTGCGAGAGCAGCAACCACGTTATTGACTTCGCGTGGTAACAACGAATCCTTTTTGGATTTGATATTCACCCCCGCACTAAAGGATTATGATTTCATAATGGAAGTGAAATCGCAGAACCTCACCACTTCTTCGGGCATCTTACCTGCCAATGCATTTAAGAATTTGGTGCAACCTTTGACCTCATACCCCGATGACATCTCATCTAAGCGTGATTTTGTTCAAGCTTTTTACGACGATTTGGACAACAAATTTGGGCATGCTATTATCTTTTCCACAAAAAAGTTTACTGGCTTGTGCAAGGACGGTAAGAACGTTATTGGAGGATTGTTTGTTCCTTCTAATTTATCGAAAAAGAAGTTTAGGACCAACTTGGGTATCAATGTGAGGCCTGATGGAGATAAAGATGAGGTGGTTTTGAATAAGGAAGCGATTTTTGATCAGATAAAATTATTGGGCCAGAGTTTAAACTTGGATTTTACGCCAGTGAAGTAATTTTTGTGGTGAAAGGGAGCGAAGGAGCTGTGCTTGTAGTATAGTATCAAACTGAACTGTATTAGTAATGAATTTTATAAATAGATTCCGTATACGTAATTTCTGTAGTCGTAAGGTATGTCACGTGCATTAAAGTTTGATAAAGAGAATAAAAAACAAAAAAGAAATTATCGTTTCGCTTTTCAAAACATTTGAGACAAAGTTATGGCACAGAACGCTAGAAGGCCCAACTAGTGCAAAATTAAGACACGTATACATCGCGAAACCATACTCTGTCAGTATACTACAAACATGTCAGCTATATCGGGAGGTCCTAGTCGAAAAAGGAGAAGAGAAAGCGGTCTGGGACCTGAGATCGTAGATCTTTCTGATGATGACGCCTCGGTGATAGATCTTTCCAATGAAAACAACAGTCTGCAAGGTTTGCCATCGCGACACCCACAACTACGAGTGAGATTCCCTGTAGAGGAAAGCAATCAGCACTGGCAACCACAGGAGAGGTTTCAAATGGAGGAGGATGATAGTGATGATGATATAGAGATATTAGCAGTCAACACAACCAACCCTGAGCCTGTATCCTCAGACACGCGCAGAAGAGCTGACAATATAGAGGAGGCGCAAGATGCCTTCCATATTCCAGATGATACATTTGACAGCAACGATGATTTGGAAATAACCGAGGTACGACAGGGCGGATCACCATTAACGCATATTTTCACACCTTTTGGGCCTGTTCACTATCATCCCGAACACGGTCCAGCTCTGTATGGGAGTGAGCGAGAACAACATCAGGAGGGTGACTTCTTGCCGTTACGTAATGGCAGAAGGCGAACAGGCTTTGTTCCTCTTCCTTATAATACACAAGGTTCTCGTTTGCCTTCGTCTCCCCGCATTATTGGCCCACCACGGCATCAACAACGACCACAAAGAGGACGAGGGAATGTGCAATCCAATGGTCAACACAACACTAATTTACCACAGAATGTGCATCCTGGAAGACAAATTAGACCCAGAGGTCACGGTGGACGTAGACAAACTGTACACCAAGGAGGATCAAGGAGCCACGCTTTTGCATTAGGAGCCATTCCAGATTTTGTGAATCGAGTAAATTTTAATTTCGGGTCCCATGGTGAAAACCATGTATCTGAGTTTTTGCCGCATTTCTTTTTCCCCAACATTTACGGTAGGGGGGACGTGTCACCCGATGACTTTGAAAACAGTATAATGCAGAGGATTGAAGAAGATAATAACAGAGCTGCTGATGCAAGATTGGAAAGAGAATCAAACTACAATCGAAAGTCGATGATGGAGAAGCAAAAACTTGCGGCAGCCGAAAATTCCAAGGGTACTCACACAAGTAAAATCAACTCCGGCGATAACCTCGTTTGCGAGTTGTGCGGTGTTACCTTGGGAGAAGGGGTACCGGAGGATTTCAAGGGGGATCCCAAGTACGATCATAATTTTGCAAAGTATGCTGATCAGTATCGGACACAAGCACCATGGTTTTGCGTGAACCCATTTACAAGCGCAGACCACGACCTAAGCAAAAGGATATTTGCCTCTAAGTGTGGACATACATTCTGTGGGAGGTGTGTCAAGAATATTGGAGGGCGGCCCACAAGAAAAGCAAAGGATTCTCCTTCGGGTTTTACTGTAAAGAATCCAAGCATATATGCACCGACGAAATGTCCTGCAAAAGATTGTGCAAAGAAATTTGTTGCAAAAGCATTTACTGAAGTTTACTTTTAGCAATGCGGGATGATTGTCTTTTAAGTATTTTCCATGATAAATAGGTTTATTAGAATCACCAACACTACTAGATGATGGCGGCTCGTTATCGTGAATAGGTTAAAAAAACTGTAAGTTAAATTGTTCCTGTTAATTGGAAGAGAATAAATCTGATCTGCATTTGGGTTCTCCGAGTATCAGCCGTAGACTTTTGAGCTGATACTGATTTACTTAGGGATACCAAGACTGGGATCCATCTACAAGCTCATCATATTCTAACGACTGCTTAAATCAAGCCAAAGTAAACTTTTGTCCTCAAATTGGAAAAAGTGTGTTACACTAAGAAAGCATGTGCAGTATCCATTTTCGGATATTAACATCCGAGTCAAAACGTTTTTGACATGTCCCGGCTCTTCATGCGGCGTCCAAAACGTTTTGGACTTGGGCAGGGGAGGATAAGGGCTTTTAGGATAGCTCTATCACACTTCAAAGGGGCCGTACCCTACAAGAGGGGGCTGCTTTTGTGTTGTTTCTAATTCAACAGAAGATACGACAGCCTCTTTTGGTATGCTCTCCTGCAATGAGTCTCTAGAAGCAGTTGAGTGTGTCTCCTGTACTAAGTGAACACCCTCTACGTGACCCCGGGAGGAAGGAAGGACTGTTGGTCTGTAGGAACGTAGGAACGTATGACTGTAGCATCGTGTATATGCTGTGAAACGATGGCGTTGCTGAGAAAAAGAGTGTCTGCTAACAGCCGATATTTTTCTTAAGGGGAAAAGCTACACTAGACATAGGACACTGTAGAGAGAGAAGAGACACAGCAGAAAGGTGTCATAAGTCGACATAAGGTGATGCCGTGGCCATTCATATACCGGCGTGCTCTTTTCGGTGTATAAATAGCTAGTTCTTGATTTTTTTTCTCCTAAATAGATGCAAAATATCCACAAAAACTTTTCAGTCCTTCTACTTACTTGTCCAACCCATCGATCGTTATCAAACACCAACAACTTCTTTCACAACTTAATCAAATTTGCTTTTATCTTACTAAGACTATTAGAAACAATATGTAGTATAGGGATAAAGGATTGTTAACTTTTGGGAGCATTTTAACCGTGTCATTTTATTTCCGACATACAATAAAAAAGAGATTTGCGTCATTGGCTTTCCTTTTAATACTCCCTCGACTACACTTGCCCTCTATATGTTTAGTATGTTTTCCAATGCATATATGTATACATATAGAACCTTATTTTCTTTGCCTTTTCCTTTGCCTTTTCATGTTAAAGATTTGCTTTTAAAAAATCAGTAGTCTTTCCCAATTAGGCAATCATAGTAGATAAGCAAAACATAAATAAATACATAACAATAATAATAGTGTATTATATGTTATATATTATATATTATATTTTTAAGATTTCAGCCACAGTTGTGTATATGCCGCTTGATTGTGCGGGTTTAGATCAATCTCTTTAAATTTTACACGTACATGTAATAAGTAACAATATGTGTGTGTGTGCATTTGTGTTGCATGTGCCCCACTCCTTTGTTGTTCAAAAAAAAGAGGAAAAGCAAATAGGGCTAAGAGTCAAGTGACTATTATTCTCTTCCGTCTTTGTTTGTTACAACAACAACAACCACTAGTTTAGAATACAGTACACAACTGTAACTGTAACTGTAACTGTAATTGCATAGTGTAAGTAGTGTAGATCTATTGTTAAAAGTAGGAAACAGATATAGAAATAGCAATAAGAATAGCAAATAAATAAATAAATAAATAAATCAATTCAAATCAATTAGTTAAGTCAGTCAAAATCAGACAAAAGACAATAACTAAAAAGCAAAGCCTCACTCACTCACCCTTTTTCTTTTGTCTCACATAGAAATATCCACACACACATACATAAAGTATATATGCTGGTAATTAATTTTCCACAATTTTTTTATTTTCTTCACACACAAAGCACACCACGCACGACACACACGATACACACGACACACACACGATCAAACATTCTTTTCATAAATAAACAAACTTACTACTACTACTCTCCTTACTTCCACAACCATCCGTATACCTAACTTTCCCTTCCTCATTGCCACTTACTCAAACACATATAAACACAGGGATACACACACACACACACACACACACACACAAAAGGAGCGACTCATATATTTCTCAACGACCACCTCCTATTTCCACTCGAACCCCCCGCCTTTCCCCCCCCTTTTTTTGTTTTATTCATAATACATTTTATTGTTTTTATAGGGTTATATATGCTTGAAACAGAGGCAATTGATTTCCATAATCACCTACCACCTTACCGGTCCTTGCTTAATCCTAATGCTAGGTATGACTATAGGACTCATACATTGATACCCTTGAGTCAAAATGATTTGAATTTCTTACAGTCATTTTTTAGAAGTGGGGGCAGATCAACACCAATTTTTTCCTATCTGCAAAAATGGCTGTCACGGTCTAATAATGGCAGTTCCAGAGGCAATAGTAGCAACAACAGTACCAGAAGTGGAAACAGAAACAGAAACGTAAACATATCTACAAACACAAATGGTTCCACTAGACCGTCATCAGTAAACTCAGCAACATCAACTACAACTAAAACTACAACACCCTTCATATCTCCATCAAATGCAAATGCTGTTGATCCAAACTTATTGCTGTCTGATATTACCGGTAGAAATACCGATCAACTATCGGATTCATACATTGAAAATGCTATTGCATTGACTCCTGACTTAGGCAACCAGTACTTTCCACCACCATCTGCATCTTCCTCATCTTCAACCACGTCAGCGACTTCAAACCAGCTATCCCGTGGAATCTATAGGAGCAGCCAAGATGCATCTACATCAACAACCTTTAAGATGAAATACAAATCCTTGCTCAATGACGTTGGACGCAGTATTTCTATGAGATTGAGTAACAACAATTTGCTTGCTGGTCTGACTCATTCGTCTAGTAATAACAACAGCAATAACAACAGCAACGGTATTGTTAATATATCAAGATCAAGCACAATATTATCTTCAGCTGTTAAAAGAAAGTCACTGCCATCAATTACTAACATCAGACAGATGCCAGAAGAAATATTGGACTACATCTTTTTCCTTGTTGATTGCAAGTCTGATTATGCCAATTGTCTCCTCACTTGCAAATTATTTTACCACACGGCCAAGCCTTATTTTTACGAAAACTTGTCATTCACTTCAACATATCGTTTCGCTCAATTCGTTTCATATCTTCGGTTGAATTCAAATGTGGGCCAATATGTGAAAACAATCGATTTATCTGGAGTCAAACCAGGCTACGATGAAGACGCAGAAGAGGATGACGATCAAGTGGAGGAAGAACCAGAGCATATTAACGAAGAAGGTGAAAATGTTCGAGTGAATAACCGTGACATGTATCAACTTTCTAAAAAGAAAATTTTAGCAGGCTGGAGGGATTGGAAGTTTAAAAATAACCCATTGTATACTGTCCACCCATATCCCGCGGGGCATTTGACCAAGATTTCTTCCAATTCCCAATTTCTGATTTCATCAAATAGATCAAATTCCTCGCAAAAGTCATCGTCGTCAAAAAGATTCACCAAACCTTTCAAGTACTTCAAAACAAGAAAAAGAAGCAGATCTTTTAGTGGTAATCTCAATTCACGAAAAGCACCGAAATTGGAGACTTTGAATTTGAATAATCGTCCCAATGGTTATCCTTCAACAATGTCAAACCCGCATCCCTTAATTAACAAGTTTTTGCTCAATTATTCAACATCAAAGGATGTTCCCATAGGATATGTGTTGCACTTGGTCAATTTGTGTCCCAATGTTTGCAGTTTGAATTTTGGTGGATTATCATTATCCACTGATTATGAAATTCTGAGATCGTCCATGTGCAAATATCAAACGTTTGATTTGATGAATAACTATCCAAAGGATTTGCTTCACCGGATTGATAACAGTATGAAGAAGGATGATTCGGAGGAGTTGGCATCATCAATCGAAGCCTCATTGCTATACAATCGCCACCAGGAGAATCGGTTTTCAAGGAATTTGGTCAAGTCGAACCAGTCAAATGCATCTACGGCTTCTTCGATCTATTCCGTCACAACCTTTTCAAAGCCAATCCGTAAATACAATAGCTTGTTACCACCACTTCCGCCAACTTTGGCTGATATATCGTATGTCAAAAAGGGCGACCGCAGGGTTTACCTCTCAGACTTGAATTTGAAATCCATCAACAATGCATATTTAAGGAAGATTGACGAAAGGGAGGTATTGTTGGCCATCACCAAAATCCACGGAAAACAAGTGCATTCTTATAAAATGCAACAACTCTTTGGCCTGATTGAAGAGGATGTGGCCGGAAATTTACGGTATATAAACCTATCATCCATGATTTGGTTAAATCGTGATTTGATTGAAAAATTTCTCAAAAAATTGCTTGTGAAAAGGTCTGATGAATTGGTCCCGTATGGATACTATGCTGGTGCTGGTGCTGATACATTTGCCAACGAGAGTGACTCGGAGTTGGACTCGGAGTTGGACTTGATTGATTATGAACACAACCCAGTAGCTTACAAGCAAGACTTGGTGGTTGACCTTTCAAACTCGGGGATGTACAAGAATTTGCTTTGGGCTAAAAGAATAGATTTGAATACTGTTGATGGGTGTAAATTGGTGGACAAGATCATTCGGAACGAATTGTTGCCCCCACATGAAGAATTTTTGAGAAGAGAAAGGTTAAGAAGAGGTCGAATTGGGGAAAATTATCTAGCTTAAATAATATGTTTCGATCACGTAGTTTGTTTTAATATGATTTAATATATATCGTTAAGAGCATAAATCAAAGAAGCTGCCTTGTCACTAGCAACACAAGTGGCAAAGCAAATGTTCCAGACATCAGGTCATCACAATTTCATGGATCAGCCTGGCCCAGTTCCTTAGAACTAGCGGCGACCTCGAATCGCAATGGTTTTAAAGCTGGTTTCCACGACACGGGACTGCTCCCTATGTGGGGAAATTGGTTGATCTAGATAGATCAAATACATCCATTAAATCTGCATTGAGCTCCTTTGTTAACGCTAATGACTAAAATAACGATTAAAACGAATGATTTGAAAAATCCTTAAGGAGAAAAGAAAGAAAAAAAAGGGAAAGAGTTGAAAATGGTAAATTTTTTTGTTTTTTTTTTTTCTTCTCAAATGGTAGAGAGTTTCTTTTCTTGGGAAAATGCCACAAAATTGGGTTGGGTTTGGCATAGATACACTACCATCAGTATCAAAGACAACTAAAATTATAAAGCAAGTATTAACTCATCCACGCAAACAAACCACTCCTCCCCCCCCCCCCCCCACCACCTGCTGTCAATTCTATCTATATTGTATAAACCATGTCAGATTTATCAGCACAATTATCAGCATTCAAAAACAAGCTTAAAAGTGGGCCTTCTGTAGCAGTGGCTAGAAAGCCAGTAATTTCAAAGCCCAGCTCGCCATTACCTACAACTCAATCAAATCCATCAAATACTCCTTCAAAGAGACCAAACCCAACAGACCCAACAAGCGAGGTATACAAAAGACATAAACCAGAGCGAACTGACCTTAGTGGATCGCACCTATCAACACAGTTGCACTTGGCAGTCGAGTACATAAAGGAGCACGACCACCCGATCAGTATCAGCAGGCTACAAAATACTTTATCTTTCGATATTGAGCATACGCTACTACCTTTACTCAAGGAGATTGACAGGGTCAAATTTGACGAGACAAATAGAACCTTGGAATATGTTTCACTACACAACATAAAGACGGCCGATGACTTGTTGGAATTTTTAAGAAAACAGACAACTTTCAAAGGTATTTCCGTAAAAGAGTTGAAGGATGGTTGGGCCGGATGCTATCAAGCGATTGATGATTTGGAAGCAGAAGATAAGATTTTGGTTTTAAGGAATAAAAAGGAGAATGCGCCACGACTTGTTTGGGCAAATGCCGGTGGCAAAGTTGGCGCTATCAGTGAAGAATTCAAAAAGATGTGGGTCGATGTCAAGTTACCGGAACCTGATGTCTTGTACCAATCGTTAATAGACCAAGGATTGAAACCAACTGGAGCAGACCCAAGTTTGGTTAACAAGATGCCACAGCAACAGGAAAAGAAGCAGAAAAAGGCACGCAGAGGAAAGATCACTAATACACATATGAAGGGAATTTTAAAAGATTACAGTCAGTTGGTATAGCATGGTCTTTTGCATTACATTTGATACATTCGTTGTGATTCAACGGTATACTTTATGGAAATAAATATAGGGTGTAGGTGAACATAGTTATTACAAGTGTTATCCTTCCTAGCTCTCAACAATCACCCCTCAGCTCAAACTGGGCTTGTTTGGTACATTACAGCGGTCGTCAACACCATCATCCAACCCAAAAGGGTCGTGCGCATATACTAAATCATTTTTTGCTTTTAATTTGTTTTTTTTTTTTTAATTTTTTTTTCTTTAAAGGTGACAAACGAACACTAGGAAAGCCACCATCAATCCAACCTTTGATACGAAGTGAACATCAAGATGTCTAGTATGTTATAGGCCATATTGAATCACTAAAGTGATTGAACTTGATACTAACGAATACCCCATTAGCCGACTTTAATGCTGTAGCAACTGAATTTTGCAATTTTTACTACAACCAATTCGATAGCGATCGAACTCAATTGGGAAATTTATACAGACCAGAGTCTATGTTGACCTTTGAGACTTCCCAATTGCAAGGCGCTAGAGATATTGTTGAAAAATTGTCCTCATTGCCTTTCCAAAAAGTTGCACATAGGGTTTCCACTTTGGATGCTCAACCTGCATCTCCTAATGGCGATATTTTGGTCATGGTTACTGGTGAGTTATTAATTGATGAGGAACAAAATGCCCAACGTTATTCACAAGTTTTTCATTTGATCCCAGATGGTGGCTCGTACTACGTTTTTAACGATATCTTCAGATTAAACTACTCATAGGGTTACTTTGGAGTTGCGAGTGGAATCCCATTCAATAATGCGTGTGCATGTCTAACTAGGGAGGTGTATAAGTGCTGGCTGGATATATAGTGTAGTTGAAATACACGTGTTGAAGTTGCGGGGGCATTTCTGTAGATTTTGTGAATGAGGACGGGAGGAAGGGGGTGGGGGAGAGAGATTTTTTGATTTACAAGTAGAGGTTAACCTTTCCAAGTCTGGTCTAGGGCGTCTGCCATTAGTCGTTGTCAACATACGCTTGGCCAGACTAGCCCTATGATCATCCTGGTGTGGATTTTTTTGCTATCTCCGATTCGATTGCGTTGCTAACGTGTTTTACTAGTTTGGGAAACAAAATTTCTTTTGCAAAATCAACAATATGCATACTATTACAAACGGTACTCCCCGGAAACTGAATATTGAAGAATAAAATAAAAAAACAGAGGTAAACCACATGAGTGAAAACATCCCTGTAGAGAAGAATCTCAGCTCAAATGAGAGTCCTGCATCATCGAGTGTGAATAGTCAAGGCATTCCAATTATTCCTCCACGACCAAAGCCCAAGAATGACTTAAAATCAACCACGTCACTGCTGTCAAGCACCTCTACCAAGAGTTCAAAACCAGAACCCGAAACAGGCAGTAAAGAAGATATTGATTTGAACGAAGAACTGGAACTGGACTTGTTGGATGCATATGGTGTCGATTCTCAGCATCAAGGAGAGAAAACATTAGAATCTCCATATGAAGTTCAAGGTGGGGCTAGTAATTCGCACAATTCTATCGATGAGCTCCCACAAGCTGTGTCAGAGGAAAGTGCCTCCATGAACCATCAAACCGATGACCAGGATGTTATCGATGGCGACAAAACCCCTGGTAATTCAAATACTAAAGCTTCATTTAAGGAGAATATTGACGAGACAGACGCAGCCGATAACGAGAGTTCAAGCTTCAATGATGATATGGAGACTGTCTTACAGGAAAGCCATGAGTCGAGTGATGGTGGGTCTGATTATTCTGTTCATTTAGCCTCTGCCACACAGGATATTCCAGTAAATGGGTTGCAAGAGAGTTCGGCCGAGTTCACAAAGGAAGAGGAACCTGACAACACTGGCGGAAAGAACGACAAGAACGAAAAGAAGCAAACTGGAAATGCAAGGGAAGAAGACCACACTGATCACAAGTTCGAAGCTGAATATGCGTCAAAGGGGGACGACGAGGAGAACATTACAACAGGAGAAGAAAGTCTTTCAACAAAAGAAGATCCACATACTCAGGACAGAGAAGAGCAAGAAAGGAGTGTAGAGAACCCTTCAGCCACAGCAAGCAAAGTCCCCATGATACCAGCTCGGCCAGCTCGGCCAGCTGGTAAGTCAAAAACATCGAATACCTCCTTGGATACAGATGAGGATACAACGGTAGAAGAGTCGGGAAAACAAGTATCTGCCAGTGATGAAGTCAACCAGCAAAATATTGCGCCCAATGATAGTCCGAAGGATTCACCCGGAATAAGCAGCGCCGAGCCGCTGGATTTGAATAAGATTGTATCAAATGAACCTGTTGTTGGAGATAATACTCAAAAAGCAGCCCCGGAGAAGAATCCAGTTCCCAAAATTCCCGTGAGGCCAACAAAGAGACCAGACGAGTCCAAAGCGGGACCAAAGGCTCCACCTCCAAAGCCAAAGAAGTTGTCAAGTAAAATTGAGGCTTTTCAGCAACAGCTATTCAATTCTTCTTCGAATCATGGGAAGACATCGAACTCGGATACTGGAACAACTAATGGAGGTGAGAATATCTCTAATAAGGCACCTGTGCACCGGAGGGTATTTGAATCCAGCGGCATTCCACTTCCTGGTATGTTTAACCCTGCACTTCGCCCTGTGGCAGTGGAACCTAAAGCATCGAAAGAGGAATCCCTAAAAGAAACAAGGACAACAAAAAGGGTACGCGGCCCTAGGGGCAAGAGGTTGCCTCAGGCGGTTGCTAATGCAAGTGTTGTTTCAGAGAGTAATAGGGATTTGGAAAAGGGAAGCTTATGGGCATTTACATTCACTAAAGCTAGTTCTACCGAAACTGATAACACCGAGAAAGTTTCTATAACTAATAAACTGCCCGAAGTTGTTGACCAGCCTGGTGGGGAGTCCAATGTTGGTACACCAGCAAACAGCGTCGAGGAGTTGCTGGAAAGTCAAGTTACTGAAATCAGCCTGCATTCGGAAGACACGAAACCTGTGCTGTCTGAGGGTTTGAATCTTCTGGTGGAAGCGGAGATGAAAAATAGCTCATCTGACAGTGAGGCGATTGGTGAAACATGATACTAGATTTCGATGCCACTTTGTTTGCTCAACTCTACATTGCAAGAACAATCCCTGGAAATAAAAAACTCTCGTACCACACTTGAGATGTCACTGAGGCACAAATCTTGGTTTGTAGTCGTAAATTTCACGGTGTTCACTATCTTTCTTGTCGTTATCACTCGTAAGCTTTGTCCTGAGTGCTTTGACTGCACGTCTAATTTCCTCCTCGCTTGCTCCTTTTGCCTCCAACTCCTCCTCCAATTCGACACATGCTACCTGAATTTTCCGCAATTCATCATGTTTCTCGATGTTTGATCTAGCTTCTCTAGCAGAATCTTCTTGTCTCTCAAGCCTCTCCTTTATTGACCTATGGTGTTTTTCTTGCTGTCTGGCGGCATATAATTGGCTTGATTCTCTTTTACCTATAATGTTTTTCTGAACATGGCCAGATCTTCCAGAGCCTTTGTTTGAACTCATATTTTTACCACGTCGCGGATCACTAACTTCCTCCCCCCCAACGCGTGTTGATGTCGAACTCCCTTGAAATCTCGAACAAAAAAAAAAAAAATAGAAAAAAAATAGAAAAAAAAAAAACAATGAAAATAAATTTAAGGAGACAGACGTTCAAGAGGACTTGTTGGAACCATGAAAAGCAAGATCTTACAGAAACTATCAAGACGCAGATTCAAGGTGTTGATAGTATTGTCTATTTTTGCATTCTTGTCTTATTCCTTACTCGAATCGCTAAAAAGTTCCGATTGGATCACAAATGGTGAGGAGTCTTTTTCAGTTATCCCCCCGAAGCAACCATTTAATGAGCAACAGCAATCCACCCCACAAACGGGCCTGGGAATTAATGATGATAAAGGAAAAATTACAAAAAGTACGTCAGAATTTCCCTTGAACAGTGCACACAAGTTCTGGAAGCAAATTTTCACTATTTTCGATGGGAACAAGATGAACCTTGAAGACCATTTTGGCCCACTTATTGAATACACCGACAAGTCGAAGCACTCGGGAACAGTAACTACTAAGGAAACTTTACTTTCACGGGCAAACATGCGGGAGGAAGTTGTTTCAGAGCTCAAGAAGAGACACGAACAGGTGGTGCTGCAATTGCCTGCTCATATGCCAGAAGCTACGTACAATAAGGGAACGACAGGTGTCGTTTTTATTGGTGGTGCAAAATTCTCATGGCTTACATATTTGGCCATTATGGCCTTGCGGGAAACAGGAACAAAGTTACCTGTCGAGGTGATAATGCCTACCAAACAAGACTACAAGAATGAACAGGAATTTTGCGACAGCTTATTACCAGCGCTTAATGCTAGATGTGTGATTGTACCTGATGCTATTGGAGAATCTGCACTCAATGGAAGAAAGCTCCTTACATACCAATTCAAATCTATTGCGTTGGCTATAACATCTTTTCAGAATATACTTTTGCTAGATGCTGACAACATGATTGTATCGAATCCCGACCACGTGTTTGACAGCGAGCTCTATAAAAAGTATGGCTTGATTACCTGGCCCGATTTCTGGGAACGAACTATTTACCCAACGTATTACGATATTGCTGGTGTGCACGTTAATGAACGCAAGAGAGTGAGATATGATAGGTTCCCATTGTTTGAGCCTGCTAACTCAAAAGGAGCACTTAGTGTTGGTCCTGATGATGCTGTGCCCTACCATGATTTAGAAGGTACCGTACCAAACTTGTCAACCGAATCGGGCCAACTCATTATCAACAAAGCGACACATGGAAAGACAATTCTATTATCCTTGTACTATAATATTTACGGCCCAGATGTTTTCTACAAATTATTCTCATTGGGTGAACAAGGAGAAGGTGACAAGGATACTTTTGTCACAGCAGCAGTTGTGTGTAACGAGCCACATTACCAAGTTAAATCCTATGTTCGATCGGAGGGATACCATGACGAGCAAAACAACTTCCACGGTGTAGCAATGGTTCAGAGGGATCCTGTATCGGACTATAATGTATTCAAGGAGGTAGTGTCGAACTCTTTTGCCAAGAGTAGTAAAACCATGAGTGTGCAGGATCAAATCAAACACTTGACAGCCCTCAGCAAAAATGAGTTTGGAAGTGACAACAATATGACACCTTTTGCATTTCATTGCAATTACCCGAAATTGGACCCTGTACTTTATATGAAGCGGGATGATATATACGATCCAGTGGAGAAAAAGTTGAAATACAAGCTTTATCAAGGTTTGAAATATGATAAAACAATCTTTAGTTCGTCAAAGGAGAAAACGGTCGAAACTGATTTTGAGTTTGAGCAGTGGCTTCACATCCAGGACGCTCTTTGCATTCAGAAGCTAAAATTTGAGCATTTCAAAGATTCTAACATGCAAGATTTGTGTGAGTTTGTTAATAATCAAGTAAAGTGGTTACTGCCCAGTGAGCAGGCAAATACCTAATTAATGGATCGGGGGTTACCTATATTCTATTCAAAGCAGCGTATGTGGTGTCATGCTTTTGGCAGGAATTGGCGCCTGTGAAACTTTTGACAAGGTGTATGTGCAAGATGGCACTATAAAGTAAACTTAGATTAGAATATACGAGATCACTATTTTATCTTTCTTACTTGAATACGAACATGGAAGCGATATAACGTGGAGTTTAAATTTATCACCAACGTCCTATAATATATGTCTTAAAGCCCCCCCCACCCCCCAAAAAAAAATAAAAGAGACTTCCAGTAGAAGCTTTTTTTTTTGACACATGTATTGCCCCTCTAAAGTAGATGAGTTTCATTACAAATGGATCTATCAGGTTCAAAGGGGGAAAGACGAGCGAGGAATTATTTTGTAATATTTAATCGGAAATCGAAATGCCACAACTTTCGTAAAGGACGCATCCAACTTGAAACCTTCAACTGCGGGCTGGATTTTGCATATTACTGGTTATGTTAACGTCTCCAAGTATTCCGTCTGTCTCACGATCTAAGGACAATATTGCAATTAAAATTGATTTGCCATTGGCTTTCATCTCATACGCGAATTTCTGCTCCTTCGGTTATAGTTAGACAACCTACTGTTCCATTTGGCTTTACTAGTGTAAACAACTCAAGATCTAATACACTTGTTACTCATAAGGCAAAGGGAAGTTGAGCATTGTGATCAAAAACACTGGAAGAAGTCCAACAATATGTATCTTACCGAATTGACATTCTTAAAACATCAACCATGTACTTAACCAACACAAACCAGGTATTCACTCGCCAGTGAGCCAGGTCCCAATCAGAGCTGAGTAGCTCCCTGCCCTCATTAACGTTGAAAACTGATTGTATCGTAGCTAATTACACCAACTCTTTACCAGACAACACGGAGGAAATCCAGCCATTTCTACACTATTAATACTTTAGAAATTCAATAAATCAACCACGTCTAGTCTATCATACTCCTATGTGGAGCTTGTGTAAGCCCAACCCAGAGCAGTTTACTGCTTTACGATAAGAAGGCTCGTGCAGGTGCCAATTTCGGGGTCAAAGTCAGTGTCAAAAATATTGACATGTCCCGGCTCTCCAGGCGGCGTCCAATAAATATGGAGACCATTAATAAAGCACCAAACCTGTTAGAATAAATGAGCCACCAGTCAGAATTGTTCAAAAGTGGATTGGACGATTGTGGGAAGGTTATGTTTGAGCTTGGAGTATTGAATGGAGCTGTACGAGTGAATAACTGACTCGAATTAGAGGAGCACTGCAAACTGGCTTACACTACAACCAATATGTTAATCAACTTGCTTGGTTTCGAAAAACAAAGTGTACACATCACCAATTTGTTTACATGGAGAGATGGTGAAGCTAGGAGACCTTTAGGGCCATTTACTTTTGAGGTAATCCCAGATAGTGCCAGTCAAGTCTGTCCTATGGTAGCCAAATGCTGACCCTAGGAGATGTGATCCAATTGCTATGACTTCACCATTCCTACAAGCTCATGCTCAATTACTGAAGAAGGTATACACTGCCTACCCAGATACGAATAACTTGGGAACACTATTGTAACAGTGAGAGAGCGCGAGAGAGAGAGTAGGGTTGTAAGAGGACAATGATTAACGCATTATGTTGGATTGAAAGGCGTGTCACGATATTGTTGCAGGAATAACCAGCATCGCCTACCCTTATGAAGGAAGGCTTAGAATTCGCAATTGAGGCAAATGAGAATCAAAGTGTATCAGGTGCTGTGAATTGAGTCTAAGCACCATCTCAAGCTTCCCAATTCCAATCATCTTCACGGTTCCACTACAGAATGGAAGGCGAGATGTATTATGTTTATTCAGATCGGACTACAATTATGATCTTCGGTCGTTGCCTATTGAAGGGAGATATAGTTACCACAGAGGACGCAACCCAGCAGGGATCTATGGCGCTTCAACTTCTAAATGCAAGGTAGATGTTGAGATCGATGTAAGCAACATTCCGACCTTGCTGCTGATACATATTGTGAAGGACCAAAGATGCTGGACCGCCAAGTGGAGAGGTCTTGAGGAAAAGAAACGAGAATTTAAATTTGAGACGCTTCAACACCACTACAGAGAGCTGTGGATGCACACAATTTGCACTGAAACATCAAACAAGGAATAAAAACAACGAATACTATGAAGGCCAATTGAAAAGCTTTGATATAGATTCGCGAGGACAGAAATGTTGATATTGTTGAAATGTGTTAACATTCAAGGAATTACATTTATATAGCTCCTTTGTGTCATGTGGATACAGGAGATCCTAGAGCCGTGTATTGTAGAGTATAAATAGAATAAAAGTTTACCTTCTTGTCTATAGGTTTGGATATAACGAGTAACTAGAATACATATAATTCACGATACAACAATTAATAGGTAGCAACAATGTCAGATACTGTTATTCTACACAAGGTTTCTAAAGATGACATCGAAGGGTTCGTTACTATCCTTCAACACCTTCTTCAACAGTTAGAGAATCGACATGTTTGTCATCCATCAAAGTTTTACTGTTGAAGTTCTGTGTAGCAAGTCTCTCGTTTTGTTGAGTGCCCCTCTGGGCGCTCTTAAGTTTTTGTGCCTTGTGTGTAGCGCATCTTTATTGAAAGTTATCGCACGTATTTCCCTAACCTCGACCGATTATGCGGTTTGATAGCACCAGACAATGGCTTGTCTTTTGTAGTACCATTACTCACATCAACGACTGCAGCTTAACATCTTTGGCTTGCTTTCTTTCCAACATTTTCATTATAATTTCCCTAAAATTTGGTTAGTAATGTGATATGTGTTGAAGGAAGGTAATGAACCCATCGATGTCATCTTTAGAAA